CCAAGTTGCAAAATAATCTCACTTTTCTCTTTTAGCATCTCCTCCTTTCTGTGCTCCAGGAGAGCTTGTTAGGGACACACACACACACACACACACACACACACAGACAGCATCTCAGAGAGCAGGAATGCAGCAATCGGACCTCAAATGGGGCTACAACGTTGCAGGATAGATTTAATCTTCTCAGCTTTGCTGTTGTTTGCCTGTACCCATCCCAGCTGACTGAGAATGGCTGCCTGGTGTGATGAAAGAATTAACCGGGATACCTGGCTGAATGTTGGCCTCATCCACACTCTGCCTTAACTGAGTTAACTGCTACAAGATCCCCAAGGTCCAATAGGCCTACCATGCCAATTTGCCTGCTGCTAATCACATTAAGCCTTTTCTAGATCATTCCCTGTACTTGCAATATGTCCTACCATGTCCCTGCCATTCTCCATGTCATTTTATTCATGTACTGACTTAAAACCTGCCTCCTCCAGGAAGACCCCTTTTTTTCTGCTTACATTGTGCTTTTTTTTTTAACTTTTCCTGCAGTAATAGTTTTTTATTTTTTTAAATTATTATCATTTTAACATTATTATTATCATTTTATGATACAGTTGCATAGACCCTGGGGTTTCCTTTACCCCCTCCCCAAGTTCACTCTCTCCACCACTTAGTTCCCCTATATTATTGCTATAGTATAGTTGATAGTCATATGTCCATCATTGTGGGCATGGACAATGGCAAAGAGTCCAACATCCTATTGTCAAGATATAGTTAGCAGTTTCATTGGGAGTCCATCATTGATCTGGAAGTAGAGACTCATACTGAATTGTAGTCTCACATCTGGATATGATAGAGGAAGATCCTTTGGGCTTAACCCATCCTTCAACATGACTCTGAAAAGGTAATGTCAGATAAACTAGCATGTGTCCTGTGTTCTCTAATTGCTCTATCTGTGCTCTGCTGTCAAGTAATAAACTCCTCAAGAAGTGGTGCTACTGCTTCTAAGTTTCCACCTTCCAATCAGTTAACAATACTGCAACAAACATATTTGTTCAAAGAAGGGTAGGGCTGGCATTATGGTGCAGCATGTTAAGCTCCTATCTAGAATGGCAGTATCCCATAAGAGCTCCTCTTTAGGACGCAGCACGAGGGCTCAGTTGGCTAAATCCTCACCTTGCAAACACCAGGATACCACATGGGCACCTTGCAAACACCAGGTTACCACATAGGTGCCGATTTCCCATCCAGCTTCCCATTATGGCCTTGGGAAGCAGTAGAGAATGGCTCAATGCTTTGGGACCCTACCCATGTGGGAGACCTGGAAGAGGCTCCTGGGCCCCTGCTTTGGATTAGCTCAGCTCCAGCTATTGTGGCCACTAGTGGAGTGAGCCAGTGGATGGGAGATCTTTCTGTCTTTCCTTCTCTCTGTAAAAAAAAATAATAATAATAAATAAATCTTAGGAAAAATGAATGCCTTGTCTGGATCCCAGTTGCTCCATTTCCTGTCCAGCTTCCTGCTAACGTATCCACAGAAAACCTAAGACAGCCTACTTGCTTGGGCCCCTGTGATCCACTTGGAAGGCCCAGATGGAGTTCCGGGCTCCTGGCTTCAGCCTGTTCCAGCTCCAGCCATTGTAGTTATTTGGATGGTGAACCAACAGGTGGGAGATTGTTTCTGTCTCTCCTTGTCACTTTGCCTTTTTTTTTTTTCACTTTGCCTTTTGAATGAATAAAATAAATATTAAAAACAACAACAATACAACCCAAGGCAAGCATGTGCTTCCAGTTACCCTCGTGTCGATTCAGAGGTCAGGGCTGTGGCGTCAGAGAGCTCTGCAGTGTCCTCCCCCACCCCGTGGGGCTCGCCCTTCCAGTGTCAGCATGATCCACATCATATCTTCTTTCTTTACAGGGAAATCTTTTTTCTGTGCCTGGAGTAACATGAACAGAGGCTCTCCCAGCATTTGTTCTTCCTTCCAGCTGCCCTGAGGACTGGGCTGGCCACGTTCTCCTCCACCCCCATGCCAGGCACGTGATCCCAGCTCAATCCCTGAGTACCCTGCCTCAGGTTACCAGGAGCTATTCTGGGCACTGGAGACCATGTATTCCCCTCCTCCACCCACTTGGGTCATATCCTGGCTTAGCCCTTCCTGGAAAATCCAGCAGACCCAACAGCCAAGTCCACATGTTCAAGCATCCACAGCCTCTCCATGCTGCCTTCAGTTTCTGCTTCTCTCACTTCATCATCATCACCTTCTATGAAGTACCTGTTCCCGGGTACTGACCTGCTGGAGTTAAAAACAAACAAACAAAAGCAAACAACAAAACCCAGAAAGCAAAAATAAGTAAATAAATAAATATAAACCCACTTTTAAAAAAAGATTTGCTTATTTTTATTGCAAAGTCAGATACACAGAGAGGAGGAAAGACAGAAAGGAACATCTTCCATCCGATGACTTACTTCCCAAGTGACTGCAACGGCCAGTACTGTGCCAATCTGAAGCCAGGAGCCAGGAACTTCCTCCAGGTCTCTCACGTGGGTGCAGGATCCCAAGGCTTTGAGCCGTCCTCTACTGCTTTCCCAGGCCATAAGCAGGGAGCTGGATGCGAAGTAGAGCTGTTGGGATTAGAACCGGTGCCCATATGGAATCCCAGCACTTTCAAGTTGAGGACTTTAGTTGCCAGGCTGCACCAGGCCCTAAAACAGCTTTTAAAAAAGATTTATTTATTTTTATTGGAAGTCATATTTACAAAGACAAAGAGAGACAGAGAGGAAGATTTTCCGTGCAATGATTCACTCCCCAAGTGATTGCACAGCTAGAGCTGAGCTGATCTGAAGCCAGGAGCTTCTTTTGGGTCTCCCATTCAAGTGCAGAATCCCAAGGCTTTGGGCCTTGTCCACTACTTTCCCAGGCCACAAGCAGGGAGCTGGATGGGAAGTGGGACCACTGGGACATGAACTGGTGTCCATATGGCATCCAGGCGCTGTGCAAGGTGAGAACTTTAGCTACTAGCCTATTACGCTGGGCCCTCTTCCCTCTTTCAGCCTTTCTGGGTTGGGATGAACTTCCCCTCTCAGCTCCCATCTTGGCTGCTTTCTCCCTCTCTGATGGGGAAGGGGACTCAGGTCCTCCATTTCTTGGTTGGGAGGAAATCTTCAAGTTTTGAAGTAAACTGCACCCCAACTCCTTAATCATGGAGTAAATGAGGCATGAAAAAGTATGAATTCCAATACTTTTTTAAAGATTTATTTTTATTATTGGAAAGGCGGATAGACAGAGAGGAGAGACAGAGAGGAAGATCTTCCGTCCGATGATTCACTCCCCAAGTGAGCGCAAAGGTCGATGCTATGCCAATCCGAAGCCAGGAGCCTCTTCCAGGTCTCCCACATGGGCGCAGGGTCCCAAAGCTTTGGGCCATCCTCAACTGCTTTCCCGGGGCCACAGGCAGGGAGCTGGAAGGGAAGCGGGGCTGCCGGGATAGAACTGGCGCCCATATGGGATCCCGGGTGTGCAAGGCGAGGACCTTAACCACTGCGCCACCGCGCTGGGCCCCCAATACTTTCTTAAAAGATTATTTTTATTTGAGAGCCTAGCACGATAGCTTAATGGTTAAGGTCCTCGTCTTGAATGTGCCAGGATCCCATATTGGTGCTGGTTCTAATCCCAGCAGCTCTACTTCCTATCCAGCTCCCTGCTTGTGCCTCTGGGAAAGCAGTAGAAGAAGGCCCAGAACATTGGGACCCTGTACCCAAGTAGGAGACCTGGAAAGAAGTTACTAGCTCCTTACTTCAGATTAGCACAGCACTGGCTATTGTGGTCACTTGGGGAGTGAATCATTGGAGGGAAGATCTTCCTCTCTGTCTCTCCTCCTCTCTGTACATCTGCCTTTCCAATAAAAATAATTAAATCTTTTTAAAAAGATTATTTTTATTGGAAAGGCAGATGTACAGAGAAAAGGAGACAAAGATTTTCTCTCCATTTGTTTACTTCAGGTGACCATAATGGCCTGAATTGAGCCAATCCCATGTCAGAAGCCAGGAGCTGCTTCTGATCTCTCACATGGGTGCAGTTTCCTATGGAATCAGGCCATTCTCTACCACTTTCACAGGCCATACCAGGGAGCTGGATAGGAAGTGGAGCGATTGGTACAGGAACCAGCGCCCATATGGGATACTGGCACATGTAAGTGAAGGATTTAGCTACTAAGCCATTATGCCAGGGTCTTCCAACAGCTTTTGTGACAAAACAGGTTACACCTCAGTTTGCAATGCTGGCATCCTGGAGTCCTAGCTGTTTGCCTTCCAATCCAGCTCCCTGCTAAGGAACCTGGGAAGGCAGCTGGATGATGGCCCAAGTGCATGGACCCCTGGCACCCACGTGCAAGACCAGGAGGGAGGTCCAGGCTCCTGGCTTCAACCAGTGCTCATGTCACATTCTTTTCTCTATCATCATTCTGCCTTTCGAGAAAAAAAAAATCTTTAAAAATAAATTCATGGGATTTCTCTCTGCAGTTTGAACACTTCTGCTATTTCCTTTCTATCTGATTTCCCCTACCCTTGGGTGAAACGAACCTTCTTTCCAGCTGCGGCTACTGCCCTATGCAATCCACCTCCCCCCACACCCGCAGCACTCTCAGAGGCTCCTCAGGATTCAGAGGCGCTGAAGGGAGGAGTTAGCTCAGGCGGAGGCACCGGGGGCTGCGGGAGAACCGGCCAGCCATTCGGGCCTTGGGTTGGGCGGCACCTCAGGACCAAGGCCCGGGTGGGTGTCTGCCGAGGGGTCTTAGGGGCCAGAACCCCCTCGAGTGGCTGGCCGGAAGCGAAGAGCACCGCGCGACTGCCGTCGCCACCGAGGGAGACGCCCGCGCGCGGGTATCTGGGGCCGCCCAGCCGGGGCGGAGGGCACGGCGGCCTGGGGCAGCCTGCGCCGCGGGCACCCCAAGCCGAGCCCAGGCCCGCCGCCAGGGAGCGCTGCGGGCTCCCGCTCGCCCGCCCCCCGGTAGGCGGGGCTGAGCTCTCCCCGCAGCCGCCGCCGCAGCCGCCGCCTGGGCCGCCCCGTGTCCCCGGTGGAGCCGCCGCCACCGCCGCTGCGAGCTCGATGCGGACGGAGCCCGGGCCGGGCCATGGGGATCCTCAGCATCACGGACCAGGTCAGCGCTTCTTTCTTTCCCCGGCTTCCTCCTTCCAGGGCCTGGCGCCGCCGCCACGCGAGCCCGGGGATGTGCGGCCTAGGCTGGGCCCCGAGCCCGGGGCTCCCGCCCCGCCCCACACCGCGCTCCCCTCACCCAAGCGGGTGTCCTTGGGGGCCCTGGAGACCTGGTGGAGACACCGAAGGAGCCCGCTGCAGTCCAGGATTACCCACATCCCTTCTCCTCAAACCGGAGCCCCTCCAGTGAAAGCCCCCCTCAAAGCTTGGTGCTTCCCTACCTCCTTGGTTTCGCTCTGGCTCCGGCCCGCTCGCTGAATTGCCGGCTCTTTCTGCAGCCGCCCCTGGTCCAGGCCATCTTTAGCCGAGATGTGGAGGAAGTGCGTTCCCTGCTATCACAGAAGGAGAACATCAATGTGCTGGTGAGTTGGGCACAGGGAGGATGGCGAGCCCAGAATCCCGGCTCCGCCAGCGGGGCGGTTCCGCGGCTCTGCTTGGCTGAGGCCGCAGCTATTTCCACCCCGGGGGTGGGAGCGTGCTCTGCATCTGAGGATGTGAGGAGCAGGTCAGGCTGGGAGCCCAGGACCAGTCGGGTCAGCAGTACTTCCATCCCTCCTGGAAGAAGGGGGGTGGGGTAGGGGCGACCCCTTGGCCTCCACCCTCTCTACCTGCTTTTGCCTTTGGCATTCAGTAGCTGCTAACCCTATGGTAGGAGAATGTGGGGAAGGGTACCTGGAGCTCTGAGGTTTGATCTGTGGGGTCCTGGATAGTCCCTCCCCACCCCCTACAGCCTCTGCTCTTCTGCCTCCAGGACCAAGAGAGGCGAACCCCACTGCATGCTGCTGCCTACGTAGGCGATGTCCCCATCCTTCAGTTGCTACTGATGTCAGGTAAAAGTGGGGAGCCAGGAGGTGAGCTGAGGGGAGGAGGGAGTCACCTGGTTCCTGTACAGGGACTGATCTCTGGTGCCTGGCTGCTGCACACCCCCAGTGTGTGTCTCTCCCCACTTGCCATGGAAACAGGCCCCTGTGTCCCCACAGGTGCTAATGTCAACGCTAAGGATACACTGTGGCTGACTCCTCTTCATCGTGCTGCTGCCTCCCGAAACGAGGTAGGGGCCTCCTGCCTCTTCCACCCTTGCCAATGGACGTGATCAAAGGGGGGGGGGTGGAGGCTGGAGGAGCCCCCATCCGTTTCACCCAGGGTGCAGAGTGTGGAGGCCAGACCTTGGTTTCCCTGGCCTGCCTCTGACACTGGCTGGTAAGGGGCTCTGACTGACGTCAGGGAAAGCAGAACTTCAAGTTCAATTCCCTCTTTGGGCACTTGGTTTCCTTGTTGTAGGGCAAGACGGCCGTATCCCTGCTTCTCAGCCATCGTGGTTGTTGACAACACAGGAGCCAATCATGAGCAGGGGAGCGGGGGTGGGGGGGTTAAGGTCTGTGGGAATGAGGTGGGTGGGTAGGAGAGGAATTGGTATCTGCTTACCAAGGGAATGGAAACACCTCTGGGGGCTGCAGAAGGGCTCAGGAGGATATTCTTGGCTGTAGCGGAAATGTTGATGTGGGATGTGCGGCCCTTTCTTCATTGGGAGCAGGTGGACGGTGGCACTTCCAAAAGTTTATGGGAAAATGGAATGAAATGACAGTTTATTTTGGAGCAAAAAGTTTTGAGGTCCCTGTATTTTTTGTTTGTTTTTCATAATGCATGTATTGGGTGAGCTTTTTGAAAACCTCTCACATGTATTTTAAGTGAGGATTTTCAGGGAGTGGTACAGGTGGTCTAAGCAGGGTAAAGCAGATTGGAAGCTCTGAGGTTGGCCAGCTTAGATATAGATGTGATGGAAACAGGATGATCTAGTACTGGTGGGGATGGGGCCACCTGTGCCATGCTGACCTGTCCCTCCTTCCGCTTCCTCTTGTTCTACTCTTCTGCTCTGCCTGTCTCTTCTCTCTTCTCCCCTGTCCTTTAACAGAAGGTGCTGGGGCTGCTGCTGGCACATTCGGCAGATGTGAATGCCCGGGACAAGCTGTGGCAGACCCCACTGCATGTGGCTGCTGCCAACCGGGCCACCAAGTGTGCTGAGGCACTAGCGCCACTGCTGAGCAGTCTCAACGTGGCCGACAGGAGTGGGCGCAGTGCCCTCCACCATGCCGTGCACAGCGGACATCTTGAGGTGAGGACCCCTGCAGTCTCTGCCAGCCTCGTGCTTCCCTAGCCTTGCTTCCAGATCCCTGGGTCTGGGGTGGAGGGAGCAACAAAGGTGTTCAGTACAGAATAAATGGTCTGACTAGATATTTGGTGTGTATGTGTGTGTATGTGTGGTTTTTAAAATTTACTTGTTTATTTGAAAGTCAGATATAGAAATCTTCCATCCACTGGTTCACTCCCCAAATGGTCACAATGACCAGAACTAAACTGGCCTGAAGCTAGGAGCCAGGAGCTTCCTTCAGGTCTCCCACGTGGGTGCAGGGTCCCAAGGCACTGAGCCATCCTTCACTGCTTTTCCAGGTACATTAGCAGGAAGCTGGATGGGAAGTGGCACAGCTGGGTCTTGAACCAGTGTTTACATGGGATGCTGGCACTGCAGGTGGCAATTTTATCTACTGTGTCACAGCACCAGCTTCTTGGGACCAGAAATTTTCTCTTGGACTTCAAGAGGCGAATAAACCCTCTGAAGTCTCACATGAAATGTTTGTATACATGCTTTTTTCTAAAGAGAGCCCATGTCTTGCATCATACACTTCCAACAACTTATAAGAGGAGAAGGGTAGGCATTTGGCCTTGCAGTTATGAAGCTGATTGAGGGATCCAGATTCCATAATCAAGTGCCTGGGTTCAGAACTTACCTTGTAACTCCAGCTTCTTGCTGCTCTGCGTCCTGGGAGGCAGAAATGACAGCTCAAAGACTAGGGTTCCTGGCACGCATATGGGAGATCTGGATTGAGTTTCTGGCTCCTGGTTACAACTGCTGTGGGCTTCGGGTTTGGTGACCTGGGGTGGGAGTGCTTGCCCTTTTTCCCCATTTTGAATAAATAAGTAAAAAATAGCGAAGACTCCTCAGAGTTTAAGAGCCAGCCATCACCCAGAGGCCCTCTTTGGCTCTTCCCTGGGGCTTCCACATCTACCTGAAGTCCCCAGGAGTCCCCCAGGTTGTCATACTTAGGATTGGAGACTTCACGAGGTGAGACCTGTGCCCAGCCCAGTGCTGACAGGTATATTTCTTGTCTTTATGTAGACGGTGAACCTGCTCCTCAACAAGGGAGCCAGCCTGAATGTCTGTGACAAAAAGGAGCGGCAGCCTCTACACTGGGCTGCCTTTCTAGGTGAGGATCCAGGGAGGTGCTCTCCAGGAGGTCGGTGGGAGGGCACCTAGGATTGTGGACTCTGGGGCCCTGGGACCTCCAGAGTATAGCCTCCATCCACCTTGCCCTCTTTTTCCCCAGGGCATTTGGAGGTCCTGAAGCTGCTGGTGGCACGAGGAGCAGACCTGGGCTGTAAGGACCGCAAGGGCTATGGGCTGCTGCACACAGCCGCTGCCAGCGGCCAGGTTGAAGTGGTGAAGTACCTGCTCCGCATGGGGGCCGAGGTCAGGACATGAGCTGGGGACAGGGGCGGGGAGTTGGGGTTGGTTCTTAAGGACTCTAGGTGTTGGTTTTGGGGTGTGGTTCAGGGAGAATGAGATGGGGATCTGAATGCTATTTGCCATGGTCATAGTGTCTCTGTCTTTTGGGTCAGAAACTTGTCATGGGACTGGGGCTGTTGTTGGGATTCCTGGGTTTCTGGAAGTTGGCTATTCTCACTGCCACTGTGTTGAAACCGCTGCTTCACCTCCCCTCGCTCCTGGAAATACAGATCGATGAGCCCAACGCTTTTGGAAACACAGCTTTGCACATCGCCTGCTACCTGGGCCAGGATGCCGTGGCCATTGAGCTGGTGAATGCAGGCGCCAATGTGAACCAGCCGAACGACAAGGGCTTCACGCCACTGCATGTGGCTGCAGTCTCCACCAATGGCGCCCTCTGCCTGGAACTGCTGGTCAATAACGGGGCTGATGTCAACTACCAGGTGCCTCCAGGGATGGCAGGGATGGGGAGAGGAACCTGGCTTGGGGGTCTGGGTTGCTGTCCTGAGGTCATCAGCCCTTGCTGGAAACTTGAGAGAGCATGTCCCTGGGACAGAGATGCATTCTTTGAAACATTCTCTGTGCTTTGCACTGAAAACAAACAAAAACAAAGAAACTTTGCTGTTTCCACAGAGCAAAGAAGGGAAAAGTCCTCTGCACATGGCTGCCATCCATGGCCGCTTCACACGCTCCCAGATCCTCATCCAGAATGGTATGGGCCTGGGAGACTCAGCCTTTAATCCCCTCCTCTCTCTCTTTCAACCAGGAACCCCGCCCTAGAGAGCCCTGCTTGCCTTGAACCTTCTGCCTTGTCCTCCCATTAGGAGCTCCTACCCTGGCACCTGCTGTGCCCTGCCCAGCCTCCTGGGGCTTACATGCACCAATATGTGCTGCCTGCTTAGCCTGACCCCTTCTAGGCACTCAGAAGGGAACTGCTAGTGGGAGTGGTCCCAAGCCTGACTTCTGCCTGGGTTTTTGTGTGTTCATCCCCTACCCCGCCAACCCTCAGGCAGTGAGATTGATTGTGCTGACAAGTTTGGAAACACGCCACTGCATGTGGCTGCTCGCTACGGACACGAGCTGCTCATCAGCACTCTCATGACCAATGGCGCGGATACTGCCCGGTGAGTGCGGGCCTTGACCCCTGTTTCCAGGTGGCCCTCACCTCTCTCCATCCCCGCTCACCTCAGACATGGGGGAACATAGCCATCTGCCAAAGAGAGGCATGCAGAACCTCCCACCCTGTCAGGGGTGGGGAGTGAGGGCATACACCAGGGCCCTGTACCCAGCTCCTCCTCGACCCAGGGACTGACCAAGTTCCTCCATCTCTTGCAGGCGCGGCATCCATGACATGTTCCCCTTGCACTTAGCCGTTCTCTTTGGATTCTCCGACTGTTGCCGGAAGCTTCTTTCCTCAGGTACATGCCAAGTGGTGACTGGGGGTGAGGTTGGGCCACTGCAGAGCAGGGGCCTCCTGCCGCTCTGCCCGGGCTCTAGGATGTGACTTCTGATGTCCGCCCTCCAGGTCAGCTGTATAGCATCGTGTCTTCACTTAGCAATGAGCATGTGCTCTCCGCTGGGTTCGACATCAACACACCTGACAACCTTGGCCGCACCTGTCTTCATGCTGCTGCTTCTGGAGGGTGAGTCTGCTTCTCTCTCAGGCTCTAGGAGGAGGGGTGGGCAGGGGATCTGAGCTGCTCTTCTCCTTATTTCCCCAACAAAAGCAGAGGAGGCCACCGAGTTCCATCTTGCCTTAACCCTTTTTGGGCTCTTACCTCTCTTCTTGCTCTTAGGAATGTAGAATGTCTTAATTTGCTGTTGAGTAGTGGAGCTGACCTGAGGAGGAGAGATAAATTCGGCAGGTGTGTGACCGGGCATGTGTGTGCTGGGAACATCTGAGTAGAGGGAGGGAGCCTTGTGGCAGCTGGTCAGACTGAAGGGTCAGAGCAGCTTTGGTGTTTTCACCTTGATTCGCTTTCTCTCTGTTCCCAGGACCCCCTTGCACTATGCAGCTGCCAATGGGAGCTACCAGTGCGCTGTGACGCTGGTGACCGCTGGGGCAGGCGTCAACGAGGCCGACTGTAAAGGTTGCTCCCCCCTCCACTATGCTGCTGCCTCCGATACTTACAGGAGGTGAGGCTCCTGTCTGGGCCCCGCTCCACCCATTTCCCACCCTGAGCCATCCCCTGACTTGCTTGTTTTCTGTTGCCCAGAGCGGAAGCCCACACCACTTCCAGCCACGATGCTGAGGAGGATGAGCCCCTGAAGGAGTCCCGCAGGAAAGAGGCCTTCTTGTGAGTAGCAGGGTAGACCCCTCGGGATGCACTCTCCACACCTGCCCCAGCCTGGGTAGACCGCAGGTGCTGATGCAGCTGTGTTGAGCCCAGGCTGAGGAAGGCCAGAAGTGCGAGGCCTCAGGCTGTCTTCCTCAGCCAGATCATTGGTCTGGGCCACAGGTGCTGGGTTCCAAGTGCTATGTTGGGTACAGAAGGGAAAAGAGGAATTACCTCCCAAAATTCTGCCCTTAAAATGCCAGTCTATTGGGAAAGTGAAGTAAAAGAGCTTATTCACACATGTTGTATTTTAGTAATTGGGGAAGCTAGGTACAGGACATATTGGCACTGTCTCTCTCTCTCTCTCTTTTTTAAGACATATTTATTGATTTAAAACGTAGAGTGACAGAGAGGGAGAGACCAAAAGAGAGCTCTTCCATCTTCCAGTTCACTTGCCAGATGGTTGTAACAGCTTTGGCTTGGGCCAGGCAGAAACCAGGAAACTGGCACTCCATTCAGGTCTCCTACATGGATGGCATTGCCCAAGCACTCGGGCCATCCTCCACTGCTTTCCCAGGCACATTTACAGGGAACTGGGTCAGAAACAAAGCAGCTAGAACTTATGCGCAGATAAAATGCTGGCATTATAGGCTGCAGCTTGGCCCACAGCAGCACAGCACTGGTGTTATCTTAGTCATTTTTCTGTAACTGTAAGACTGTTCTACAGTGAAAACTTCATTTAAAAAAACAAAAGGTGTTAATAATTAGTGCCAGTGTTGTAACATAGCAGGGAAATGCTGGCATTCCATAAAGGTGCTGATTCAAGTCCCAGCTGCTCCACTTCCAGTTCCGCTCCCTGCTTATGACCTGGGAAAAGCAGCAGAATATGGTCCAAATATTTACTGCCACCCATAAGAAAGACCCAGAGGAAATGCCTTGCTTTGACCTGACCCAGACCTAGCTGTTGTAGCCATCTGGGAAGTAAAAAAGCAGATAGAAGATTTCTCTTTAACTCTGACTTACACATAAATAAATAAAATCTTTGCCTCCCCTCCCAAAAAAAGAAATGCATAATCAAATGCAAGTAATTGCTGTGTGACCTTTGGCAAGTTATTCTTGTGTGCCTCAGTTTTCTCAACCAGAGTCAAAACTTACCTTAATCAATATGAGGCTTTTCTTTAAACACACACATGGAAGGCTCAGAATAGTGCTGGACACAGGCCACGTGCTAATGCTTTACTGTCACTATTGCTGTTAAGCTACAAATAGATTATGAGAACAGTGCAGAGAGCACCAGGGAAAGAGGTAACTAACTGAGAAGCCTGACATAAACAGAGGAGAGAGGAGAAAGAGGGATTTTTGAAATTTTATTTTAAGATTTTACCTATTTTTATTGGAAAGTCAGATGTACAGAGTGAAGGAGAGATACTACACTTGATCTTAGCCAAAAGGCTGAGAAGTGATAGAGTGAAGGAGAGAGAGAAAGAGTTTCAGTTCACTGATTCACTCCCCAAGTGGCCACAACAGCCAGAACTAAGCCTGTCCGAAGCCAGGAGCTTCTTCTGGGTATCCCACATGGGTGCAGGGTCCCAAGGCTTTGGGCTGTTCTCTACTGCTTTCCCAGGCCACAAGCAGGGAGCTGGAAGGGAAGTGGAGCAGCCGGGGCACAAAATGGCACCCATTTGGGATCCTGGCACATGTAAGGCGATAATTTTAGCTACTGGCTGCTAGGCTATGTCTCTGAACCCGATTTTTTTTTTTAAATAAAAATTTATTTTTATTTGAAAGGCAGAGTTGCAGAAAGAGAAGGAGAGATAGAGAAGATCTTCCATCCACTGCTTCATTCCCCAGATGGCTGCAACAGTTAGAGCTGGTCTGATCCTCAGCTGGGAGAAGGAATGTCTCTGGGTCTCCCATATGGGTACAAGCACCCAAGCACTTGGGCCATCCTATATTGCTTTCCTAGGCCATAAGCAGAGTGCTGGATCAAAAGTAGAGCAGCTGGGATTTGAACCTTACACAATGCCTGTCCTGCAGGCAAGGGGTTAGTCTACTGCACTGTGGATGATAGCCCCAGGACTGAATTTGAAATTAATAGAAGGGCAGTTATTTGGACCAGTGGTTACGATACCCATGTCAGAGGGCATGAATGATTCCCAGTTCTGTTTTTTTTATTCCTGTCTACCGACCCTGGGAGACAGCAGTGATGACTCCAAGTCCAGGGGTCCCTGTTAACTATGTGGGAGACCCAGAATTTTTCCTAGCTCCTGGTTTCGGCCTGGTCTAACTCTGGCTGTTGTAGGGTGAACCAGCAGATAGGGGAACACTCTGTCTCTCTCTGCCTCTGAAATATCTTCATTATTATCACCGACAATGAAAAGAAATGGGTAAGAGTGGCTTCAGGTGGGCTGAGAGGAGGCTGCATCTTGGGCGGCAGTCACCACATGTGCGTGGGTCACCTGCAGGGGGGTAATCCTGCAGCTCATACTCCAGGTTTTCCAGGAAAGTAGTCGGGGGAGGAAGGAGGAAGTGAAGCCTGAGTGCTATGGTGCAGACCTGGGCTGAGGGTGGACAGGGTTGGGAGCAGAGGTGAGGTGATGGCTGGGGGTCCTGGTGAGGCCCCCTCTGTCCCTCTCAGGCGTGTGCCTCACAGGCCTCCCCGGCCCCACAGCTGTCTGGAGTTCTTACTGGATAATGGTGCAGACCCCTCCCTGCGGGACAGGCAGGGCTACACAGCTGTGCACTATGCAGCCGCCTACGGCAACAGACAGAACCTCGAACTGGTACGTGCCAGCACTAGGCCTGGGGGAGGCTGGGCCGAGGCACATGGTTCGCCTCTGGGTGTGGGAATTCTGAAACCTAGAGGTTGCTGTATCACGGGCATGCTATGGATCCGGGATAATAACAGATGACTGAGTTGGAGGTGGAGAGAGGTGAGGGACTACACCTTGGAGATCCCAAATCCCAGCACCCTCTTTCTTCTCCATTGCAGCTCTTAGAAATATCCTTTAACTGCCTGGAGGATGTGGAGAGCACCATTCCAGTCAGCCCTTTGCACTTAGCTGTGAGTCCCTCGTCTTCTCTTGCCTTCCTTACCCCTACCTTGTTCTCAGGCCTCCACAAAGGCACCAGTCACTGTGACCTGAGCCTGATTGCTGCCATCTTGCGGGGATGGGCGTGGTGCAGGGGAGAGACCTGGAGAGCTTCAGAGGGCTGATGCCCAGAGCACCTCCTTGGGCCCCCAAAGCAGAGTGGGGCCAGATGCACATCATGAGCTCTCTGTGGCTTGCCTGTATGCCCCCAGGCCTATAACGGTCACTGTGAAGCCCTAAAAACGCTGGCCGAGACGCTGGTGAATCTGGACGTAAGGGACCACAAAGGCCGGACCGCGCTCTTCCTGGCCACGGAGCGAGGCTCCACTGAGTGTGTGGAGGTCCTCACGGCCCACGGTGCCTCTGCCCTCATCAAGGAGCGCAAGCGCAAATGGACGCCCCTGCACGCTGCTGGTGAGTGCCCTCGCTTGCCTTGTCCTTCCCTTGCCACCCCCGAACCCTCCTGGGCAGGATGAGGCCTGGGAGTGGGGGAGGGAGGAGGATGGAACCATGAATCCTAATTTGAGGCTTCCCATCTGCCGAACTCCCTCCTCCACCTGCCTGCCCCAGGTCTTCCTGTAACCTTGACCCTGCATTCCTTGAGGCTTGAGCTGGCCTTGCTCCCTCCTCCTGACTCTGATTCTTGGCATCCCTCTACCTCTATCCTCCCAGCTGCCTCTGGCCACACTGACTCCCTGCACTTACTGATCGACAGTGGGGAACGAGCTGACATCACAGATGTCATGGATGCCTATGGACAGTGAGTATTGACTGGGGCTGGGATGAGGGTGTTTCTACCCACATTGGACCATCACTCCTTTCTCCTACGCCCTCTGTAGAACCCCACTGATGCTGGCCATCATGAATGGCCACGTGGACTGTGTACATCTGCTGCTAGAGAAAGGATCCACAGCTGACGCTGCTGACCTCCGGGGCCGCACTGCCCTCCACCGTGGGGTGAGTGCTTGCAGCAGGTCACTCCCAGACAGGCCTTTTTGTGGGCGGTCAGTACCCATTCATAGCAGGGCCCCGGACTGCTCAGGAGGTCGGCTGGGATTTCACACCCAGAGTCCTATCAGGCTTTAACTGTGCTTGCCACCTGACTGCCCTGCTCTGTCATCATGTCCAAGCACATGCCTGCCACCCAGACAGTGCCCATGATGCCTTGCCAGCCCTGTCCCCTCAGACAGTGACACCATCACCCAGGTCCTTCTCGTGACAAAAGCAGTCTCCTCCCCAACAGGATTCTTACCCCCTCAGTCCTTTCTTTGTTCCCTGGTTGTTCTCTCACCCTGGAGTTCCAAAGCAAAATCTGGCCATCGTGATGGTTGGCCCAGGGAGGCAGGGAAGCAGGTGTTGGAATCTGGAACCCTGGAATCCTTGTTGAGCATCAGGGATTGGAGCTCTGGAGGTGGTTGCTACTCCTGGGACAGCTCAAGCAGCCGCCTGCTCACTGCCACTCACCCCCTTGTCACCCACAGGCAGTGACTGGCTGTGAGGACTGCCTGGCTGCCCTGCTGGACCACGATGCATTTGTGCTCTGCCGAGACTTTAAGGGCCGCACGCCCATTCACCTGGCCTCAGCCTGTGGCCACACAGCAGTTCTGCGGACCCTGCTGCAGGCTGCTCTTTCCACAGACCCCCTGGATGCTGGGGTAGACTACAGTGGCTACTCGCCCATGCACTGGGCCTCCTACACTGGTACTGCATGCTCCAGGATATGCATGTGGGGTTGGGGACCTGGGTTGCCATAGGCCTGGTGGAGGGATCTTGTCTGTTCCTGTCACTGCCCTTTGGTCCTTGTCCCCAGGACATGAAGATTGTCTGGAGTTGCTACTTGAACACAGCCCATTTTCGTACCTGGAAGGAAACCCCTTCACTCCTTTGCACTGTGCAGTGTAAGTCCTTCTGCAGGGTCAGCCCCCACCTCCTCTGTCTCTGGGGGCTATGCCGTGTGGTCAGACAGGAAGTCCGCTTGCCCTGCCCTTCCTGATATCCTCCACTTGCTCTTCCCCAGAATTAATAACCAGGACAGCACCACAGAGATGCTGCTGGGAGCTCTGGGTGCCAAGATTGTGAACAGCCGAGATGCCAAAGGACGGTGAGTGAGGGACCGCCCCGGGCTTCCTGTGTGCTCAGGACCAAGGGTGTCCCCCGCTTCACCCTGCCCTGTCTACCCACAGGACCCCCCTTCACGCCGCTGCCTTCGCAGACAACGTCTCTGGGCTCCGGATGCTGCTGCAGCACCAGGCCGAGGTGAACGCCACTGACCACAGTGGCCGCACGGCACTTATGACAGCGGCCGAGAACGGGCAGACCGCTGCTGTGGGTGTGTAGGGGTCGGTCCCTTGGGCAAGGGAGGCAGGGGCCCCTGGCATGTTGACTGAGGCTGGGAGCAGGGTGCCACCATGGATGCACACAGGAAGGAGGGGAGAGGTGTCACTTCCTCAGTGGCCTTTCTCTTCCAGAATTTCTGCTGTATCGAGGGAAGGCGGACCTCACTGTGTTGGATGAGAATAAGAACACTGCCCTCCACTTGGCTTGTAGCAAGGTACTGCCTGAGGGGGGCGCAGTGCTGGCTCACATGCCAACCGTGACCTCGCTGACTGCAGAGCAGGTTGGAACCAAAGGCAAACTTACTTAAGGGACACCTGCTGTCCCTCCCCAGTTCCCACTTCCTTCACAAGTGCCCAATATCCCTTCCTGCAGGGCCATGAGAAGTGCGCCCTCATGATCCTGGCAGAAACCCAAGACCTTGGCCTTATCAATGCTACCAACAGTGCGCTGCAGATGTGAGTGCGCGGGGCAGGGGGCTCCTGTTTGGGGGAAGCGGGTTGGTGAAAAAAGAGCGGGCTTGGGGCTCTCTGAAGCTCACAGTGCCTGCCCAGAGCCCTTGCCTCTCTGGCCTCCTGCTGGCTTCACAGTCCTTCTTCCCTTTCCCTCTACCCAGGCCACTCCACATTGCTGCCCGCAACGGTCTAGCCTCTGTGGTGCAGGCCCTGCTGAGTCGTGGGGCCACAGTGCTGGCCGTGGATGAAGAAGGTAGATGGAGGCTGGAATCTTCACCTCTTTTGGGCTTGAGACCAAGGCCAGCCTTCAGGGGGTGGCTTCTCAACCTTGCTGTAAATGAGATTCTCTTCCCTATTGGACTTTGTCAAGCAGGGACCCCAACATTGATACCCTGGAGTCTCAGAGGGGAGGGTAATGAAGTGGAACTAAATGGCGCCAGCAAGGTCAGAAAGATCCCTCTACCGCACACACATCAGGCTTCTGTCCCCGCAGCTGCACCCTCTAGGCTGCACTTTGAGAACCTGCCTGTCAGGCTTCTGGGTTCCTAGTCATCCTTGACTTGTGACCCTGCTGGTGGATACTTGACTGTCTGGGAGGGGCAGACAGGAACCCCAACATATAGGTCTCTGGGCCTAAGCTGCTCCCGGTGTGGTTCCACAGGTCACACCCCAGCACTGGCCTGCGCTCCCAACAAAGATGTGGCCGATTGCCTGGCCTTGATCCTTTCCACCATGAAGCCTTTCCCACCCAAGGACGCCGTCAGCCCTTTCAGTTTCAGTCTGCTCAAGAACTGCAGCATCGCGGCTGCCAAGACGGTGGGTGGCTGCGGCGCCCTGCCCCACGGGGCCTCGTGCCCCTATAGCCAGGAGCGGCATGGCGCCATCGGCCTAGATGGCTGCTACTCGGAGTAGCCCCATTCAGTACCCCTCTCCCTGCCGGTGGCTTGATACCTTATTCTATTTATTTAGAAAAAGTCTAAACATTTAGGGCACTTTAAAGGAGAACACGACTGGGCAGAGGGGGGCGGAGGGTGGCGGAGGGGGACAGCAAGCGCTGGGGAGCAGCCGCTCACCCCTTTGCCGCACCATCTAGCCTGGCAGGGACCTGGGGCATATAGGGAGCACCCCAGGCCCTTGGTACCCCCAGGTGACCCCTCCGCCAAGTGTCCCCAAATGATTGCTAAATGCCTGGCTTCCCCCTCTCTGATGCCACCTCTCAGCTCCCTCTTTCTGCTGCCAGCTGCTCCCATTCTTTCCTCAGCCTCTCCCCACTGTGCCCCCCTCCCCACCCCTCACTGCCAGGCAAATTCCCTTCCCCCCCACTTCCATTCCCATCACTGCCTCCCTGCTCGGCTGGCCCCTCCATTCCCGCAGCAGTGAGAAGCCTTAATTTCTGGTACTGTGTGAGCACTCTGGGGGTGTCCTCTCCCCCTTCAGGGGCAGCTAGAGAATGAGGGGGGAGGATATTTAGCACTGGGGCCTGGAGCTTTTTCCCCACCTCTGTACCTATCGCCCCTGAAGTTCAAATGCAAAACACTTGAAGCAGCAACTACTGTACCTGGGCCCCAATCCCGCACTCTTCCCCCTGGCTCCTCATATGCAAATCAAGGGCTGGTTCTGCCCCCACAGCCTGCCCCACCCCCTCCCCACTCCTGGCCTGGCCCCCTGACCACGCACTTTAACCTTGCTTTTCTTTTTTACTTCTTTTGGGAGAGCAGAGCCTGTGGCCCTCCCCTCCCTGGCTCTCCTCTCCCCAGACTTTGAGACTTGTCATGAATTTTTAAGTAAGCATTTTGTCCTTTAGGGGAAGAAACAAATTAATTCCCTGCCCATTTCAAAATCACCACAGCCCTAGGATGTCCTTATCCGTTTCAGGCATGTGTTTGCATGTGTCCAGGGAGGGATCGTGTTCTCTCTCCTGTGCCCCAATCCCAGAGTTCCCCCATGCGTGCCCCCATCCCCACCCCGTCTGCCTCCACCTTCCGTTACGTCCAAGAGTTCCCACCGCCCCCAGTCACTCCCGATCTGAAGCCAAAGATGGTGGGAGGAGCAAGGCTGACCAGGGACCCAGGCTGCTTCCTCTAGTGGGAGGATGCAGTGCGGCGGGGCGGCAGCAAAGAGATGTTGAGGCTAGGTCCCTGCCTTCCCAGGAGTGGGGAGAACTGGGGTTGAGCTGGGGCGGGGAGGGGCTTTGTTGATAAAGAGCCCTGAAAGGCACACCCCAAAAAGCCAAACTGGGCTGGAGTGAGGAGGGGGCGGTTTTTTTCTCTAAATGTAGCATTGAATTTGGCCCTGGTCCCTTCTGACGCCCTGTCCACCCATTTCCTAGTCAAGTCGCCTGGACAGCTGGCCCCACTCCCATCGCCCAGCGTTCCCTTCCTCACACTCAATACCTCAGCCAGGGACCAAGACACAGAACTTGAATAGAGTTCACGCCCCGCCCCACCGTGAGCCCGGCCTGGGTTTGGCTGCCGTCAGTATTGGCCCCTGAGAACTGGACAGGTTTTGTTTACACAGTGCAGGGCTCCCCTGAACCCCACTCTGGGGTCCCGTGGCCTCCTGCCCCTCCCCCAACCCTGGATTGCTTGATTTCAATCTTAGCCATTTTTCAGTTGTGTCCCCTGAATGTCTTGCCATCCTTGCCAGGTAGGCTGGAGTAGGGAGAGGGGATGGGCATCCAGAGATCCCTTCCCCTTTTCCTCCCTCCCTTCCTGCCCAGCAGATGCCCTTAACCTCACCTCATGCTGGTTCCTGAAGCTTGGGGTATTTGTCCAAATCCTGAGTTTTCTCGTGGTCCCTGTTTAGCCCCCATATCTGTGTCTTACTTCCCCATCTCTCAGTTCCTAAACCATTTCAAGGTTTCGAATTGACCATTATTGGTGAGAAGGATTGTGCAGCTTTTAGTTTTTATTTTTGTTTTCAAAGCCAAAGGGCCTTGCAATGCCCCTCTTGCCCTCCCCGCCCCCTTCACTCCCTGACCATCCCCCTCTACGACAATCAATGTGACCTCTCTTAAGGGCTGCAGCCCCCATCCCCACCCTGCTGGTTCTGCAAAGCTTGCCCTCCCCACCTTCCCTCCCCCTCCAACTTGGAATCTCTCTCCTCACATCTTCCCATTCCAACCCTTCCTCATTTTGGTGCTGGGAACTAGGTGGTAGGGGGAGCGAGGTGGGTGGGAGATGGGTCCTCCTGGCCAAGATTCCTGGGTGGCAGTCGTGTTCTCCTTTGTCACTGCTTGGCGACAACAGGAAAAATTGGAGCACTTGTCGGGAGCTCCCTTGTATGCTAGGTGAGATTTCAGGGGCTCTATGTTCCCCACCTCCTCTTCAGCACTGGGTTGGCCGTGCTGGGGGAGGCCAGGTTGAGGAGCACCCTTGGGCCCTCCTCATGTGACTGAGGAGGCCTGGGGGCGGAGAGCGGCCTCCTCTCCTTATGCCAAAGGAAATCCCGCCCCCCCACCCCAGGCTCTGCCCCTAGTGTGTTTTGAAGCATTTTTTGACCATTTTCATGGCCACTGCATATTTATTTTTAAATGTTAAGGGTTTTTTTGTTTTTGTTTTTTTTAATCTCTGACTTAAACGGGTGTGGAGAAGCGAAACAGGCTGAATGCCCCCCAATCTGCAGGGGGAGGGGAGGTCCGCTCCTTCCTTTGGTCCTCCCTCTGCCCCCTCCCCCGCAGCTCTAAAGCACTTGCTTCAAGTAATAAGCACTTTTGTGGAAAGGCCTGTTTGAGGTGAGGACCTTGGGGACAGCCCCAGGTCCCTGAAAAGGAGACCAAGCAAGAGGGCTAGAGAGGAGACGAGAAATGAGGCGTGCATACCTGAGGGTGAGATGGAAAGAGCCAGTTTTTTCAGTTTCTGACGTTTTGGGGGTAATGTCCCTGCTTGGGCGGTGGCTTTGCTAGGGTTAGGTTGTGTACTATCCTTCAGATTAAAAAAAAAAAAGGCACAAACTGTGGGTCCCCGGAGGGACCAGCAGACCCAGGTCACTGCCACTGTCTAGCTGAGACTGATGGGCCACCTCCCCGCCCCGTGGCCCGCTGAGCCATAGGACTGCTGAAAACCACTGAATGTACAGCCCAGGGCGGGTGAGGGCGACCCAGGGGATGGGCTTCTCCTTTGTTTGGTGCTGTGGGGGGTGGGAAAGTTGAGACAGAGGGACTACCACCCCACTACTCCCCTAGACTTGTGTTCCTGGGAGTGGAGGGGCTTAGGGAGGCCTCCCGCCCTCCCCAGCCCCAGCCCCACCCCTCTCCCTCACCCCTGTTGGTCTTGACTGTAAGTCCAGCTCACCTTTGCCTTCAATATGTAACCAAAGGAAAACTCAATACTGTTTCCACCGCTGTCGCCCACCGAGCACCTCCTTCCTTTCTCTTCCCACCCCACTGGAAGGGAGAAGAGGCTAGGGGTGGGTGGGTAAGGCCAGAGTGAACGGTTCTATAGCTGTACCCTCCCCTACAAACCTCTTCCAGAGTCTGGAGAGCCGGGGCTGGGACCAGGCTGGCAGGGGTGGGAGTAGGTGCACTCTGTATGTGGCTCACGGAGTGCTGCTTCTTCCACATGGCTCCAGTGAATGGACTCCAGCCCAGGGGCCTCTTTCCCCTTTCCCTCTGCCATCTCCACCCTTTCCCCATAACCCAGTGTTCACTCCCACCTTCCCTTCCAGCCGCAAAGGAAAATAGCCTTACAGACCCTAGCCCGGAAACCCTGTTCCCTGGGGGCCGGCCGGTATGGGAACCCCAGTCTCGCCTAGTTTGAAACCCTACCTTTTTAGAAGGAGGGACAGGAGCAAAGCAGCCCCTTCCCCTCTAACTGTGGTGGCTCCAGCCTTCCGTGGCCTTGATCCCAGTTGGACAAGGACGGAGGTAAGGAATCTGAGGACCAAGCCCAGTGGTCTGGGAAGAGGGAGGTGGAAAGGAACGGGCCTGATGTGGGGATCCCCCTCCTCCCGACCCAACCCCTAGAGAAGCGACCAAATGCAGAGATGGGAGGAAGCTGGGTGGGAGGTCTGCTCTTGTAAATTACTTGAAGGTACTGACTCCGAGGCTGCTGTTGCCCACATAGGTGTGAGGGGGCCACTGTCACTGCATTTGGGAGGGCAGTGGGTGGTGGGTGCCATAGGATCTGCCCCTGGTCCTCGCTCACTCCCGCTAGGCCCTTTCCCTGGGGCATTCGGAAGTCTGACTTGCCACCAGGGGAATTGGGGAGAGCCTTCCCTCCCGTCTCCATCCCTCACTCTGGGCACCCTCTCCAATTGCACTAAAGTAGCTGTTGTGCCAGTCTTACCCCCACATCAGGGGGGGGGTCCTCTGCTTCCAGTCTCCCCTTCTCCTCCCCTGCCGCCTCCGCTCCCATCCCGGACAATCTCCTTATTCCCCCTTGTATTCTTGGATAACTCAGCTTTGTATGTGTGTGTTGGGGGGTGGGATGGGTTCCGGCTGCAGTGGGTTTGGCAGGAGTTTGGGAAGGGCTATAGGAAAGATGGAGGATGAAGTCTCCTGCTCCCTTCCCCGGCTCCAAGCTCCAGAAGCCTGGCAGGGAGATGTCTACTCTCACTGCCGTGTGTCTTGCAGATGTGCCAAAATTTGGGGGGGGTGGGGTGGGAAGGGGGGTGCCTGGCAGAGCAGCCCCCAGGGTGGCTCTCTCAAAGCAATACAGTTCCCCTGCCTGGGGAATGGCAAGACAGGGGAGAGGGTTGGTGGGGCGGGGTGGGGGGAGGGGATGTGAGGGGTCCCCGTGTACAGCTGTGCATATTCAGGGGCATTCTCTGTCTGGTACCCGCTGTGGGCATTTATGTGTGTGTGACCCTCCCCTTCCCCGTGCCCTGCATGCCTGTGATGCTGCAGATACCACCATCCTGTGTGCAGGTGTGTGCTGGGGGGCTCAGAGGGCATGCCCATGTCCTGTTGCACCCTCCACCCTGTGACCCATGTACTCGGTTGTAGGAAGTAAAGAGAACTGAGCACAATTCACTGGATTCTAGTGAATCTTATTCTAAAGCAATGTTCCCATCCCTGCCCTTGCCTTGCCCTGGATCCACCTGTGGTGCTAGTGTTGGGGTTGGAGGGGGCGGGGTGTTTCATGCTGGTGGGCAGCAATAAAGGGCTGGTCTGCTGAGATGCCTGCAGCCCCAGGGTGCTGAGGACAGCAGGAACAAGTGGGGACCTTGGTGCATTTGCTCCTCCCCTTTCCCCCTCCTCCCTGGGCTAAAGCACAATGCTCTCCCCGCAGATTGATGTACCCTGCACCCTCCAGGCCCCCTATTCATGTCCTTCCCCCAAGCCTGCTTTGAACCCTCCCACTGCAACCTGGTTTTCTATGCTGTTTTGGTGCAAGTACAACTGTCGTAGTCATGGCTTTGGGATGGGTTCTGTTTATTAAAATCCTATTGCTCCTACTGGCCCTGTGTCCCGCCTCCATTCATATAGCTGGGCAGTGGTGGGAAGAGGGGCGCCCTGGACCCCTCCCCGCTGCCCCATCAGTCGTCAGAGACCAGGGGCAACAGGTGCTCCTCCAGCAGGGTTATAGTGAGCATGAGGCCGCCCCCCAGCAGCAGCCCCAGCCCCTGCAGCAGCACGTGGGGTGTGGGAAGGGGCTCAGGAGGACGCAGCAGGGCCGGGAGCTGGAAGGAAAGAAGACAGTCATGCTTCCAGCCTTGTCTGGGACCTCTCAACACTAGAAGTGGGTGGCCAGCTTCAGCAGCTCCCGCCCCTTGCTTCTCTTAGGGGTTTATGGTCAACACCCTGCCCTTGTGGTCACCCCCACCCAAGGTGAGGGACTCAGTATTCCCTCTACTACACACACACCACCTCCCTGCTTCTCTGGTTCTCTGCCCTACCCCACCCCTCTCACCATGTCTACCAGTGCCACATAGAGGAAGACCCCAGCTGTGACTCCAAACACCCAGGGAGTGAGGGGCATGGGGCCCACACTGAGCCCCACACCCAGGGCTGCACCCCCTAGGCCCAGGGCTCCAGAAACGAGGCTCAGCAACAGCAGGCGCCGAAAAGATAGCCCTGCCTGAAGCAGCACTGCAAAGTCACCTGTGAAAGAAAGCAAACAAGGGGAGGGGATGAGCCTGCAGGCACTGCCCCTCTGGTCCCCTCCCCCATGCCTCCCCCTGCTTTGTGCTGTTCCTACCCAGTTCATGGGGCAGCTCATGGCAGAAGACTGCAAGGGTGGTGCTGAGACCGCTGGAGAAACTGGCAGAGAAGGCAGCTCCTGGGATGGGGAGCAGGTAAGAAGAAGCCTCCCCAGGACAGGTGTTCGCACACCCACCCCAGGCTTCCCGTTGTGCTCTTCTTGGCTGCCCTTCACTGGCCCCAGCTTGTAGGCAGCCAGGGAGCCCCAGCCTCCCACTGCCCCTCCTCTCGCACCTATGGCCAGCCCATCTGTGAGGTTATGCAGGCCATCTCCCAAAAGAACCATCCATGTGATGCTGGCACCAGTGCCACCCTGGCATCCGTGACTGTGGCCTTGGTGTCCAGTAGGGGCTGGGGCTGGTGAAGGCTGCTTGTCCCACTCCCTCTGGTCCTGAACCCCTGGCTCTGCAGGAGGAAAGATGGGGACAGATGTTGGTGGCTATACCAGAAGAGCTGCAAGCTGGGAGTTGACCCCTTGTTCCATGCACTAGTCACCTGGAGCTGCCTGTAGCGGCTGAAGGGCCCTCCCACAGCCATCCTCTGGGTCCAGGGGCGGTGCGTCAAAATCCCTTCGTTTCTGCCTGCAGCATCTCTGCAATAGGACAGTAACCCTCCTGGTGGCCAAGGCCAAGCGACCACCAGGGGGGTAGCTGGACCTCTACCCTCTGCTCAGCTGGGCAACTCTGTTTCTTGTTGACTTGAAATTGAGGGAGGAGGCCACTGGGCTGGAAGTCTTAAGTCTGGGATAGAGTCCCTGGCTGCCCTGTTTGGTGCTGCACAATCACACAAGCATCAGAGAGCCAGGAGCACCTGCTGGCCTGTTGTCCTGCCAGTTCCTTGCCAGGATCCTGGTCTCTGCAGTAGCAGCAGGAGGAGGAAGGGGTGTCACTCACTGTCTTGAGTCCTCTGCGTCGTAAGATCCCTAGCATGTTCTCCAGCACGAACAGCAGGAGGAGGCCTCCCAGCACCAACAGCCCTGGACCTGGATCCTCCTCTGGTCGCCCACCAGGTCCTGCGTGCAACCCTTCTTGTGCCTGACAGAGAGGAAATCAGAGAAGCCCCTGTCCTCAGCACCACCCTGTCCCCTCCCACCACTCCGCCAATCCACATGGGAGGTGGCAAGTCTTCCACCCTGCCTGCTGTAAAGCAGCCATCTCTGATCCAAGCCTAGAGCTGGCGAGTGGGACCAGGAGTAACAGAAAGGGGGAGGGGAAGCGCAGTCCCATGGCTGGGAATTCCGTGGATCCGTGGAGGTCAGCTGCCCCTGGAGGCAAGGATCACAGGGAGGGTCCTCACGTACATGTGGCAACAGGTGAAGCAATGCATCCCCACAAAGAGTGCCCACGGCCAGGGCCCCCAGGAAGCCGAGCAGGGGTCGCAAGAGACGAGGTCCCAGGAGCCGCAGCAGCAGCAGGGAGAGGGGAGCAGGAAGGCTGAGCAGCAGGACTGCCAGGGCACTATGAAGCAGGGCTGGAAAAATCAGGGCCTGAGTTAGGCCAGGATTGTAGGGAGGGGAACCCCCCCAGAGGCCAGGTGGGGGCAGGGATGTACTTTGAGGAGACCCATTCCCTAACAAGCCTCAGGGTACAACCCACACCTCCTCACCCACTGACCAGATAGTAGGTCCACCGAGGGGGCTGGGGTTGGGGCTTGGATGCAGACGCGGCTGTCAATCTGATACAACAGAGCTGGGCACAGCAAGGCGAACTGACGAGGAGTCAGAGCAGCAGCTGGGCTCAGGCCAAAGTTGACCAGCAGCTGGGAGCCATTAAGACACTAGGGGAGTTGAGTGTAGGGTCATGCATTGGGAATCCCCGGGACACAACTCAGTTATTCCAAGTCCATCCTTCCACTGCAGGCACCCCTGGGGCTCTCCAGGGTCCCCTTCACTGTCACTGCAACTGGCAGGTACAGTAGGAGCTGGAGGCAGGAGTAACTTGGACTCCTTGTGGGTTCATTATTGGTGACCTCTGAAGCCAATGCAGATTGTGGGTCAGCGAGCGCTGCTGCCATCCTTCCCGTGCTCCCTGTTCCTTTATCACTTTGTCAATGTGGTCAAGGAGCCTGTTGGGCCACTATGGTCTTCGTAGTCAGACTCTGAGAAGGGAGAGGAATCCGCAGTGCCATCCAGCCTGCCTCTCCATGACCCCAACAGGTATTCATTGAGCCTGAGCCAGGCAGCCTTGTCTGCCCTTTGATGTTTGTGGAATAAGTTCCCCATCCTTTTGGATGCAGAGAGCCATTCACTCCCTGCAGGTCTCCAGCCAACCATCCCTACCTCCTTCCCTGGGCTGCCTCTCTGGATCCTCTCACTTGCCAAGGCTGTTCTCTAAACCGGGCTGTTGGGGTGTGGGCTCACCTGTTGTGAGCCATCTAATCCCTGGGCCCTTCCCCTGTCTAGGGCCTTCCACTCACATCCTCATTCAGGTGATCAGCCAATGAGTGGTCCAACAGTAGCAGCCTATGAAAGAGGTCCAGGCCCGAGGAGGCTGGTCCGGGGGCTTGGTGGGGATTCTGGGACTCTTCCAGGTCACCCCACTCCGAGGGGCCCAGGGGCATCCCAGCCCAGACATCTACACTCAGCTCAGGGTCCTGGGGCCTAGAAGGGAAAGGAGAGCCGTCAGATCTGCTGAGCCAGGTATTCCCAGGTCCCTATGCGGAGGGGGATGGCTGAGAACAGTCCTGTTCTGGTTCTAGAGGGCTCCAGGAGTGCAAGAAGACAAAGGTGGACAGCTCAGGATCACTGCATGCTGGGAGAGGGAGGGGAATTAGGAGGAGGCAAGATGGGCCTTGAAGAGATCCAGGGCAGATGAATTCTGGAGAATGTCATTCCAGGGATCTCCTTTTAGGAGGCTGGGACTGGAGACCCAAGGTAAGCATTGGGAAGTTGGGGGCTGTGGTATTTGAGGATGGAGGAGGTCATACCTGTGTGTGGCATTGTCTGCAGCTGGGTGTAGCACACGACTGGGAGGCCCATGGTGTCCCAGGTGAAGCCCCTGTACTCGGCCTAGCCCCAGACTGTGGAGAAGGCGGCCCAGGCCCCCTGCGGTTAGCGTCCCATTCTCTCCATATAGGCCAAACAATTGGGTAAGGTAGTGGTTCTGCTCCTGTTCCGCCGGGCCCAGATTAGGGATGGAGCCCCCTACCCAGCCCAGGAGCATCCCGACACACAGACCAGACAGCAGGTGGCTCACGAGGGGCCCCATCACCCCAGGGTCAGGTGGAAGGGACTGGAAGCTCCAGTTTCGGTGTCTATTCGTTCCGGCACATCCTAAGGACCGTGATCTGGAAAAACAAGGGGGCGGGGTGGAGACCCTTGCTCCTGACCCAGCCTGAGTCCAGCAGCAGTAGCAGTAACTGGTCCCTGTTCTCTGTCTTCCCTCTGCATTGCCTCCTTCTAAAGTAGGCTCATTGCCAGCTCCTGGACTAACTCCCTGACCCAGAGCTCTCCCCACAGCAACTCCACATGCACCCAGGTTCTTAAACTCCACCCTTCCAGTCCCTTCCAGGTCCCAGGGTCTCACCCTACCCCCTCACACAAAGACAGCTGTCACCTCAGGCCTTGTGGGTCTAAGAGGCTCCTGAGTCAGGGAGAGGAACCCTAGGAGCAGCCTCCTTCCACCCAGATGTCCAGCTGGAGCGGAGGCCACGTCATACAGAGGCCAAGCTGGCTGGAACAGGTCCCCTCTCCAGCCCACCTGCCTCTAGGTGAGGTTGGAGTAAGGCCAGTGTGGGGAGGTTCATGTGGAGAGGAGTTAATGGTTCACTGGGCTCTGCGGTGAGGGTCAAAGGCCAGTCTGCTGGGCCCCTGAGTGTGAGGGGGTGCTCCCTTCTGCCTCTGGAAAAGCCACATGGTTAAGAACCTAGGTCCAGTGGGGGTGTCATCCCCTAAGTAATTCACACTGCGTGCATCACAGTTGGCACCATTTTAGGCTTTGCTTGCATATAGGTGGACTCCTGTTATTACCTCCCTAACATCTGGCATTAAACTACATCTCCAGCCCCAAGTTCCCTAGAAAAGTTGGAGCTAGGCATCCCTAAGGCCCAGGAGCAGGGGTGAGGGTTGGGGCATGGTAGATTTAGTGGTAACCCCAGACGCATGAGGGCAAAACACTGTCCTAGCAGTTTCTCACCTTAGCAAGGAGAGGAGCCAGCGCCCTGACCCAGAAAGGGGAAGCCCTGAGGAGTGGCGAGGGGTGCAGCGATGCCAAGTACCCGGGTAACCCTCAGATGCCTGAGCTGGCTTAAAATCAGAGGAATGAAGTCTGATTGGGAAGAGGGGGTCGGGATTGGTATTACCTGGCAGCAGGAGGCAGAAGGCACACCCAGAGGAAGGGGGAACCCAGCCTTCTGTGCAGGCAGGCGAGCAAGGGTCACCTGCAGGGAGGGGGCGGGGAGGGACAGGACCTTAAAGGGGCAGGCCTGATTTGCCTTGGTGGACTAGCCTGTAACCCAGTTTCCTTCTGCCTCCTAGATAAGGGCCACATTCCCCTAGATGCACAGCTGCTAATCAGTCCCTTTTCCCACAAAAGACAAAGGAGTCCAGTGGAGAGTGGTAGCCTTTATTAGGGAGGAGGGGTTTCAATGAATGCCCCCACCACACCCAGTACAAATGCACTGTTGATTCTATGCTGGGAAGTCAGGCAGGAGTCCTGCACACAAGGCCAGTAGGGCTAAGGGGTGTTTAAGGCCACTGCTCACTGCCTAGGGCAGTGAAGTCCAGTGGCTACAATTCTGCTACGTGGCCCCATCCATCCCCAAGCCACTGCCTGAAGAGAGCTCTCTGGTTCTTTTGCAGGTGCGGGGGTCACGTTGGGTGGTGGCGGCAAGAGAGGACAAGTGTCTTGCTATCTCTTGCTGCTCCTGCGGGTTTCTTTGCCATTACTGACGGGGTTGCTGGAGGGGCCAGGAGTGCCGGCAGGTGTGTGATTGGGCTGGCTTCGGGTGATGCGGGTGCTGGGGGGGTGGGAAGGAGTATGAGGGGCATGTGGCCCGCCACCGGGACCCGAGGGGGTACTCAGTCCATTGCCGTTCTGGTTCTCAGAGGCTGGTTTTGGGAGAAGAAAAAACATGGGGATTAGTATTCAGGAGTGGATTAGTGAGCCCCAAGTCCTGTGAGCACAGAGCATGCCAGGCACAGCTGCAAGCTGATGCCAGCCAGGCACAGGGCAGAAGGATGTGACTTGTGAGCAGGAATGCAGCCTGGAGGGAAGTCCAGTAATCCTTTTGGAAGGAGCTCTGAACCACAGGTATATATTTTTTCTCTCTTATTTATCGCAGAAGGCAGATTTAGAATGAGCTGTTTATTTCTAGGTTCAAGAACATTTGACAAAATATCCCTTGATGGCAGGTGTTGTGGTTTCTGTGTTTAGCTGTTACTTGCCATCTCCTATTAGAGCGCTGGTTTGAGATCCGGCTCCTCCACTCCTGATCTAGATTTCTGTTAATATGCCTGGGAAGCAGCAGGTGATGCAAGTACTTGAGTCTCTGCCATCCATGTGGGAGACAGGAATGGAGTTCCTGGTCCAATCCTGCTCAGTGCTGCTATTTAGGGAGTGAATCAGCCAATGGAAATTCTCTCTCCATCTCTGTCACTTTGTCTTTCAAATCCATAAATACATATCTTTGTAAAGATTCCCTTTTAGGGCCCGGCGCCATGGCCTAGCTGCTAAATTCTCGCCTTGAACACACCGGGATCCCATATCGGTGCTGGTTCTAATCCTGGTGGCCCCGTTTCCCATCCAACTCCCTGCTTGTGGCCTGGGAAAGCAGTTGAGGACAGCCCAAAGCATTGGGACCCTGCACCCATGTGGGAGACCCGGAAAAAGGTCCTGGCTCCTGGCTTCGGATTAGCACAGCACCAGCCTTTGTGGTCACTTGGGGAGTGAATCATCAGATGGTGGATCTTCCTCTCTGTCTCTCCTCTTCTCTCTATATATCTGACTTTGCAATAAAAACAAATAAATCTTAAAAAATAATTCCCTTTTATGGGGTCAGTATTGCAGTATAGCAGGTAAAAATGCCACCTGAATTGCCAGCATCCCATATGAGCACAGGTTCGTGTCCCAGCTATTCCACTTTTTATCTAGCTCCCTGCTGATAAATCTGGTGGGTGGCAGCAGAAGATAAGCCCAAGTATTTGGCCCCTGCACCCACACAGGAGCCTTGGAAAGAGCTTCTGGCTCTTGGCTTTGGTCTGACCCAGCTCTGGCTATTGTGGCCAAGTAGATAGTAAACCAGTGCACTGGAGTTCTGTCTCTCCCTCTCTCCATAACTCTGCATTTCAAATCATTTTTAAAACATTCCCTTTTACTAGTAGTGATTTAAAAAAAAAAAGTGTGGTAAAGGGAAGAACATGAAGTCTCTATGCCAAAATGTCTGGGCCTTTGACAGAGTGGCTGCAGTCAGTGTCATATTATGACGGTATTCTGGCTCCTGACTTTGGCCTACCCGACTTGTGCTTGCTGTGGGCATTTGAGAGGTGAAGCACCAGATGGAAGATCTCTGTCTCTGTCTTTGAAATGAAGTAAAAATGAGTTACATTTTCTTTTTCTAGATGTAAAGAGGAACTTTAAAAAGATGTATGTGTAACACATGATGGTGATATTTGTTGACTTTAGAAAAATTATACATGCCAATAATAAGCCACATGTGTATGTGTTTTACTGTGTTTCTTGGCTGTGTATCTGAACTGCCGGGAGCTGGGGTATGTTAACCTTGAGCCCCTGTTCACTGTGCATATCTCCATCACTGTGATGGTAACAGGTCTGTGTCTGTCTCCTGTCCAGGTGGAAGGCTGCTTAAAGCAGGTGCTGTGTTTTATTTTGTTTTTGTTTCCCCCAAAGAATTTACTAATTTTTATTTGAAAAGCAGAGTTACAGGGAGAAGGAGACAGAAATCTTCTATTCGTTGGTTCACTCCCCACCAAATGGATGCAATGGCCAGAGCTGGGCTGGTCCAAAGCTAGGAGCCAAAAGCTTCTTCTGGGGCTCCAACATGGGTGCAGAGGCCAAAGGACTTAAGGTCATCTTTTTGCTGCTTTCCCAGGTGCATTAGTAGGGAGTTGGGTTTGAAGTAGAGCAGCCAGGACTCTAACCTGTGCCCATTGGGGATGCCAGAAACAGCACCAGCCCCTGCCTATGTTGTATTTCTTGTAACACAGTAAGTGTTGTATAATGTTGGTTATGTGAAGACAGAATCCTGCCTCTCACGGGTATTAGGGCACTATGAACCTTAAATGGCACAGAAGTTATAGGCCATGAGTTTCAAACCACATCCCTTTGGAAACTTGATGCTGTACTACTACCCTAAAAATATCTTCAGTCAAAAAGAAGATTATGGTCAGAGCAGTAGCTCAACAGGCTAATCCTCTACTTGCCAGTACTGACGTCTCATATGGGCATTGGTTTGTGTTCTGGCTGCTCTACTTCCCATTTTGCTCTCTGCTTAAGGTCTGGGAAAACAGTAAAAGATGCCCAGAGCCTTGAGACCCTGAATCCAGGTGGGAGACCTAGAAGAAGCTCCTGGCTCCTGACTTTGGATCAACTCAGCTCTGGCCATTGCAGCCATTTGGGGAGTGAACCAGGGGATAGAAAATCTTTCTGTCTTCTCTAAAGGTGCATTTCCAGCTTAAAAAGAAAAAAAAAAATCTTAAAAACAAAACAAACAAAATTAATGTCCTTTTCTCAACTCACATCTGTTGGCAGATGACAGAGTGGATAAATATGGGATGCTGGGGCTATAAATAAATAAATAAGTACTAAAAAGTACTTTTGTAAATGATACAACCTGAAAATACAGAATGGTTATATTTTCTGGTGGAAACATGGATATGAATTTTTGTAGTGAAATAAAATGTTATATTGTGGTTTTTATCATCTGGCTACTCTGGAAGCCAAAACCAATAAAAAAAATAAATGCAGACCATTGGCCAGTACTGTGTTATGACAGGTAAAGCCACCACCTGCAACCCACACATCCTTTATGAGAGCCAGTGAGTATCTTAGCTGCTCCATTTCCATTCCAGCTCCCTGCTTCTTGCCTGGGAAAGTAGCAGATAAGTGCCTGGGCCCCTACATCCACATGGGAGACCTGGAAGAGGTTCCTGGCTTCAGCCTGGCCCAGCCCTGGCCCTTGTGACCATCTGGGGCGTGATCCAGCAGAAGAACTCTCCCCCGTTCCTCTTTAAAAAAAAAAAGAAAAAATTAAAAAAAAAAACATATATGTTACTGCCTAATGGTGGTCCCTTAAGATTATAATGGAGCTGAGAAATTAATGTTATTGCCTAGGGATCATGGCACCATGGTAACATCACAGTACAGGGCAATACCAAGGTGCTTGTTTGATGCTGCTGTAAACAGACCCACCATACATATGTATCTCTATGACTGGCAGCACAGTGAATTTGTATTATACAGTTGCACCTAAGACATAAGACCTGCTAAGAGCAACTCTGTTACTGTTTACATCTTTTTATGCTACACATTTTGTCATTAGAGTTTCCTCATATGCAGTCTCCTCCTACACCTGCTTCAGACAGGTGCTTCAGGAGGTGACAAGAGCCCACTGCTGTCATGGCAGATGGCCCCTGAAGGACTTCCCAGGGAAACAAAATGTTTAGGGTGACAAGTGTTTGGCCTAGTGGTTGAAATGCCAGTTAAGACACTCACACTGCATCTCAGAGTACCTGGGTTTGAGTCCCAGCTCTGTTTCTGTTGCTAGCTTGCTGTTGATATAGACCCTGGGAAGTAGTAGGGCTGAGTGCCTTGTGCCCTAGTGGGAAACCTGGATTGAATACCCTGTCCCCAGCTTTAGCCTGGCACAGCCTCAGCCTCTGTGGGCATTTCGGGAGCTGTCTTCTTTCTCTGACTCTTAAAAAAAAAAATCTTAAAGGCTATATTCCCTAGCTTAAGAGGATAGTAGGAAACATCATTTAGGTTTGTGCAAATACACTCCTGTGATGTTCCCACAACAAAAATCTCACCTACTGATGTATTTCTCAGAGTGTGCCATTACCAAGGGACTTGTGACTACATGTTTAAATATACACTATAGTGATCCTGGCGTGGTAGCCTAGTGGCTAAATCCTCACCTTGCATGTGCCAGGATCCCATATGGGAACCAATTCGTCTCCCGGTGGCCCTGCTTGTGGCCTGGGAAAGCAGTCAAGGGCAGCCCAAAGCCTTGGGACCCTGTGCCTCTGTTGGAGACCCAGAAGAAGCTCCTGGCTCCTGGCTTCGGATTGGCTCAGCTCCAGCCACTGTGATCATTTGGGGAGTGGATCAGCAGAGGGAAGATCTTCCTCTCTGTCTCTCCTCCTCTCTGTATATCTGCCTTTCCAATAAAAATAAATAAATCTAAAAAAAGAAAGAAGTTGATATATATATATGTGTATATATATATATGGTTTTAAGATTTATTTATTTTTATTGGAAAACAAATCAGATTTACAGAGAGAAGGAGAGACAGAGAAACATCCTTCATCTGTTGGCTCATTCCCCAGGTGGCCACAATAGCCGGAGCCAAGGTGATCTGAAGCCAGGAGCCAGGAGCCTCTTGAGCATAGGGTCTAAGGCTTTGGGCCATTCTCTACTGCTCTCCCAGGTCATAAGCAGACAGCTGGATGGGAAGTAAAGCAGCTAGGACTGGAACAGGCACACATATGGGATCTCAGTCTGCAAGGCCACTGAGCCATTGCCCTAGGCTCAACAGTAAGACGTTTTAGTCTTTATGCAGTTCCTTCAAAGTTCACGAAAAACAGAGTTAAAAGGTATTTTAATTTATTTGGTATAGGTTTATTTTAGTACAGAATGTTTTTGAAATACATGCAGTTCTTTTCATCATTTATACTTTGCATGAACTTTTTAAAGACTGCTCATATGAATGTATTTCAAAAAACTTTTCAATTAATTTCTAATTAATTATTTTACAAATTTATCTTCATCTTATATGAAAGGCAGAGAGACAGATATGTTCTGTCTGCTGGTTCACTCCACAAATGCCTACAATGGCCAGGTTTGGGCCAGGTTGAACCTAGGAGTCTAGAACTCCATCCTGCCTCCCATGTGGGTGGTAGGGATCCAAGTATCTAGGCCTTCAGCACGGCGCACATTACTTATCTATTTATTTGTAAATATTGATTTATTTGAAAGGCACAGTGACAGAAAGAGAATAATCTTCCATTTGCTAGTTCACTCCCCAAATGGCTCCAATGGCCAGAATTGAGCTAATCCATAGCTGGGAGCTAAAACCTGAATCAAACCAAGGCATGAGCCGGGAACTCCCCACATGGGTGGCAGGGGCTCAAGCACCCTGGCCATCCTCTTTCTCTTTTCCCCAGGTGCATTAGCAGCAAGCTGGATCTGAAGTAGACCAGCCAGGACTTGAACCAACACTTGCAGGGGATGCTGGTACAAAGTGCCACATGCCTGCCCCATGTAGCAGGGTTTACTCAGAGGAATTTACAAAAATATCTTCACTAGGGCACATGGACGCCTGCTGTTCCTACTACTCACTTGCCACATGGCAGAGAAGACATCCCCCACTCCTCTGTGTGGTAGTGGCAAAAGCATGCTCAAGCTCTAACCAAGAAGGAAACAGTTCCTGAATCTTTTTGCCATAGAGATTTGTGCAAGGTATCAATAACTGGGGGAATGAAAAAATTAGGGGACTTCTATTGGCTATATAAGGAGGACACATCAAGATATTTGGAAAAGAGGAACATGCATATTGCCACACCGGGGGATGGGTGAGGGTAGGGGTGCTAGGGAGTGGGAGGCCCAGTGGATGGAAAGGTAACAGATTTACCTGGAGAAGCGGCAGGGGGGCCTGTGGGGGGCTGGGAGGCGGGGGGACAACTGTCGCTCTGCACCTGCAGGCACATAGGACACACAGTCAGTCTCTGCTCCCTCCTGAGCTTGCTGGCCTGGCCCTCCTTGCCTCCCTCCCTCCCCACTGGGATGTCCACAGCGCTCACCGCCTTGTTGGGTGCCTGCTGGGTGCCGTACTCTGGGTTGGGCTCACTGAAGTTAGGGACCTCTGAATAAACCATGCAGAACCTGCAAGGTGAGGCAGCAGCCCAGGGCTAGGAGCCATCCTCTGGACCACCGCTCCAGGCCTCAGAACTGACCAGGTCTGGACACAAGGTGGGGGTGCTGCTTCCTCACCCCTCACTCCCCCACTGGAGCTGCCATTCCTTCACCACCATCACCACTCCCCATCACGATGGCACTTACTCTCCAATCTTCTGCAGATCACCCCCACGACCAGTGTACAGCGTCAGGCAACCTTTGAACACTGAGGCGTACCTGCAGGGATGTGTTGGCAAAGCGGTGGGAATCAAAGAATTCTGCCAGACAGAGGGACCCTTAGCCTCTGTCCCCTCCTGCCCACCATGGCCCTTGGATAGCGGGGGGTCAGTAGTCAGCTTACCCCTTGGTGAGTCGGATAATGTCCCCAGGCTGGATCAGGTTGCCCACGTCGTCCCAGACGGAGATGTTGATGCTGCCCGTTTTGTCCGCTACCTTGCAGGTCCGCACCTCGTGGCCGTCCTTTGTCTTGGTCACTCGGCCTGAAGGAGGACAGCATTGCAGGTGGTCATCTGGATGGGGTGGTGTGGTTCACAAGGATGAGGAGGGGACAGGGCACGAAGGGGCCAGCACCATGGAGAGGGCTCTGAGTGGAAAAGAGCCCCGAGTGGATCCAGCAACAAGCGTTAGCAGCGTGGTGGAGGGCGCAGCTGACCATTGCACTTCCCCTCCAAACCCTGGCAAGTTCAGCACAGAGACCGCAGGACGCCCCCTCCCCCACGTCCTCCATAGAGCCCGCGGTGCCCATGCCACCTGTCTCCAGCACAATGAAGATGAGGTTCAGGTTCTTGAGGCCGGGCTTTATATCCTTCACGAAGGTCTCAGTCGTCATGCTGCCAGGACCTTGGCACCCCCCTGGAGAGGGGAACGGGGATGGAGGGAAGGCAGGGGCTCAAGGCTCGGAGCCCTGGGCTCCACGCTCCACTCCCCTAGGTCTAAACATCACGCCCAGTGGGGGTCAGGCCACCTCCGCCTCTCCAGCAACTTCCCCCGGGCGAGGGGGTGGGGAGGACCCTCCAATCCTAAGATCAGAACCTGGGAGTCTCCACGCCGGGATGCTCTCTCAATGTGTGTACTCCCCGAACTCGGGGCCCACAGAGATGGAGCTCGGCGAGCCCGGTGCCGCGCCTCGACAAGCAATCGGCCTCGCCAAGCCTTCCAGAACGCTGCTCGGGGCGACCCGGGATTCGGCCCATCCGCTCCCCGCCCCCACAGCCCCGCAGCACCCACCCACAGCCAGCAGGCCCGCCGTGTGCGCCGCGGAGCCACCCGCAGGGGGAGCCACGGGCCCCGCGGCCGCCGCCGGATGCCGCCCGGTGGAACGCGGGAGCCGGACACTTCCGGAAGTTTCCTTGCAAACCAATCAGCACCGGGAGAGCGTGCCCCGCCCTTTCCGTCTCAGCCAATCGGGACCCGAGACTCCCGAGCCGCCGAAGGGGTTGGGGTTCAGGGATTAAAGGAGCCTTTGGAGCGGGCTGGCTACGCCCGGGGCAGGTGGGCCAGCAGGGGGCGCCCTGCGTCCCAGATTTCTCTGACTTGGCTGTTAGAATGTTCTTGGGCGCGGTGGGCTGGGGTGAGGGAGAAGGATCAAGGGCTAGGGAGTCTCGTCGATCAAGCTTCAATCCAGGCACTTACAACTCCTTAAATTCACTTCTTAATGATTTATTTATTTGCAAATCAGAGTTACAGAGAGAAATTTTTCCATGAGCTGGTCCATTTCCCCAAATGGCTGCAACAGTTGGAGCAGGATCAGGCTGAAGTCAGAGCCAGGAGTCACAAGTTTGCTGGGGTCTCCCACAGAACTGGCAGGGACTCAAGCCCTGGACTATCATCCACCGTCTTTGCAGGTGCATTAGCAGAAACCTGGCTGGGAAATGGAAAAGCCAGGACTCGAACTATTGTTCGTGTAGGCTGCAGCTGAACATGCTACTGTGCAGTCGCTGCAACTCCTCCCAGTTCTGTTTATAAGAGAGAACAAATACAGCAGTTCCCATTTCCTGCTCTTCCCTCACTGACATCTTTAGTTTTGATTTGTGGATCTCATCTTTTTGGGCAATGGCGTTTTCATCTTAAAACTCGACTTCCACCTTTTTTGGTCAGGGACCTTGGGGAGAAAGTGACATGCAGACCCACACCCCCTTTGCAGGAAATGGAACCCTGAGCAAAGAGCATGAGTCCCTCTCTGAGATCACAAGGCACCTGTCAGCCAACTAAATCTAGCTAGTTCTGTTAACTCTCACAAGCCAAATGTATGAAGACTCAATGTGCACTAAAATACCGGATTCACCTCAGAGGTCGGGTCATTGTCACGCCCGGGATGGTCTAGCCAACCTCCGAGCGCTTCGGGCTCTACTTCTCTTCCCTCCGAGCCCACGCCCCTTCTCTCCCGCGGCACCCTAAGAAAATCAACCTGCACCCCAGTGAGAGGGACTTTTATTTTCCCTTCTAAATGCCTTCAAGGGATCCCCCACCCACCGTGGACACACAGCAGGGCTGCGGCTGCCAGGGACGAGGATTATCCACGGCGCAGCCCAGATCAAAGCCTTGCGGTCGGACACGCCCCGCTCCCCGCCAACAGCCGCCCTGCTCCAGGCAGCGTCCCTTCCCAGGGCTCTGAATCACGGGGTCAGGAAGCACAGGAGACCGCCCACGGCTCTGGGAACACGGGGAGGCTCAGGTCTCCCCGCCCCTGCTTCGAGGGACCGGCCAGAGCGCCGCGTCTCGGGTCTGCACTCAGCCCTGGGGGAAAAAACATAGAGTTCTCCCTCCCGAAGGGCTAGCTAGTCCCGGCTGGGAGCATCAAGACTTCCGGCCTAGAGCGGAGGCCTGCCTAGCCCGCGCGCCTCCTCGTTGGCCGCTCGCGGCCTCCCTCCGTCTCCGTCAGAGGCCAGCCAGGGGGCGGAGTTTGGTGACGAGCTTCCGTCAGGTTGCGTAGCAGCGGTGGGCCGGGCAAAGGCTCAGTCTGAGACAGCGACGAGTGGTCGGATCCGTCTTCCCACCTCCTTCCCCTTCCCCTCCGGGGAAAGGCTGGGGCCGGGCACCTGGGGCTGTGCCGTGGCCCGCTGCGGCCTCAGTTCCAGTCAGGCCGGGCCTGCGGAGAGTCCAGACTCCGCTTCCACGGCGGTGCGTACTGCGCCTGCGCGGGCTTCCCTCTTTAAAAAAAAAAAAGAGGGTGTGGGAGGGGAGGGGGGTGATGTCTCAGGGGTATGGAAGTGGGGGCAACGCGAGGGTTCGAGATGCCGGGGTTCGGGTGGGAAAGAACGGGAATGAAATGAGAAATGGAGGCTGGAAGCGGCCCCGAGAAGGAGTTGGAGTTTGAGGAAGAGAGGGGGGACTCTAGGAAAAGGTTCTCCTTGGAGTAGGCGAGCCGGGAGGTGTGCAGGGCGGGGGGGAGGGGGCGGGGGGACCTCGAGCTTCGCTGGAGAAGGCCTGGGCCCGCCGTAGGACGGGGGCAAGTGGGGGAGCAGCGGGGGTTTAACTGGCCACTGGTGGGTCTGGAGGGGATGGCGGAAGCTTCCCTCTCGGGGGTCCAGCCCGAGCTCCAGAAGGGACGGCGGAACCTGACCGTCCGCTCTGGAAGCGCCATGCTTGGCTCCTCTCCCATGCCTTGTGTTTGGCAGCCTCCGTCTTTTCCCCTTTGGTTCCTTTTCCGTTCCTCTTTCCCCTCCCACCCCGCCATGAAGGAATTTCACATTCCTCACATCCTTGCCAGCGCTCTGCAGCCCGGCCCCCCTCTTCGCAAGCTTCACACACCCGGAAAACGGGACGCAGGGAAAATTGTGGAGTGGGGGAGGTGGCAAGAGAGGGGAAGCGGGGTGGCCAGGAAGAGCGGAGAGCCAAGAAGGGGTGCGGACATTCCCCGTTAAAAAGCCGACTCCGTTTCAGCTACTAGCAAACGAGGCTGCTCGTGCGTGAGGCCAGTATTGGCTGAGACTGAGCGGCGACAGTGTTTGCCCTTTCCGGTGCCCTGGGTTTTTAGGGGCTGATGGGGCGATGGCTGCTGGTCTCCCCCAGATAGCATTGGGGTGGGCTGGGTGGTGGGGTAAAGAAGTGATACATTAGCGTTATGACCCGGTGTTGTCCCGTTGACTCAGTTCCCAGGAACAAAAAAATACAAAAGAAAAAGAAACAAATCTGTTTCAGTTGGTTCCTGCTCCAGCCCTCAGTATTCTTCCATTTGTGAGGTGATACCCTACCTGAGGGTAGCAGTATTCACACATTGTCTGATTTGATTTGCCTGACAGTAAATAAGGTGGAGGGCAGGTGGCTTTTTTCCCTGCTGGGCAGTTGGAGATACTAAGAACTACAGGAGGATTTCCTGGCTGCTTTTCCTGACTACTGACCCTCTGCTCAGGTGAAAAGCCCTGTTTTTGTTCTGACCAGTGGGGTTCTCTGGAAGGATTGCTTTTTCCCAATATGCGCACCTCTTTGATTTCTGTCACCGGAAGGAGACTGAGTGTAACCAACAACACTGATTCCTGAAAGTATTTCTTGGGGTTCAGGTGCATGTGCCTGTGTGTTGAGAAACAGGGTGTTGTCAGAATGAAAGCGTTGTGCCCTAGTGTGTAAAAGGCTAGGGTTGCATTCTGGACCTACTGACATTCTGTATGAGTTTGGGTCCTAAATGTCTCCCTTCCCTCCAACTCTGTGTTGATAAGCCTGGAAAAGTGACAGAAGATGCTGGTTAAAGGGCTGGACCCACGCCACCTGCATGGGAAAACAGGTTGGAGTCAGGGGCTCCTGTCTTCAACCTGCTCCAATCCTGGCTGGTGCAGACATTTGGGGAGCGAACCAGTAGAAGAAAAGATAACTTTCTCTTACCTTCCTCCTTACCCTCTGCCCTTCAAAATAAATAACCTGAAAAAAAAAAAGTTATGTCTGTACTGACATTCTTCAGCACATGTTTAGGAAATAGTATTTTCACTCTGAATGGTAAGAGCAAAATTGTTTTTATTTGAGATCCTTTAGAAAACATGAAAGTGTGCCACCGTTTGCATAAGGTATGGGTCTGGGTATTGGGGAGCAACAGGTTCTGGGTCATTGCTGTTACTCATTGTGTATGTATGCCAAAGAGAAGAATCTTTCCACCTGCAGCATCTCCTTACCTTCCTTGCTGCTGTTCTGTGCTCTGCCAGTGGTTTGCAGTTTCTGGTCCTGGCGGGTGACTTCCTGAGCCTGCGACCGCGCTCGGCAGCCACGGACACTCAGTACTGAAGTCTGCAGGCCTTGGTGTCGCTGTTTGCTTGCTAGCTGGCTGCCAGGACCTGGTCCGTCCAGTCTCACAACCATGTGCAGGGAGCCCTCCTGACTCACATCTCTTCTTGTTCTATGAATAGGGTGCTCCCGTGTGTGGCATCACGTCCATCCCTCTGGCCATGGGGCTTGTCACCAGGAAGGAGGACGCAGTCGGACAGTAGCCAACAAGATGGGTTATTTGGCACACCTCCCCAGTATCACGGAGCGGTGGCAGCAGGGGGTCGGGGCCCGGTGAGCAGGGCATCTGCCCCCGGACACGTGCAAGGTAAGGGACTTGGGTTTGGAAGCCATTCCACTTGTCAGCTAGGGATCCTCTGCTCCTAATAAACCTGATTCCTAATACTTCTTTCTTTCTTTTTTTTTTTAAGATTTATTTATTTTTATTGCCAAGGCTCATCCCTGCCCATTGTGACCTTTTAGAAAATGAACTGGCAGATGAAAGATCAATCAGTCCCCCTCTCTGTAACTCTGCCTTTCAAATAAAACAAATGTTAGAGGGGGAAAAAAAAGGTAAAGTGCAATAGGGACACCTGTGAGATCGCTTGCCACCTGATTTCTTATCTAGGCTGAAGTTCCTACAAATTGTGTCAGTTTAGACTTGGGGGCTGTGTGGCTCTTTCCCTGGGTATGTGGTGGTTGATGGCAGTGGAGCTGGAGTATGCTCTGCCCTATGTCCCTTTGTGTAGGCAGGACACAGAGGAGAGAGACACAAGGGAAGGAAGAGTCTTGCACTTGATTTCATCATGGTACTTTGGGCAGTGATTGCTGGCAGCATACCTGGACTCTAAAATATAAATCATGGATTTGAATGGCTTCTCCTAGCACAGATACTTATCTGCATGAGTGTATGTGGTTTATACTGCTGTTCACGTACACTCAAGGAAGCCCAAGTGGGCTCAGCGGAATGACTCAGTGGCTAAATCCTCACCTTGCTTCCTATGTGGATGCTAGTTCGTGTCCTGGCAGCTCCACTTCCCATCCAGCTCCTTGCTTATGACCTGGGAAAAAGTAGAGGGTGGTGCAAAGCCTTGGTACCCTGCATCCGCATGGGAGACCTGGAAGAAGCTCCTTGCTTCAGATTGGATCAGTGCTGGCTCTTGGGAGCATTTAAGCATTGAGCGAATGTACAGATCAGATTTGTGTATCTCCTTATCTCTGTAGATCGAACTTTCTAATAAAAATAAATTAATTGGGCCTGTTGTGGTAGCCAGCGGCTAAAGTCCTCATCTTGAATGCCCCACGATCCCATATGAGTGCTGGTTCTAATCCCGGCAGCTCCACTTCCCATCTAGCTTCCTGCTTGTGGCCTGGGAACGCAGTCTGCACCTGCATGGGAGACCTGGAGGAACTTCATGCTTTTTTTTTTTTTTTAAGATTTATTTTATTTTTATGCAACGTCAGATATATAGAGAAGAGGAGAGACAGAGAGGAAGATCTTCCGTCTGATGATTCACTCCCCAAGTGAGTGCAAAGGCCTGTACTGTGCCAATCCGAAGCTAGGAGCCAGGAACTTCCTCTGGGTATCCCACACGGGTGCAGGATCCCAAAGCTTTGGGCCGTCCTCAACTGCTTTCCCAGGCCATAAGCAGGGAACTGGATGGGAAGTGGAGCCACTGGGATTAGAACCTATGCCCATATGGGATCCTGGGCTCGTTCAAGGCGAGGAGTTTAGCTGCTGGGCCATGGTGCCAGGCACAAGATTTGTCTATTTTTATTGGAAAGGCAGATCAAATTTATAGAGAAAAGGAGAGAGAGAGAAATATCTTCCATCCATTAATTCACTCCCCAAATGGCCACAATGGCTGGAACTGAGCTGATTCAGAGCCAGGAGCTTCTTCCAGTCTCTCATGCAGGTGCAGGGTCCCATGGCTTTGGGCCATCCTATACTGGTTTCCCAGACCTCAAGCAGGAAACTGGATCAATCAGGACACAAACCAGTACCCAAATGGGATCTTGGCACTTACAAGGTGAGAAGTATCCATTGAGCTATTGTGCCAGGCCCTCAGATACCTTATAAAAGACCATTTCCTTCTACTCTCTAACATAGAGATGTACACATGTAAATACACTGTGTTTCCCACGTATGCCGGAGTTCAGCTCCAGCTGAGTTCGGAACTCCGAGAAGGGTGCGTGGATGAGGCACAAGAATACTGTGCTAGGCCAAGGCCCCAGATAGCAGCTTTTATTTATTTTAATAATTTATTGCCCGGCGCGGTGGTGCAAGTGGTTAAAGGTCCTCACCTTGCACGCCCGGGATCTCATATGGGCGCCGGTTCTAATCCCGGCAGCCCGTTGCGCTCACTTGGGGAGTGAATCATCGGACGGAAGATCTTCCTCTCTGTCTCTCCTCTCTGTATATCCGCCTTTCCGATGAAAAAATAATAAAAATAAAATCTTTTAAAAAAAATAAATAACAGGATGAATAATTTATTTATTTATTTGAAAGGCAGAGTTACAGAGAGAGAATCATCCATCTGCTAGTTGACTCCCCAAATGGCCAAGACAACTGGAGCTGAGCTTGTCTGAAGCCAAGATTCAGGAGCTTCTTTCAGATCTTCCACATGGGTTCAGGGGCCCAAGTACTGGGCCATCATCTGCTGCTTTCCCAGGCCATAAGCAGAGAGCTGGATCGAAAGTGGAGCAGCCGGAACTAAAATTAGACCCATGCCAGTGTAATCCCCCTACACTACAGTGCAGGTTCCTATAATGGCAGTTTCAGTAGAATGTTCCTAGTGCCAAGGTCTTGAACTTTGGGCCCCAGAGATGAAAGAATAAGTGTATGAGAGGGCTTTAAAGTTTATGGATGAAACCGGTGCTATGGCATGACAGGTTACAGTGCTACCTGTGTTGTTGGCATTGAATATGGATCTCTTTTTGAGTCTCGGCTGCTCCATTTACCATCCAGCTCCATGCTAATGTCCCTATTAAGACAAGAAGAGGGACTTAGGTCCCTCTACTCACTTGGGAGGCCCACAACTCACTTGGGAGGCCCACAAGATACTCTGCTCCTTCTAACTAACCCAGCTCCGGCCATTTGGGAAGTGAACCAGCAGACAATCTCTGTTTCTCTATCCATCTTGGTAACTCTGCCTTTCAAATAATCTTTCAAAAAGACAAAGAAAAACCTATGCATGGATTTCAAAAAATTTTGCACCAAAACAAATAATTTTCCAATCCATTTTCTATTAACAGCCTTTGTTTAAAACATGTGATTTCACAAGCCCATGAGGGCTTTTGATTATGCTGTTTCACGTACATTAAACCTTATTTATCTGCTTTTCCAGGATCTCAGTAACTCTTTTTTTTTTAAAGATTAATTTTTATTTTTATTGGAAAGACAGATATACAGAGAGGAGAGACAGAGAGGAAGATCTTCCGTCCGATGATTCACTCCCCAAGTGAGCGCAATGGCCAGTGCTCTGCTGATCCGAAGCCAGGCGCCTCTTCCAAGTCTCCCACGTGGGTGCAGGTTCCCAAAGCTTTGGGCCGTCCTCTACTGCTTTCCCGGGCCACAGGCAGGGAGCTGGAAGGGAAGCGGGGCCACTGGGATTAGAACCGGCGCCCATATGGGATCCCGGGTGTACAAGGTGAGGACCTTAACCACTGCGCCATTGTGCCGGGCCCTTGGTAACTCTTTTTTAAAAAAAGAGTTATTTATTTATTTGATATAGTTAGAGAGAGGGAGAGACATAGAAATGGTTGATCTGCTTCCTTGCTCCCCAGATGGTCCCAGTGACCGGCATGGGCCAGGCCTAAGCCGAGCGTCTTCTGTCATGTGGTTGCTAAGTACCCAACACTTGGGCCATCTTGTGCTTTTTCGAGGCCATTGGCACGGAGGTGGATCAGAAATGGGGCTGCTAGGGCTTGAACTGGTACTCCTATGGGATCCAGCATTTCAGACAGCTAGCTCCTGGCTAGCGCCACCTGGGCAACTCTTGCTCATCCTGAAAGTATGGATTCCGAGCCCAGCACGATGGTTCAGCAGCTTATTTGACTCTGTATGGGCACCAGTTTGTGTCCCACCTACTCCAGTGGTTGTGGCCTGGGAAGGCAGCCCAAGTCCTTGAACCCTGCACCCTTGTGGGAGACCTGGAGGACGCTCCAGGTTTTGGATTGGCTCATCTCCGCCATCATGGCCACTTGGGGAGTTAGCATGGTCCTGGAACACTTTAATTTTTTAATTTTTATTATTTTTTTAAAGATTATTTGCTGGGGACCTGGTGTGCTGGCCAAGAGGCCAAAGTCCTTGCCTTAAATTTGCCAGGATTCCATATAGATGCCATTTCTTTTTTTTTTTAAAAGATTTATTTTTATTATTTTTTCATTGGAAAGGCGGATATACAGAGAGGAGAGACAGAGAGGAAGATCTTCCGTCCGATGATTCACTCCCCAAGTGAGCGCAACGGGCCGATACTATGCCGATCCGAAGCCAGGAGCCTCTTCCGGGTCTCCCACACGGGTGCAGGTTCCCAAAGCGTTGGGCCGTCCTCGACTGCTTTCCCAGGCCACAGGCAGGGAGCTGGAAGGGAAGCGGGGCTGCCGGGATTAGAACCGGCGCCCATATGGGATCCCGGGCGTGCAAGGCGAGGACCTTTAACCACTTGCGCCACCGCGCCGGGCCCATAGATGCCATTTCTAATCCCAGCAGCTCTGCTCTCCATCCACCTCCCTGCTTGTGACCTGGGAAAGAAATTGAGGACAGCCATGCACCTGCGTGGAAGACCGGGAACAAGCTCCTGGCTCCAGTCAGCTCAGCATTGGCCATTGTGGTCACTTGGGGAGTAAATCATCGGACAGAAGATCTTCCTCTCTGTCTCTTCTCCTCTCTCTATATACATATCTGACTTTCCAATAAAAATAAATACTTTTTAAAAAAGATTTATTTATTTTTATTATTTAGTTATTTTTATTTTTATAAATAAATCTTTTAAAAAATTATTTATTTTTATTGCAAAGTCAGATATATAGAGAGAGGAGGAGAGACAGAGAGGAAGATCTTCCATCCAATGATTCATTCCCCGAGTGACCACAGTGGCTGGTGCTGCGCCAATCCAAAGCCAGAAGCCAGGAACTTCCTCCAGGTTTCTCACACGGGTGCAGGGTCCCAAGGCTTTGGGCCTTCCTCAACTACTTTCCCAGGCCACAAGTAGATGGAGGAAATGGGGCTGCTGGGATTAGAACTGGTGCCCATATGGGATCCTGGTGCGTTCAAGGTGAGGACTTTAGCTGCTAGGCCATGCCACCGGGCCCCAAATAAATAAATCTTTTAAAAAGAAAAGATTATTTGCTGGCCCCAGCATGATAGCCTGCTGGTTAAATCCTCGCACATGGTGGCATGCCATATGGGCACTGTTTCAAATTCCAACTGCTCCATTTCCCATCAGCTACCTGCTTATGACCTGGGAAAGCAATAGAGGATAGCCCAAGTCCTTGGACCCTGTACCCACATGGAAGACCTAGAGAGGGCTCCTTATTCCTAACTTTGATCAAGTTAGTTGCAGGTGTTACCGCTATTTGGGGAATGAACTAGTTGATTGAAGATCTTTCTTTCTGTCTCCTTTTTTGTGTAACTCTGCCTTTCTAATAAAAATAAATAAACTTTTAAAAAAGAAAAAAAAGGAGAGGATTTGGGGGCAGGTGTTTGGCACACTGGTTAAGCTACCAGTTGGGGTCTGTGTCCCGTGTGAGAGTGCTCAGACTCAAAGCCTGCCTCCACTTCTGATCCAACTTCCTATTCACATTCATCTTGGAGGTGACGGCTCAATGTGTGGACACTACCATCCATGTGGGTGGCCTGACTGGTGTTCGTGGCTCCTGGCTTCAGCCTTGCCCAGCCCTAGCTGTTGGGACATTCAAGGAGTAAACCAGTGGGTAGAGTGGGTAGATGATCTTTTTTCTCTGTCTGTCTCTGCATGTGTGTGTTACTCTGCACTTAAATAACTAAATTTAAGAAAAAAATATGAATGCAGGATTGGTATTGTGGTACCAGCTATAATATTGGAATCCGTGTTGGAGTGCCGTATGGAGTCCTGGCTGTACTGCTTCAGATCTGTCTTTCTGCTAACAGGCCTGGGAAAGCAGCAAAAGATGGTCTGAGTGCTTGTGCCCCTAACACCTGCCTGGGAGACCCTGATAGAGTTCCTGGCTTCTAGCCTCAGCCTGACCCAGCCCAGCCATTTTACCCATTTAAGGAGTGACCAAGTTGATGCAGGATCTCCTTCTCTGTCTCTTCCTCTGCCGCTCTTTCAAATAAGTAAAGTAAATCTGGAAAAAAAAGAAGAATTAATGGAGCCCGGCGCTGTGGCCTAGCAACTAAAGTCCTCAGCTTGAACGCACCAGGATCCCATATGTGTGCCAGTTCTAATCCCGGCAGCTCCACTTCCCATCCAGCTCTCTGCTTGTGGCCTGGGAAATCAATCGAGGATGGCCCAAAACTCTGGGACCCTGCATCCGTGTGGGAGACCTGGAAGAGCTCCTAGCTCCTGGCTTCAGATTGGCACAGCACCTGCCATTGTGGTCACTTGGGGAGCGATCATCGGACGGAAGAAGTTTCTCTCTCTCTCCTCCTCTCTGTACATCTGACTTTGCAATAAAGATAAATAAATCTTTTTTAAAAATTGAGTTTATGTTTACTATATCCTTAGGTTTGTTTCTGAACTGCTGTCTGTTTTTCTTTCCAGGACCTGGGTTTCAGTGATGAGACATGGGGTATGATGTAACTCGCTTCCAGGGGGATGTTGATGAAGACCTTATCTGCCCTATTTGCAGTGGAGTCTTGGAGGAGCCAGTACAGGTGAGTTGGACTGATGGCAGCCTTGCTAGGATAGCAAGCAGCAGAGTAACTCATGGGAAATATTCAAAGGAATTAGGAACCCTGGGAAGTCCCTACTCTCCTACCCCATTAGGGGTTTGGAACAGAGACCAGTGGTTCCCACAGGAATGGGGCCTTCCAGGTCTGTCTTGAGGTGGATACCACGCAAGTCTAGTGGTTCAGATTGTCTTCCGTGATCCCATAGGGATTTCCCTGCTGTCAGATGGTCCACTATGTGCTTCTGTCTTCTCATGGAGCTTGGTGGCTTCCTCTGTGTGGGGATTGTGGGCTCCCTCTTCCTGCATTTTTTTTTTTAACTTTTGCACTTTCTAATGAGGTTCTCTGCAGTTTGATTTAGTGCTTCAGGTAAATAGCCAATCTCCCTGCAGGCCCATTTAACCTGCCCTCTGACTAACATGCAGGAAGGAAGAACTGCATCCACTGCTTTGCCTGCAGTGTGTTGAGAAGGCCAGCTTTTATTTATTTATTTATTTTTATTGGAAAGTCAGATGTTACAGAGAGGTAGAGAGACATGAAGATATTCTGTCCTCTGATTCACTCCCTAAGCAAAGGCAATTGCCAGAGCTGAGCCTATCAGAAACCAGGAGCTTGGGACTTCTGGGTCTCTCCATAAGGATGCAGGGCCGCAAGCCCTTGAGCTGTCCTCAACTGCTTTTCCCAAGGCACAAGCAGTGAGCTGGATGGGAAGTGGGGCTGCTGGGACACAAACCAGTGCCCATGTGGGATCCTGGCTCCTGCAAGGCGAGGACTTTAGCCACTAGGTTACTGCGACAGGCACAAGGCCAGCTTTTGATGCAGTCACACATTCTGCATTTTTATGTGAGAACTAGCTCCTTTAGTAGGTCATTTCTTAGCTTACTTTACCAGACCTGAGGCAACTGTGTCTTCCTGGGACAGTATAAGGTGAGCCTCTTAATTACCAGGCAAGTATAATGACTAAGACACTCCCTGAACAGTTATTCTCACAGGACAGAATCCTATAGGATCCTTATTGCCCTCAGCTTGCAAGTAGAACTTGATCTTTGCCACTCCTGGCCAGCGGGAGATAATCCTGTTTTCTAAGCCAGGACACCAGTACACAAGTCTTACAGCCCCTCCCCCATTCACTACTTGTGTAATTCCATGGGCTCTCCTTAAGCCTCTTGAGTTTATCCTTTCTAGCTTCCAACCACACAGAGCTGAGTAAAATTCAGTCTACATACAAATGGTAACCAGTGCTGGGCTGCCCCCTCACTCGGTCTCTGCAGCCTACTGCCACAAGGGACTTCTTTTTTTTTTTAAAGATTTTTATTTTTATTATTTTTTTTATTGGAAAGGCGGATATACAGAGAGGAGAGACAGAGAGGAAGATCTTCCGTCCGATGATTCACTCCCCAAGTGAGCGCAACGGGCCGATACTATGCCGATCCGAAGCCAGGAGCCTCTTCCAGGTCTCCCATGTGGGTGCAGGGTCTCAAAGCTTTGGGCCGTCCTCTACTGCTTTCCCAGGCCACAGGCAGGGAGCTGGAAGGGAAGCGGGGCTGCCGGGATTAGAACCGGTGCCCATATGGGATCCCGGGCGTGCAAGTCGAGGACCTTAACCACTTGCACCACGGCGCCGGGCCCCACAAGGGACTTCTTGCTGGGAGAGGAACAGACCCTTCCCCATGGCAGGCCTTTTATGTTGTTTTTTTTTTTTAACATTTATTCATTTTTATTGCAAAGTCAGATATATATCTAGAGAGGAGGAGAGACAGAGAGGAAGATCTTCCATCCAATGATTCGTTCCCCGAGTGACCACAGTGGCTGGTGCTGCGCCAATCCAAAGCCAGAAGCCAGGAACTTCCTCCAGGTCTCTCACGCGGGTGCAGGGTCCCAAGGCTTTGGGCCTTCCTGAACTACTTTCCCAGGCCACAAGCAGGGAGCTGGATGGGGGAAGTGGGGCTGCTGGGATTAGAACCAGCGCCCATATGGGATCCCGGCACATTCAAAGCGAGGAATTTAGCCTCTAGGCCACAGCATTGGGCCCGCCTTGTCTGTTTGAAGTTAGTTAATTGTGGAGAAGTGATAGTCTAGATCAGAACGTCACCCATGTTTTTTGAGTTTCCCTTGGGAGAGCACCTTCACAGTGCCAGGTTGCCTGACACGTTCCCAAGGCTTGGAAGGCCAGATTAAGTCCTGGATGCTCGACTTCTGGTCCAGCTCCCTGCTAATGTATCCGGGAAAACAGCAAAGGATGTCCCAAGTGCCTGTCCCCTGCCACCAAAGTGGGAGACCCTGATAATGCTCCTGGCTTCAGCTTTGCCCAGTGCCTGCTGTTGCCACCATGTAGGGAATCACCTGGCAGATGGAAGATCTCTCTCTCTTTCTCTACCTCTTAAACTCTGGCTTTCAAATAGAAACAAACAGAAAAAAAAATTGTTAAAAAAAAAGTTCTAGAGGAAAACCATTTACTTCAGACAAGGGGAGCAGTACAGGCAGAGGTCCCGAGTTGGGAAAGAGCTGCGTGAGCTCAAGCAGCAGAAAGAGCCACAATGTCCTGGATGCTTACAAGGAGCTAGTGTGAGGTGAGGAGAGACTAGAGATGCAGGGTCACAGCAAGCAGTTTTAGGGGTCCTAAGTAGGAATTGGAGTTTATCTCAGGTGCAGTGGGAAATATTGTGAAGTTTGAAGGAGGGGAGTGATAGCCGTCTAGTTTGTGTTTTAAAATGATGACGTGGCTGCTAGATGTCCAATAGATTATAAAGGGACAAGATAGAAGTAGGGCAGCCAACTAGACGGGATTTTAGTAATTCAGGTGAGAGGTGATGGATTAGTTACAAAGGAGTGGCATGGACAAATGGTAGGATTTTGTGTGTCTTTGTGTTGTGAGATTTAATCTGTAAGACTTTGAAAAGAATTAAGGCTGGCTTTGAGTGAAAAATAAAACTTGCAGTTAGCAGTATTGAGAATGATTGCTTTCCTTACAAAACCTTCTGGTGTTTCAGTCTTTATTGCGTGTCTTAAAGAAAGGAAGTTATTAGTTTTCTCAATTCTTCTGAGTTTGCCACATGAGTGCAAGGTCCCACAGACTTGGGCCATCTTTTCTTTCCTTGGCCATAAGCAGGGAGCTGGGTACAAAGTAGAGCAGCCAGGATGTGAACTGGCATCCATATGGGGTACCAGCGCTTGCAGCAGGATTGCCTGTTGAACCACCGCACTGCCATCTCAACCCCCCCCCCCCCCCTTTTTTTTTTTTTTTTTAATCTTAAGCACCTCACAGTGTGTTGGGGGCAATAGTGAGCACTCAAGCCCTTTAGTCATTACCATCTGTCTCCTAAGTGCCACCAAGTCCCCTGCTAGATGCCAAATAGTGTCTACACCGAGGCCTGGCAGTCCTTTCACCTTGAGGGCTTCATTTCAGAGGTTACTTATCAGGGAAGTAGGTTAAAATGCAGCCTTTGTGAAACTGAAAAGAATGATTCCACAGAAACCCAGCATAGGCCAGATGGTCGGAACTGAGGGCAGCCCCTCCAGTCAGCTCTCATGAATGAGCACATGGGCTTACACACAGAGAGTTCTTACCCTCTGAACAGGGTCCCAGGCTTTGAGAAATCTGGTTTGTTAAACAGAACCTTTGCCAGTAAAGCGCTGCTTCTGTCCCCTCTGCATTTGTAGTCTGAACTGTTCTTTAAGAACCATAGCAACTCTGACCTTTCCAGAAGCAAAAACGTGCTGTAACTGACCTGGCCGGGAAAGATCTTGCCCTCCTTGGGACTGGTAGAGCAATTGTTACTTGTACAATCCAGGTGATAATTAGTAATTGGTTGTCTTGTGTCATCTCCTATTGTCCTGGATGTTATTTATACCTGCTATTGTTGCATAACTTTGCACTTGTTTGTCTTGCACAGCCCGTCCATCATCTTCAGCACAGGAAGCATCTCAGCCTGTCCTTGTATCCGTAGTAGATCTTGACTTGAGTATGGCCCCAGGGACCTCTGGTCATGGTGGCTGCGCAGAGTTGTAGGTGGCAGGCGCTTCGCCCCTGCTGATGCCTCATGCCCTACTCTCCCTTCCAGGCACCTCATTGCGAGCATGCTTTCTGCAACGCCTGCATCACCCAGTGGTTCTCTCAGCAGCAGACGTGTCCGGTGGACCGTAGTGTCGTGACGGTCGCCCACCTGCGCCCAGTGCCTCGGATCATGCGGAACATGTTGTCAAAGCTGCAGATTGCCTGTGACAACGCTGTGTTTGGCTGTAGTGCTGTTGTCAGGCTTGACAACCTCATGTCTCACCTCAGCGACTGTGAGCACAACCCGAAGCGGCCCGTGACCTGTGAACAGGGCTGCGGGTGAGAGTCCAGCCCCTCTGCCCCCAGCAGATGGGGGCCTTTGTGTGCACACCTGCTCAGCAGCTGAGCAGACCTCTCTGGCTCCCTGCCCTGAGTCTTGTTCTCTTACTGCTTTCCCAGCTATAGTTTTGCTGTTGCTTTCATGAAAGAAAGGAAGTAGCAATGCGGCAATCTCTGAAAACATGAAAGATGCGTCCACTGTATTCTTCCTTTCAGTCCAGTACTTTGTGTGTCAGATTTGCTGCTTTAATTCCCAGCCTTCTCTTATTTCCTCTTGCCCTATGTTTTCTTTCTGTGGGTTATGAAATATTTGATTAACTGTGATAGCTCAGATTGTGAATGTAGGACTTCTCAAAAGGACTAAGTGGTCAGGCAGTGTCTCTGGGGTGGTGGATGAGACTTAATGTCCTTTCTCTCCTGGCCTATCTATTTCCTGTCCTCTGTGCTCAAGGGAGGATGGCAAGACACAAGACACCATCCCTTTCCGTGTAGGAGGCCATCCTAAGAAAGGGGCAGCCTTAGATGGGCATGAGAGGACAATTTAGGAAAAAAGGAACCCACCAAGTCCTGTATGGGGAAACTTCGCATAAAATAGATAGCAAATGAGAGCAAGGATGAAGCATTGAGAGAAGAGAAATGAAGGGAGCCTGAAAGAAATGGCCATTTGGGGCAGGCAGGAGCCCAGTCCACAATCCTACGCCCCAGAATTGACCATTCGTTTCCCCCACCACCACCACCATTGAATGCATCTGTTCTGCTCTTTCCCCACACTGGGCTGCAGCTTGGAGATGCCCAAAGATGAGTTGCCAAACCACAACTGCATCAAGCACCTGCGTACTGTGGTCCAGCAGCAGCAGACGCGCATCGCCGAACTGGAGAAGGCATCCGCTGAACACAAGCACCAGCTGGCGGAACAGGTAGGGGCAGGGCAGAGAAGATGCATTCCTCCAGCAAATGACCGCCTGGCGGTGAGCAGCAGTGCCAGCTCAGGACCTGTGGGCCTATGCTTTGAGCTGGGTAAGCAGGTAGATCCTGAGCCTGCTGCTCAGCGAGGAGTCCCATTGGAGCTCTCCTTACGTGACTTTGTGTGCTCAGGTCATCTGTGTCTGCTTGTGTCATCTGTTCTCAAATTTTGATCACATGCCCTTGCTGGGAAGGCTCATTGCCAAGCACCCAGGAGACTGCCATGACAGAGTCCTAGCTTCATCTGAAACTTACAGCTTGCTTGCTCTTTAGATCTCAGTCACCTTTTAAATGGAGAAGCTGTGTTTTACCTGTTGTCTGCCTTAGTCATCATCCTTGGTTCTTCTTGCCTCCAACAGAAGCGAGACATCCAGCTGCTGAAGGCATACATGCGTGCAATCCGCAGTGTCAACCCCAACCTTCAGAACCTGGAGGAGACGATTGAATACAACGAGATCCTAGAGTGAGTGTCAGACCCAAGGGCCTGGGAGTGACAGTAAGCGGCTGGGCTGGTGGTGCCACTTACCTGGTGTCTGGATAAGGGACAGGGACACAGGAGAGGAGGATACCTCTCAGCTCCACTGCAGGATTCCTGTGGGGATGAAAGGGAGAGTGTGTCCAGAGGTGGCTGAGCACCTGGCAGCACGAAGTCTTATATGGAAGGCTGAGTGCTAGGGTGACCACAACAAGAGAGAGGAGACTGCCCTTGGCTTCAGGTAGTGAGAAGGCTAAGTGCTAGTCTGGAAAAGTGATTGAAAGTTGGTGCAGACAAGCAGAGTTAACAGTGAAGTCAGAGTTTCTGTCAGTTCCAGAGGCTGTGACTGAACAGGAAGTGTGTGTTACTATATATAAGGTGCACAAGGCAGAGGGGTTCACTGCTTCACTCAGAAAGCATTGTTGTGAAGCATATGTGCCAGGCACCATGCTAAAAATTGGAATTTAAGAAAAATAATAGGGAAGAATATTTGTCACATGGCCACTCATATGGGACCAGGCAGGGGAAGTTTGGGGTTTCTGAACTGCTAGAAGAATAGGAGGATCAGGCTGACTACAGAGTGGGTGCTCAGTCCTGTCGGGAGAAAAGAAGGTGATGTGGGATAACCACTTCTGACCCCTCCACACAGGTGGGTAAACTCCCTGCAGCCAGCCAGAGTGACCCGCTGGGGGGGAATGATCTCCACCCCTGACGCCGTGCTCCAGGCCGTCATCAAGCGCTCCCTGGTGGAAAGTGGTTGCCCAGCCTCCATCGTCAACGAGCTGATTGAGAATGCCCACGAGCGGAGCTGGCCCCAGGGTCTGGCCACCCTAGAAACGAGACAGATGAACCGGCGCTACTACGAGAACTACGTGGCCAAGCGCATCCCTGGCAAACAGGCTGTGGTGGTAATGGCCTGTGAGAACCAGCACATGGGAGATGACATGGTGCAGGAGCCAGGGCTTGTCATGATATTTGCACACGGTGTGGAAGAGATCTAGGAGAACTTGCCAGGCTGTCAGGAAGAGGTGGTGGTCAACAGATCCCATCACTCCAGCAACTGGGCCCTGAGTCCTCCACACTGTCCTTAATGTGCGGCTTGCCTTGGGGGCCGCACCTCTCCCTGTGCACCAAAGGGTGCGGAGGCACTGGGCTCCGCCCTTCAGGTGGGAGATCCAGATGCCCTCCTCTGCCATATTTCTCCCCTTTGAGGTCGAGGTCCTCAGTCTGGGTGGGGGCTTGCCTGCCTCCATTTTTCTGCCCAAGGCTCCTGGTTCCAGATCTTTCCTGAAAGCACAAAGATTTGTCTTATCCTAGAGGAGCAGGTGGAGAGAAGTTGTCATTGTCCCTCTCCTTCGAGTTGGAATTTACAAGCGGGCCTGTTGGCTCTGAGCAGCACTCAGAGTGTGGGGAGCAGACATCCTGAGGAAGTGGCAAGCGTGAAGCCGAAACCCCAGGAAAAAGCAGGCCAGTCCCGGGCCTCCCCAGTGGCCCTGAGGGGCAGATGGGACCTCTGTGCCAAGCCCATGCCTGTGCAGCCTGCTAAGCCTGCAGGCAGGTAGGCTGCAGTGCTAAACATTTCTAGATGAGCTCTTCTTTCCTACACTTTGTCATGACTAGGGGGCAGCAGGGTTGGGGTAGGACTCAGCGTGTCTGAGTATGTATGCTCAGCCGGAAGCTGCCCCCTGGCTTTTGCAGAAGTAGTGTGGCTGGGCTGTGAGTTTTGCATAAACCCCTTCCAGCCCTGTGAGTATAGTTCATTATTTTGATAATTCCTTTTGGCCATTGTTTGTTTATATTTCATATTTTACAAACCTTGCCCTACCTTCTTTCTTTTTTTTTTTTTCTGAATGGCCTGATCATGGCTACACCACTTTCTAGCCTAGCCACATTGTTGGCAATTTAATTTATTTACTTTTTTTTATATATAGAAAGGAAAAAAGGAAAAAAAAAATCAACAAAAGCTTGAAACTTCTTTTGCTGTCCCTGTCATGGGGATGCTGGATAGGGTGGGGCAGCGATGCAGTCTGTTTGGTCTTTTCCCTTTTCAGCACAGCCTTCGGCTTCCGTATAGGAAAGAACCAAGGGAGTCCTGGGTTGCTCACCCCTAGCCCTTGGAACACCTCAGAGCTGAGGTCCTTCTTTCACTCCCACTGAGGACTTGATAGCCCAGCTTTGATGCCTGTACCCTCTGCAAAAACCTGTTTCCAGCCCTTCTGGGGTCTAGCTGTAAAACTGGATGTAGAGTATTAATTTCAAAGGCAGCTTCCTTGGAGCTATGTTAAGTGGGTTCTAAGCTTCACTGGGCAAATGGGGTAGAAATGATCTTCATGTCTGTAGGTAAATGCTGCATTCTGCTTTACTCCTGCTTCTCGGAGGACCACTGCAGCTACTGGGAGCATTGCTGGATTTCTAGGGTGATTAGCAGAGCACAGTGTAGGGGGAGGGACCAGAGGTATGGCTATTGGAATATAGAAGGGACCAGAGACTGCATCTCCCCGCCATGTAGTGGCTCTTCTTTTTTTTTTTTTTTTTTGAGTCTTGTCCAGACCAGCTTCCTGTGGATCTGGGTAGGGGGATCCTGGCTCCCCTGTGATTGGGGTGGAGGGAGACAGCTTGAGAGTCAAATAGAGAATGGACAAGTGTTTCCACTCCAGGACATCATGCTCAGGAATTTGGAGACGCTGCTATACTAGTCCGATTACTACATTCTTTCGTTCCACTCTGCCGCTGCCAAGGCCGGCGTCCTTTCACCCTCCTCACTTGGAGCCAGGAAACTCTGTTAGGGCCTCCCTCCCCTTGCAGTGTCCCTGCAGATCTCCAGTTGTCTTGTATGTGCCGTTCCATGGTGTTGACTGCACTAATAAACCTCTTTCTCAGCTCTTAAGTTCTTCATTCACCGTCGCACTTGCCCTGATTATGGAGGTTTCTCCTCCGCTTTGGCCTTCCTGTCGCCAACCCCTGGCCTCCCACCACCACCACCTTGCTTGGTTCTTGCTCTGTAATCTACTGTTTCCTGTGATTCACTCGTTCCAGGAGGAATCTGGGACCAGTGTGCCCTCATGTCCTTTCCCTCAACCCTGCCCCATCCCTGTTCTGGAGCAGCCAGAGCTTGCTCTCCAGGGATTATAATTGTGTGATTTCCTGATTTTGCTTTTACCATAAACTCCACATCTTCCCTAGGTGTTCCAGGAAAGAGGGAATACCTTCCACAGGAAATGCACATGGCCCTTTCCCCCTTGTCCTGCAGTAAACCTTTACATTGGAATTTGGAGTCCATGGGTAGCCGGGCACCTGAGACAACCTGCTGCATTTGTCCTACCTGGAGAAAGCTCTTGTGAGCACCTGCCAGCCTCTTCTCCCCTTTCCCCAGTACTGTCTGCAGTTTGTTGACTGTTTCTCATTTACCTGATGGAAATTGAATAGTTCTTTATTCTCTGGTAGATTGGGACCCTATGCACTAACACAAGGTGTAATTATAGAAATAACAGTGAAAGTTTAAAAAAAAATAGCAACAAGCACACCACAGTGTGCAACAGAAAGGCCAACTGTGTGTCCTGGTGATGCTAGCACCTGCTCCAGGAGACTCCTGTAGAATGACAGCCTGCTGTTTGTTCTGTTGTTTTCTTTTGAGACATACCAAGAGAGGGTTCCCATCATCTGGTTCACTAAATACCTGTGGTGAGCAGGGCTAGGCTGAGGTGGGAGCCGGGAGTCTGTGCGGGAACCCAGCTGCTTGACCCAGCACTGCTACCCGTGGGATCCGCATCAGCAGGGAAGTAGGTCAGTTGCCAGCCCTGCACTCTTGATGCTGGACTTGGCTGTCCTAACCTTAGGATGTCATACGCTAGGTGCATATCACCTCTGCTCATTTTTTAAAAAGATTGATTTTATTTATTGTTCATCTTTTCTGAATGTCATGAATGTGCCAAGTCTTGCTTTCGGGTAGATTTGCTTTGTGGGAATAAATGCAAGGAGCCACCAGGGTAGGGACGTGAGGATTGTAGAGCAAAGTGTCACCTGCTAGGCTCGCCATGATGGCTCCATGGCTAAATCCTCATCTTGTAAGCACCAGGATCACATATGTCCGTTTCCTGCTTAGCTCCTTGCCGGTGACCTGGGAAAAACAGAATGGCCCAAAACCTTGGGACCCTGTGCCTGCATGGAAGACCTGAAAGAAGCCCCTGGCTCCTGGGTTCAGATTAGCTCAACCCTGGCCAATGGGACCATTTGGGGAGTGAGCCAGCAGATGGAAAATCTTTCATAAATCTGCCTTTCCAATAACAGTAAATCTGTTTTAAAAAGTCACTTGCCTCCCGAGAACAACTCCCTTGATGGAGGTGATTGAATCATAAAGTATGTTAGATGTGCTAGGTAGGTTTCTTAGCAATACATGAGAGGAAGATAAAACCACTGATCGTGGCCCCAGCTCGGTATCTTAGTGGCTTAAGTCCTGGCCTTGCACATGCTGGAATGCCATATGGATACCAGTTCTAATCCTGGCTGTTCCACTTCCCATCCAGCTCCCTGCTTGTGACCTGGGAAAGCAGTTGAGCGCAGCCCAAATCTTGGGACCCTGCACCTACATGGGAGATCTGGAAGAAGCTCCTAGGTCCTGGCTTTAGATCGGCTTGGCTCCAGCCAGCTGTTTTGGTCACTTGGGGAATGAACCGGCAGATGGAACATCTCTGTCTCTCCATCTCTCTAAATCTGAATTTCCAATTAAATATTAAGTTAAACACTGATAGGCTTCATGGCTGCTTCTCGTTAGGCTAGCACTGATAAGTTACCATAAAGCCTAAAGTATTGGATCCTTTAAGGAAAAAGGTTGTAAATCCACTCTAAATATTTGATCAGGAGAATTGGAGGAGGGAATAGGTTAAGATTGGTAACTTTTTCAGTATGTATATTTGAAAAATCTAAACACTTCCTTTTAAAAAGGATTTTATTTGAAAGACGAAGTTAGAGGAAGAGGCAGAGAAGTCTTCTGCTGCTTTGTTCCCCAAATGGCCACAATGGCTGCAGGTGTGCCAGACCAAAGCCAGGAGCCAGGAACTTCTTTCCCTCGTGGGTGTAGGAGCTCAGGCACTTGGGCATTTTCCACTGCTTCCCCAGGTAGCTTCGTGGGGGGGTTGGGTCAGAAGTGGAGCAACTGGGTCTGGTGCAGTAGCCTAGTGGCTAAAGTCCTTGCCTTGCACACGTTGGGGTTCCTCCTCCCTTCCATCTCCCTGCTTGGGGCCTGGTTAATCAATTGAGGATAGCCCAAAGCCTTGGGATCCTAAACCCATGAATGAGACCTGGAAAAAGCTCCTAGCTCCTGGCTTCAGGTCAGCTCAGATCAGGCCATTGTGGTCACCTGGGGAGTGAATCATCAGATGGAAGATCTTCCTCTCTGTAAATCTGACTTTCCAGTAAAAAATAAGAAAAAAAAAAGGGGGGGGGATCCCGAATGATGGCCAAAAAAAGCTAGTGCTTTCCTTGAAAGTTGCAGGATCCCATATGGGCATCAGACCTAATTCCAGTGGCTCCACTTCCCATCCAGCTCCCTGCTTGTGGCCTGGGAAATCAGTTGAGGACAGCCCAAAGCTTTGGGACCCTGCACCCACATGGGAGACCTGGAGGAGGTTCCTGGCTCCTAGCTTCAGATTGCCTCAGTACCAGCTGTTGTGATCACTTGGGGAGTGAATCAGCAGATGGAAGATGTTTTTCTCCTCCTCTCTGTGTATCTGACTTTGCAATAAAAATAGACAAGTCTTAAAAAGAGGCACTAGTAGTGATAACTCCATTTCCTGTGTGGAGAACAGAAGAGAGGACAAAATCCACAGGATTGGCCTTCAGAACAGGTATTTGAACCTAGAAAGTCGATCCAGAACCTGGGCTCTGAGCACTGCATGTAAACAAAGGGCACGGGACCCAAGATGAGTCACAAGCCTCGAGAGTTTCTGGGGTGTGTGGGTGATGCAGTGCCCTTACCTGAATCAGGAGCAGAGGATGAGCCGGTTTCTGTTGTGAATAATGAGCTAATTTGGGAATACCGGATAGATCTGTGCAGCCAGGTCATGGAAACGTGGGGCTGGAGCTTAATAGCAATGGGTTTGGGGAGGGCGTCAATGGCCAGAGGGAATGAGGAAATTCTAGGAATGCATGCAATCGGGATGGGAGGAAACAAAGTAAAAAATGAGGTTTTGGGGGATTCCAGAAGTAATCCAGAGCTGGACAAGAAACATGACAAATCTGGCTGGTTTCCTACAAGGAATTTTGAATCAGTGAATCATTTAGTTGTGGCTCATAAACTAGCTTGAAGGAGTTCCAAAAATATTTTGAGCCATGACAATATCCCTGAAACAAGTGTGGTTGAAATCCAGACCAGATCCACTGATGATGTTTGATTAAAGGTAGCCGAGTAGGAGTGGTATTTGGTGGAGCAGTTGAAGCAGTTTGCGCATCAGCGTGCCTGGATTTGAATACCAGCTCTGGTCCTGACTGCAACTTTTTTTTTTTTTTAAGATTTACTTATTTTTATTAGAAAAGTAGATTTATAGGGAAAAGGAAAGATAGATCAGATAGATCTTCCATCCACTGGTTCACTCCCCATATGGCCATGTTTTTCAACCTTTCAAATAAATGAATATTAAAGAAAATAAAAGAGGGCCCAGTGCAGTGGCCTAGCGGTCAAAGTCCTCACCTTGAATGCACGGGGCTCCCATATAAGTGCTAGTTCTAATCTCGGCAGCTCTACTTCCCATCCAGCTCCCTGCTTGTGGCCTGGGAAAGCAGTAGAGGACGGCCCAATGCCTTGGGTCTCCTGCGTGGGAGACCTAGAGGAAGCTCCTGGCTCCTGGCTTCAGATCAGGTCACCTCAGGGTGTCGTGACCACTTGGAAAGTGAATCATCAGATGGAAAATCTTCCTCTCTGTCTCTCCTCCTCTCTGTATATCTGACTTTCCAATAAAAATAAATCTTCGAAAGAAAAAAAGTATAGTGTCTAAAGGCCAATAAGAGCCCCAAAGATGTCAGATGTGGCAAAAGACAGAAATTGAGAAATTGCTATATTTGTGCAATGTTTTCTATTAATGTCACACAAATTTAGGAGGCAGAAATCGGTGACAAAGCATTAAGATATATAGAGCTGTACGGAGAAAAGTGTACGTTTATTTGAAAAAAGGAAAGGCACAACAGTGTGGTGATCTGAAAATATCCGATAAAGGCAGGGCTTTCATCTGAGTACGCGAAGGGTTGGAGAGTGGAATAGGGGCCTCGTTACTAGCAGTGTTAAGGAAGGATGTTTACAGAATGTTCTTGGGCCCGGCCGCGGTAGTGTGGCCTAGCAGCTAAAGTCCTCACCTTGAACGCACCAGGATCCCATATGGGCACCGGTTCTAATCCCAGCAGCTCCACTTCTCATCCAGCTCCCCGCTTGTGGCCTGGGAAAGCAGTCGAGCATGACCCAAAGCTTTTGGACCCTGCAGTGGCTTTGTGGTCACTTTGGGGGAGTGAATCCTCTTCCTCTCTCTCCCTCCCTCCCTGTATATCTTACTTGGTAATAACAATAAACAAATCTTAAAAAAAAAAAGAGGATAACTTCAGGGAAGATGAGCAAAACCAATACTGTCTTGAGAAGTAGTGCGCACAAATGGGTGGGTGTAACTAGGCAAGAAAGGCTGGGAAAAGGGAAGATCCCGGAAAGAGAAGCAACAGGAAAGAGGAACATTTGTTGGGGACAAGAGAGCAGTTATTGAAGCAGAGTACATTCTGAGAATGGTAGAAATTTGAAATTGTACACGAACTGACTTGTAAATGGCCCCCTAGATCACAACCCTGCATAGTTTCAACTGAAGCAAATTGCCATATTCCCACTCTGCCCAGATCCTCCATTTTGTAAGCGGTGGCACCTCTTTTCCTTTGCAGTACAGTTCTTGGCTGCCCTCTGCTGGCCAGCTAGGGTCTTGGCGTTCAATATAGTTAAATGCGAACGCAAGCGCAAAACGGGATTTGCTAGGAAGCTTGGAGTTGTTAGTGTTATTTCCCATTACGTCTATGTAGAAGGCCTTGAGAAACAGACAAAGAAGAAAAACACTGTGCTTTTTCTCAAGAATGTGGCAGTCCATTTTTTTATTCTTCCTTTTAAATGTATTTATTTGAAAGGCAAAGTTAAACAGAAAATCTTCTATTCTCTAGTTCACTTTCCAGATAGCCGCAATGGCCAAAGCTGGCTGGTCTAAAACCAGGAGACAAGAGTTTCTTCCTAGACTCCGCATGGATGCAGGGGCTCAAACAGTTGAGCTATCTATCCTTCATTAGTTTCCTAAGCCCAGGTACATTAGCAGGGAGCAGGATCAGAAGTGGAGCAGCCAAGATTTGAACAAGTGCCCATACAAGATGCCTGTGCTATTAAAAATAAACAAAAATAAAACCATAAAAAAAGAAATAAGATTACCTGTGCTGCAGGTGGCATCTTTATTTGTATGCCACAACGCTGGCCCCATATTCTGATTATTTAATCATATGTATATAAAAATTGTAAAAACACCCATTCACGGTGCCCAGCAAGGTAATCTAGTGGCTAAATTTCCTTGCATGTGCTGGGATCCCATATGGGTGTCAGTTTTATTGCCATCTGCTCTACTTCCCCTTCGGCTCCTTGCTTGTGGCCTGGGAAAGCAGTCAAGGACTGCCCAAAACCTTGGGACCCTGCACCCACATGAGAGACTTGAAAGAAGCTCCTGTCTTTGGATCAGCTCAGCTCTGATCATTGGGAATTGAACCAGTGAATTGAAGATCTTTCTGTTTCTCCTTCTCTGTGTAAATCTGACTTTGCAATTTAAAAAATACAAATCTTTTTAAACATTTTTAAAAAATCCATTCACACACTTTTAAAAACTTGAGGCTTGGGCCTGGTGGTGTGGCCTAATGATTAAAGTCCTCACCTTGAACACGCTGGGATCCCATATGGGCACCGGTTCTAATTCCAGAAGCTCCACTTCCCATCCAGCTCTCTGCTTGTGGCCTGGGAAAGCAGTCGAGGACGGCTCAAAGCCTTGGGACCCTGCACCCACGTGGGAGACCTGGAGGAAGTTCCTGGCTCCTGGCTTTGGATTGGGACAGCACCGGCCATTGTGGTCACTTGGGGAGTGAATCATCGGACGGAAGATCTTCCTCTCTATCTGTCCTCCTCTCAGTATATCTGACTTTATAATAAAAATAAAATAAATCTTTAAAAAATAAACCAGAGGCTTATCTCTCTGACAGGGCACAAAGGACTTCACATGATAAAATTAGGACTCAAGATGTGGTGGGTAACAGGTGGCCTCGAGAAGAAAAAACTTGGAAAGTCAGATATATAGATAGGAAGAGAAACAGGAAGATCATCTGTCTGATGATTTACTCCCCAAGTGGTCGCAATGGTCAGAGCTGAGCCAATCCGAAGCCAGGAGCCATGAGCCTCATTCAGGCCTCCCATGCAGGTACAGGGGCCCAAGGCTTTGGGCTGTCATCAACTGCTTTCCCAGGCTACAAGCAGCGAGCTAGATGGGATGCGAGGCTGCAGGAATTAGAACCGGTGCCCATATGGGATCCTGGTATGTGCAAGACAAGGACTTTAGCCCCTAGGCTTCAGCACTGGGCCCGAGAAACATTCTTTTAGGCAGATAATAGCAGGAGCAAGGCCAAATAGCTGTTTGAGGAACTAAAAGAATGCATGTGGTTGGAATGCAGTGACTGTGAATGGTGAGGGAACAGTGGAGTGTTTGTGGGAGTCTGAGGTCAAGTCCTGCACGGGGCCCATTGTAGAGTAGCGCCACAGGTATCACCTCCTCCAGAATGAGAGCCTCACGTGCTGACTAGCCTGAACTCCTGAGACATAAGCAATTTCAGTTGAATTAGAAAGGCAGAGAATGGTCCTAGTGCAATAGCCTAGTTGCTAAATCCTTGTCTTATTCATGCCAGATACCATATGGGCACTGATTCATGTTCTAGCTGTTTCACTTCCCATCCTACTACCTGCGTGTGGCCTGGGAAGGCAGTCAAGAATGGCCCAGGAACGTGGGACCCTGCACCCACGTGGGAGACCTGGAAGAAGCTCAGCTTCCACCATTGCAGCCACTTGGGGAGTAAACCAGTGGACAGATCTTTCTCCCTGTATCTCCTTCTCTCAAAATATTCCTCTGCAATAAAAATTAAAAAGTAAATTAAAGAAAGAGGGATAAAGATCTGTCTACCGCTGGTTTACTCCCCAGATACCTGGCTTCATTACTAGTCTTAGCCCCTGAATCCAATTTGAACCAGTGTTAGGGAATGCTGCCTGCCTCTATTATTAAAGAAAAAAAGATTTATTTATTTTCATTGGAAAGGCAGCTCACATTAACAGAAGGAACGAGAAGCAGAGAGAAAGATTTTTCCATCCACTGGTTCACTTCCAAGTGGTCCCAACAGCCGGAGCTGAACAGATCTAGAGGCAGGAACTTCTTCCAGGTCTCCCATACGGGTGCAGGTCCCAAGGCTTTGGGCCATCCTTGACTGCTTTCCCAGGCCACACGCATGGAGCTGGATGGGAAGTGGAGCAGCCAGAACAGGAACAGATGCCCATGTGGGATCCCAGTGCTCTCACAAGGTGAGGATTTAGCCACTGAGCCATGGTGCATTCGTTATTATTATTATAAAAGCAAAGTTAGAGAGGGCGATAAAGATTTATTTAAAAAATAAATTTGTTTTATTATTGATGATGTTTACATAATTGAGAAGAATGCATGCCCATGTGGATCACAGACTGGGGTGGAGGTAGGAGAGATCTTCTATCCTTTGGTTTGCTCCCCAAAGCCAGGTGCCAGGAACTTCCTTCGGGTCTCCAACGTGGGTGCAGGGGCCCTAGTAGTTGACCATCCTTTAGTGCTTTTTCAGGTGCATTAGCTGGGAGAAGGATCCAAGCTGGCACCCACATGTAAATTGCCAGCATTGAATGCAGATATAGGATGCTGTTGCTGGTGGTGGCTTAACACATTATGCCACAAAGTCAGCCCCATCTCAATTAAAACAACAAACAGCCTTGGAAACTGTAGGAAACTGGCAAGAATGGGCAGGGGGCAGTGGCAAGAGCATGGTCGGGTAGAAGGGAGGCCTGTGACCTCTGATCTCTTGGAGCCTATTGGAAGATGCTGCTGTGCAATAAAGTATAAAAAGGGCACCCTAGGTCTTCTCTGCAACCCCTGAAAAGTCAGGAAGAGCCAGGTGGAAAGAGGTCTGAGAATCCCCTCAGAATGCCTGGCTCCGGGTGGGTGTGCTGGGTGTGTCCCAGGCTTTCTCCTAGCCCTGGAATACCTGAGGAAGGTATTATCCACAAGGAAATGCAGATGCTTCCTCTCTGAAAACTGTGGGGTTCGGCTTTTCATTGCACACCAGGCGCTCACAGTCCCCAACAAAACACTTGTTTCACCACATCCCTTCGCTAGACCCTCAAAAGAACAATTCGCGCACTCCAAACTCTACCAGTAAGCTGGGGGATGGAGGGCAGGCCGTTGTGTCTAATCCCGCTGCCCCACATCACCCCCATCGCCCCTCCCACATCTCCGTTGGGTGGAGGGAGTCCTCTGCAGCTTCCCTCTTGAGACAGAAAGGGGAAACGCAGGAGAGACTCAAGAGTCCGGGGTTCCTTTTTTCATGTGCCCCAGGGGAGGGAAAAAAATGCAGCCGTCACGAACAGGATTCGAACCTGTGCGGGGAAACCCCATTGGATTTCGAGTCCAACGCCTTAACCACTCGGCCACCGTGACTCCCAGAAGCATACATCGCCGCGTGCTTACAGGAGGGGTCCGCGCCGCGGCGCCCGGAAGCCCGCGCGCACCCGGCCTCCCACCCCTCGCCCCTTACAGCCCCGACAAGAGCGGGTGGACCGAGTGGCCCGGAGAGGCAGGGCTTCCTGCTAGAGAGGAGTTAGGGCCTCAAGGAGCGCACAGCGACAAGGCAGGCGATGGCGAGGCCTGTGGAGGAAGCGATGAGGAAAGGGGACTGGGGTCCCAGGGACGGAGGCTGGGGCTTCTCAGATTAGGAAGTGAGGGCTGAATGGGTACCGGGCGGGACGAGGCGCGAGGCTGAGAGAGACTCGGTTAAAGTTTAAAAGGGGATTCGCCGGACATGGAAGAAAAGGAAGAAACTCGGGGAGTAGGGGTTCCTCGGCAGGGCTAGGAACGTGAGGAGGGCCCTCCGGGCGGCGGGTTGGGGCGCTCCTCCCGCGGTGATGAGAGAGAAGGGACCCCGGGCAACGACCGAGGCTGGGCTGGCGGGTCAGGAGCGGTTTCTGAGGAATGGCGCCCCCTCCGGGAAGCAGCCGCTTCCCTAGATGCTCTCGGGGCCGCCGCTGCCAGGGAGGCCACCCGAAACCGGACTCGGCCGGCTCGCGCGGCCTGCCGGCAGGGGGCGCTGCGCGGAAGCCGGGCCGGCCTAGGCGGCGGGAGGCGGCGGCCGCGGCGGCGGGAGGCGGCGGGGAGGCGGGCGGAGGAGGAGGCGGCGGAGGAGGCGGGAGCTGAGCGGAGCGGGGCGGGCGGCGGCGGCGGCGGCGCGGGGCCCGAGCCCGAGAAGATGGCGGTGCGGAAGAAGGACGGCGGTCCCAACGTGAAGTACTATGAGGCCGCGGACACCGTGACCCAGTTCGACAACGTGCGCCTGTGGCTCGGCAAGAACTACAAGAAGGTACGCGGCTCGGGCCGCGCGCGCCCCGGGGCCGGGGGCGGGACAAAGAGCCCCGCGGCCCCGCGCCCCCCGGGCTCCGGCCGCCCTGGCCCCTCCCCCGCGGCCTGCGGGCAGCGCCCCGCGGGCCGCGCCCCTCCCCCAGCCTCCCCCACCCACCCCACCCCCACCCGGGCCGCCGATCCCTGCCCCCGCCCGCACGGCTGCGCCCTCTGCCCCTTGTCTTTTTTTTTTTTTTCCCTTTTTTTTTTTTTTTTTGCCTCTTCTGCCGCCCCGGTGCCGGCCAGCCCACCCGGCCCTGAGCCATCATCGTCTTTCCTGCTCTTTCTGGGGTGGAGACGGCCGGGCTGGGGTGCATTCGGTACCGAGCGGGCGCCCTCCACTGCCCAGCCTTACCCCCCCACACATACACACACCACCACGTCCAGACAACCGCCAGGGCTCCCCAAGGAGCCAGGTAGCAGCGGGGGGCTGAGGCCTCCCCGGTGCTTTTGTGTGTATGCAGAGACAGAGATGAACCCTGCGGCCGGGTAAACAGCCGCGGGCCAGGCCATCGGGTTGTCAGTGACCCGGGAGAGATTCCCACCCCAGACCACCTGTCTCCCTCCACCTCTCCACTCCGCAGGGAGGACACCTGGGAACCCGGGATCGGGGGAGTCTCTGGGCCGCGGCCCCTGGGCTTCAGCTTGCAGTCAGCAGCCCAGACTGGCCCTGCCCTGGGCTGGGGACCTAAGGGGGGACCACCCTCATAACCTTAGCCCCTCATCCCCGGTAGGAGAACTGGGACAGCAGTGAACAAAAGGGTCCCAGAAGCCTCACCTGGCTTGCTTTCCCAACAGAGCATTCCTGGTGTCTTTGTCTGGGGCCTGGTTCTTGGGTGGCAGAATTGAGCTGCCTCTCTGCCCCCCTGCACTCCCTCCAGTTCCTGGATTCTCCTGGCTGGGTCTGGGCTCTGCTGCCCTTCTTTGTGGCCTGTCAAAAGCATGCCAAGGACCTCACCAGCCGTGTTTCTGAGCGGGTTGGGGGGGGGGTCTCTGCCCCAGGGGTCCCTCTGGTGTGGGAATCATAGCTGCTGAATCTGTGTGACTTGCATGGGGGTTTGGATCCCCCACTTCTATCTTTGCCCTTCCAAGGGGAGATCACTCAGGGGAGGTCCTGGGGAAAGAATGAACAGCCTGTGACCCCCTGCCCTGGGCCCTTTGTCCTTCACCTTTCCCTTCACACCTCCCACTGAGCTGCTCTGTCTTCTGCTTGGGAATCCAGTAGGTAACAGGGTCAAAAGGTAAAGAGAAGGTTAACGGCTGGCTCCGTGTGCGTGGCAGGCAGGTGGTCCGGATGTGCAGGTGTTTGGGAAAACCAGGGTCGCTTGGCTCAGGTAGTTTCCTCAGACGGGGCTGATGGTGCCTTGTTCTTCCCCAGCCCGCTGGGGAGGAGTGAGATGCAGGTGCCACCTCCTAGCACAAGTGCGGGTCGGGAGCCCACGCTCTCCAGTCGAGGCCTACCTTCACTTCTTGGCACCTTTCCTAATAGGCCGCTTGAAGTTTCCTCAAGAACTGCACTTGCTGCAGTCCCGCAGGTTTTATTTCAAGACCTGAACTCTGTGTTCCTCCTGGATTTTACAGCCCTTGGTGCTGTTGGCTGGAGAACAGGTGCCACAGTAACAGGGTCCGGCAGCAAAGCTTCGCTCACCCACGACACCCTGCTCTGGGGACCCGCGCTTGGTGGAAGCTGAATTTTAACTTCCTGGTTAGAGGTCTCCAGGGGCCATCCTTGCACCATTTTCTTTCTAAGGACTTAAACACATGGGGGAGAAAAGCACTGTTTTCTTTGCCCAGGTTCTTGCAGAGCCTGTAGGGGAGAGATGTGGAGGGGGTAGACTGTTTACCCCGGGTCCTGGCTTTCCATTCCTCCAGTATATACAAGCTGAACCACCCACCAACAAGTCGCTGTCTAGCCTGGTTGTACAGTTGCTACAATTTCAGGAAGAAGTTTTTGGCAAACATGTCAGCAATGCTCCACTAACTAAACTCCCGGTGAGTGCCGAAGCTGGAATGTCCCCTGTCCGCCCCACCCCCCACACTCACTGCCCCAGCTGGCGACGGAGGCATCGTCAGTATTGTCATTTTTGAGATTTTGGGTTATTTCTTCCCGCGCTTCTCCCTGGTCATTCGGTGCTTGACTTGGCCTAATCCCCAGTTTACTGTGCCCTTTGTTTTTGTAACACTGTGCAACAAGTCACTGTGGAACATGTGGGCTCAGTCCCGCTCCCATGGCCGGGTTAAAGGGGTGTGGTTGGGATTTGCATAGCTTTCTGTTCAGATCCTGCCTCTTGCACTTGGTAAAGGAGGAACTCAATAAATGCCGCTAAAGCTGGTGCTTGGGGCCAGGTGCGAACCTCGGTCCCCTGTCCCTCCTCCAGGGCACATGTTGCAGTCGCTCAAGGGTTATAGAATTCAGGTGATGAGAGGGACATCAGTTCCGCTAGGGATTTCGTGAAGAAATTAGTAACCGAGAAGAGAATCTCTGATTTAGATCTCACATGTTTCTTGCTGTCTCCATTCCGTAGATCAAATGTTTCCTAGATTTCAAAGCAGGAGGCTCCCTGTGCCACATCCTGGCAGCTGCCTACAAATTCAAGAGTGACCAAGGATGGTGAGATGCTTTCTTAGCTTCTTATGGGTAGCACAGAGGGACTCCACCTTGGTTCCTGGCCCCTTTCCACATAGGGGAGGGCGCAGGTAGTAATTCTGTAGCTCTCTTCTTCTGGGTTAGAAAAATGGCTGAGAAGCAGGGCCAAAATAGTCTCCAAGGAGTTTAGTGTGTACCTGTGTGTCAGAGTTTGTACTATAGAGGAAAAGGACCTTGGGGCTTGGCCTCTTAAAGTGTCTGTCCTTTCGGGCCAAGCACAGAGGGACTGGTGGAGTTGAGGTCAGTGGACCTCACAGCTTCCTGTGTGAAAATGTGCCTGGCCTTACCCTACCCAGACCCGAGCAGCCCTACTCACTAGTTTGTTTTCTCTTCACAAGGCGCCGTTACGATTTCCAGAACCCGTCCCGCATGGACCGCAACGTGGAAATGTTTATGACCATTGAGAAGTCCTTGGTGCAGGTAATGGTTGAGACACACCCCCCCACACTGCCGTCTCCCTTCTCTCCGTGAGGACCCTGCCCCTAACTCTTGTCCTATCAATTTCTTCTCCCCACAGAATAATTGCCTGTCTCGACCGAACATTTTTCTCTGCCCAGATATTGAGCCTAAACTGCTAGGGAAGCTAAAAGACATTATCAAGAGGCACCAGGTAAGCGGGCAGGGTAGGAAGGGTGTCTGAGCCCAGGTGACTTTCCCCTGGGTTTTCCCTGCTGAGCAGCAGTGTTTTGTACAGTAGAAGAGGGCCAGTCCAGGGCGGGGCAGGGGTCGGAGCCTGGGCCGCTGTCCCCACTTGCTCCTCTTGGGTCCCAGTGTGTGCAGGTTGGGATCACCGTCCCTAGAGATCCCACTGGCCTGGGGGATGAAGGCATCCACTTCCACTGAGCTGGAGATTATCTGGTTTTAGATCAGTGAAACACTTGCTCTTTGGAACTTGGTAATAACAAGCAGATGTCACTGATGGAAACATCTAGTCACCTCTAAATTGCCCACATGTAGAGGATGCATTTAGAGGATTCTGTGTCAACATTTGGTGACTTGATTTTCATGTTTTTAGCGTGGTCCGGGTTGAGCTGTTTTCTTGTGTTGCTCACTAGCATGTGCTTAGAGAATGTGGACTGACTTCAATAGGGAGCTCACTGGTGAAGTTCTAATTTGTATCCGTCACTCAGAATCTCTGTTGACCTGCTTCTCCTTGTGCCATCCAGGGGACAGTCACTGAGGATAAGAACAATGCCTCCCATGTGGTGTATCCCGTCCCAGGGAACCTAGAAGAAGGTGGGACCTGGGTTTTCCTGCCCTGCTGTGGGTGGCTTGGATGAGAGGCAGAGGATTGCTCCATCAGCATGCTGCCTCAGGGCCTCACTCTCCTCCGCCCGCGTCCTCCTCCCACCTTGAGTTTTTGTTGCATGTCTTCCACGTCCTCCACCGAAGCAGGGGAGTGGTGAGGCAGGGCTGTTGTCCAGTTGTTGTATGTATGCCCCTTTAGCTCATCTCCTCTCTTTTCTGTCCCCAGAGGAATGGGTACGGCCAGTCATGAAGAGGGATAAACAGGTCCTTCTGCATTGGGGCTATTACCCTGACAGGTGAGGACGGGTCCCTGAGGCAGGTGTGAGTATGAGAGTCTGTCCCAGTTGTCCTGGAATGTCTAGCAGTACACAAAGACTCTCCCTGGGGTTTATTTTTAGATCGGTTAATGTGTTCTCCCACTTAACTCTGTGACTCCTCTGTCTGGACTTACTAGACAAGGCTTAGATTATAAGGATCAGGCTTCATGTATGAAATGGTCACCAGGAGACCAAACAGCAAATGTCAGAAGCTGTAACTACAAACATGGCTTCAGCGATTAAAAAAAAAAAAACAACATTTATTTTTATTGGAAAGTTGAATTTACAGAGAGGAGGAGAAACAGAAATATCTTCCATTTGCTGGTTCACTACCCAAGAGACAACAATGGCCAGAGCTGAGCTGAGCTGAACCCAGGAGCCAGGAACTACTTCTGGGTCTCATGCAGGTGCAGGGCCCCAGGACCTTGAGCCGTCATCGACTTCTTTCCCAGGCTACAGGCAGGGAGCCGGAAGGGAAGTAGGGCAGTTGGGATATGAACTGGTGCCCATATGGGATCCCGGTGCATACAAAGCTAGGACTGTAGCCACTAGGCTATTGCGCAGGGCCATAAGCAGATTTTTGGTAGGAAGTCATTATGCAGCATTTCAAGTAGTAGGAAATAGCATGGATAACTATAGGTAAATCTTAACTGTAAAAAGTAGCAGTCTTGGGCCCGGCGCCATGGCCTAGCAACTAAAGTCTTTATCTTGAACGTGCTGGGATCCCATATGGGCGCTGGTTCTAATCCCAGCAGCCCTACTTCCCATCCAGCTCCCTGCTTGTGGCCTGGGAAAGCAGTCAAGGAGGCCCAAAGCCTTGGGACTCTACACTTGTGTGGGAGACCTGGAGGAGGTTCCTGGCTCCTGGCTTTGGATCGGTGCAGCACCAGCTGTTGTGGCCACTTGGGGAGTGAATCTTTGGACGGAAGATGTTCCTCTCTGTCCTCTTCTCTGTATATCTGACTTTGCAATAAAAATAAAATAAATCTCTTTTTTAAAAAAAGTAGCATGTAAAATAACAGTAAGTGTGCAATTATATAGGGCTAAAGTTGCACAGAAAAAAATTAATGAAGAAAACATATGGAACATCAAGAATAGTTAGGTTAAGATGGTTTTTCTGATTCCCTTATTTTTTAGGTTCATTTTCAATTGACACATAGTAATTATATATATTCACAGGTACAATCTATTTTGACACATTTGCAACAGTGTGCAGTGATTTAATCAGGAGTAATTATTAGCATGGCCATCATTTAAGCATTTGTCATTTCTTTTTATTTGAAACATTATTCTCCAGATTATTTTCCATTCATTTTTATATCAACAAGAAACTTACTAGTTTTTAATCCAAATGCTCGCATTGTCTGAAGAAATTTGACAAGGTTAGGAATAACTGCTATCAAGCTGAACTATTGGAAATTGAAACATTTAGGCTTGCATGAATGCTCTCCATCTCTGTACTTACATTTAAAATCCACATTGAAATGAAAATAGAAAAACTGTTACTATCTGATTTCTGTCCCTTGGTCCCTTGATTTTCTTTCTTTTTTTTTTTTTTTCCTACTCAGTCATTTAGCTAGGGACCTATTCCTCATGTGGGAAAACAAATTTGATGTTCAGAACTACCAGTAACAGGAACAAAAAAAAAGTTGCTTGAGAACAAAATATTTCCCATCATGCATCATAGTGGCTTCTTTTTTTTAAAAATTGGGTTTTTAAAGCCTTATTTATTTTATTTGAAAGGCAGAATTACAGAGGGTGAGACAGAGTTAACCAGCCCTGGTTAACTCCTCAAATGGCTTTAACATGTGGAACTGGGCCAGTCCAAAGAGAGAAGGAGAGGCCTCCTAGATGGGTACAGGAGCCCAAGTACTTGGATCATTCTTTGCTGCTTTCCCAGGCATATTAGCAGGAAGATGGATTAAAAGTGGGGCAGCCAGGACTCAAACCAGCACCCATTAGTGATGTCAGTATTGCAGGTGGCGGCATAATTTGCTTCACCACAATGCAGGCCCTTAATGATTGATTATTTAAAAGAGTTAGAGAGGAAAAGGGATCTTCCATTCTCTGGTTTGCTCCCCAGATAACCACAATAATTGGGACTGAGCCAGGCTGAAGGCAGGAGCCAGGAGCTTCATTCAGGTCTCCCTAAATGCAGGAATGCAGGGGCTCAAGTACTTGAGCCATATTGTACTACTTTTCACAGGGCATTGTTAGGGAATTGGAATGGAAGTGGAGCAACTAGGATTTGAGCCAGTGTCCATATGGGATTCTGGCATTGCAGGTGGCGGCTTTACCCACATTGTGGTTTCTTAAGCATTCTGCACATATGTAGCATGCTAACTAGATGTCTTTTGGTATAATGGTTACAGATTTGGCACAGATAACACACAGGTTGGTGTCTGAATAAGGCCAGCTAAATAGGCCTTACTTGTCTCCCGCAAAGCACCAATAACTGTGCTCTGGAATTGCAGATGTGTTTTGAAATCCTGATGTTTCACCAGGCACTTAGAAAGGGAGTTTTTGGGGCCTGGAGTGATAGCTTAGTGGCTAAAGTCCTCCCATATGGGCGCCAGTTTGTATCCCCTCTGCTCCACTCCCCTTCTAGCTCCCTGCTTGTGGCCTGAGAAACAGTGGAGGATGACCCAATGTCTTGGGACCCTGCACCCATATGGGAGACCCGAAGAGGGTCCTAGCTCTGGATCAGCTCAGCTCCGGTTGTTGTGGTCACTTGGGGAGTGAACCAGTGGATGGAAGATCTTTCTGTTTTCCCTTCTCTGTAAATCCAATTTTCAAATAAAAATAAATCTTTAAAAAAAAAAAAAAAAGGTGGGGAAAATTTTTGAATCATTCAAATGTCTGGCCTGAGCAATGAGGTTTCTTCACCCGTCCAGTAGAGGTCGCCCTCTCATCAGTGGCTCTTGTAGCCAGTTGCTTCCTGGGTGCTCCACTGCTGCCCTGACTGGGCAGTGGGCTGCATGAGAGCCTCCTTGCTTGTCCCTCTCCTTTGGCAGGAATTTGGTGAACTAGGAACAGCACTGGTGTTTGTAAGAGCCTGTTCTCTATTTTTTTTTTCTAAGATTTATGTTTTGTTCATTTGAAAGGTAGAATTATAAGTAGCGGAGGAGAAACAGAAAATCCCACCCACTGATTTACTCCCCACATGGCACAACATCTGGGGAAGATCCAGCCAAAGCCACGGGGCCCTGAGCTTCTTTCAGGCCTGCTTCGTGGATGTAGGGGCCCAAGCACTTGGACCACCTTCTACTGCTTTAAAAAAAAAGATGTTTATTTGGAAAGTGGAATGACAGAAAAAGGCAGAAAGACAGACCTTTTGTCCACTTTGTTACTCCTCAAATGATCATAATGGCTGGGATTGGGCTATGCCAAAGCCAAAACCCAGGAATTCCATGTGAATCCGCCGTGTGGGTTACAGGGGTCAAGTCCTTGGACCACCTTCCACTGTTTTCCCGGGCATATTGGCTCGGAGCAGCCAGGCCTTAAACTGGCACTCTGAAACAGGGTGCTGGTGTTCAGGCAGGAGTTCGCCTCTCGGGGCCACAGTGTAAGCCTCTCTTTCTATATTTTATGTAATATTTCAATAGACTGGGAAAACAATAGTTCCCAAAAATAAACCAACACAATCTAGTCCTTTTTTGTCAGTGTTTCTGAAAGAGCTACACTCTATTCTGTTGATTCTCCTTTGTGTTCCGTTTCCCATGGCAGTTACGACACGTGGATCCCAGCCAGTGAAATCGAAGCATCTGTGGAAGATGCACCAACTCCTGAGAAACCGAGGAAGGTAAGCTGTCCTCACGCCCAGCCCCAAGGGGCAGGCTAAGACCAAACCACCTTCTGGCAGGGAGGCAGAGGCTGCTGTGTCCTGGGACTTTGTTTAGCTGTTATTTATTTATTTTCATATTATCTGAAAGGCAGGCAGATAGTGACACAGAGAAGGTTTTTCATACACTGGTTCCCTCCCCAAATATGCACAGTAAAACAGCATTAGGTCAGACTGAAATCAGGAGCTTGGAACTCAATCCATGTCTCCTATGTGGGTGACAACTACCGGAGCCATTGCCTGCTGTCTCCAAAGGGGAATTGGAAGTAGAGATGGGACTCAAAGCCAAGGTCCTCCAGTGTGGCATGTTGGCATCCCAAGCCCAGCATCACATACGCATTTTAGCAAGAGTTCATGCTTCCCTCCGGCACCATCTGCCTTCGTGCTTCAGGTTCATGCCAAGTGGATCCTGGACACAGACACCTTCAATGAGTGGATGAATGAGGAAGACTATGAAGTAAATGATGACAAAAACCCTGTCTCCCGCCGAAAGAAGATTTCGGCTAAGACCTTGACTGATGAGGTGAAATGTTCTTTCTGCCTGGAGCCCTTTTAACATGTGCCTCAGAACAAGTCTTTGCTGGGGATTACAGGCTGACACTTAGCCCACTTCTTCACACTGTAGGTGAACAGCCCTGATTCAGATCGACGAGACAAGAAGGGAGGGAACTATAAGAAGAGGAAACGTTCCCCCTCTCCTTCACCAACCCCGGAAGCTAAGAAGAAGAATGCTAAGAAAGGGTACAGTAGCACTAACTTTTCCATATATTCACAGTTCTTTGCACACAAAGGTGAAGAAAAGAAAGACAAATCTTTTCCCACAGCTAGCTGCCGTGACTTAGAAGTGCCACGCACTGCAGGTGTCCTTACAGGGAGGGTGGGGGGATCTGTATCTGACCACTTCTAGTTCCCATTGTTAGTAACCTTTAAAGGGAGCTCCATCACCAAATGCAAAGCCTCTGCCACTTCCTGTTACCCTGTAGGTCTACCCTTGAGTCTCCCTCTTGCTTGAACTTTTACTTCCAAGGACTTGTTGACAAAGGGTGACTAGGTTCTCTTTTATCCTTGTACCTCCCAGCCCCTCAACACCTTACACCAAATCAAAACGTGGCCACAGGGAAGAGGAGCAAGAAGACCTGACTAAGGACATGGATGAGCCCTCACCAGTCCCCAATGTAGAAGAGGTGACACTGCCTAAAACAGGTATGGGCCAGGCCCAGCTCCTGGAACCCACCATGACCCTCTTTACTACTTTTCTTGGACCAAACTCTCACATGGGCTCTGTGCCAGGTCCAACTCTTACCCTTAAACGTAGCTGATGACTGACACTGTGTTCTTTGTCAGAGGAAATCCTGTAACTTCACACCCATCTCTGAGTTGGACTGCTTTGCACCTGACAGTACTTGTCTCCAAACTGTTAATTACTTTATACTTTTTTAAAATACGTTTTCAAATTTTATTTTTGGTGATGTTTACAAAGTTGATCAGAGTGGGAAGGGTCGAGGATCAGGGAAAAGTGGGCAAGATCATTTTTTGCACATTCTTTTTCTTCTTCCTGTATCTGGGAGAAGGGAGGATACAATGGAAGAGACCATGCCCAGTACTCAGTGTTATCCCAGGGTCTCCATTGTGGAGCATGTTCTGAGGGTTCTGCTCAAGTGGTTTCGGTAGTTTTGAGATGCTGTTGATATCGCCACTCCAAGGATGAGGATATCTTTTTAAGGTCAGTTCGCTGGCATAGTCCAGCTTAGAGTCTCCAGAGACCCAGAAGTTTGTTATCAAGTTTCACTGGGGTAGTTGATCAATTTATTCTGTCCTCTTTCCTCTGCAAACCAATGGGTGCTGCAGCCCAGCTCAACCCTGCCCACCACATGCTTGGTCCTCACCTGTAGCAGGGGGAGCTGAAACCCAGAGCGTCCCCTGGTAGCTTTCACTGGATCAGCCCCCAGCTCTGGTTCTTGTGCCTGCCACCATGTATAGTGAACTGGTATAGTCTATCCCACATCCTATTCAGCTTTCATACACATCATTGGGTGTTGAAACCTAACTGAACCCAACTGACTCCACCCTCCAGCTCTCACTCATGACAGCAGTTGCTACTGCCTGTCCAGCCAGGCCCACCCCCAGTCCTGGTTAGCATGTTCACCAGTGGAAGTTGTAGGAGCCCACAGCCTCCCCATTGGTCTCACTCCCTGCACCAGATCTTGTACTCTCCAGGTGGTTCTGCAGTCCAGCTCCACAGGACTTGCCCCCCAGTACCAGCCCTTGCCAGCTGATGCCACAGCAAAGTTCAGCCCACCTGTCTTAACTCTGGCTCATGCCTGTACAAATGGATACAGTCGGTTAGCACAGTCTGGCTCTCTCCCTAATCCAGTTCACATGCAGGCCAACAGATGTTATAACCCTGCCGGCCTGGTCTGCCCCCAGTTCCAGCTCTCAGGCCCACCAACAGGAGCAGTAGCCCAGCAGGGAAGTCCCCCCTACTCCCCTACCAGGCTTGCACACTCTTCCCTCCCGCCAACCAGGCTTGAGTGTGTTGGTGGATATTGTGGCCCAGTGTGAGTGGCCTGTCTCACTTCAGTGTTTGCCAGTGGTTGTTGTAGATTTATTTATTTATTTTATTTCAAAGTCAGATATATATAGAGGAGGAGAGACAGAGAGGAAGATCTTCTGTCCAATGATTCACTCCCTAAGTGAACGCAATAACTGGAGCTAAGCCAGTCCGAAGCCAGGAGTCTGGAGCTCTTCCGAGTTTCCCATGTGGGTGCAGGGTCCCAAAGCCTGGGGCCGTCCTCGACTGCTTTCCCAGAGCACAAGCAGGGAGCTGGCTGGGATTAGAACCGGTGCCCACATGGGACCCCGGGGTGTTCAAGGCAAGGACTTTAGCCGGTAGGCCATGCTGCCGGGCCCTTTTTTGTTGTTTTAACATAAAGTTTTGTTTGAAAAACTGAGAGAAAAAAATCTTATGTGCTGATTCACTCCTCAAATGCCCACATCCGTGTGGGCTGGACCAGGTTGTGAAGCAAGGAACTCAGAACTCAGTCTGGATTTTCCACATTGGTTGCAGGGACCCAGTGTCTTGAGCTATCACCTGTTGCCTTCCAGAGTTTATATCAGCAGTTAGCTGCAAACAGAACTGGAGCTGGGTTTTGAACCAGTATAGGATACTGGTGTCCTAAGTGGTTTCTTTTAACCTTTATACCAGATGCCTGCCCCTCAAAAATCTTTACTATGCATTCCTACCAGCATAATAGATTTGAGCATTTATCCTGTACACGTACTGTGAAGTCATTTACTACTAGGATCATTAGAAAATACATTGAATTGGGTGTTTGACATAGTTGATAAGATGTTAATTCATCTCATGTAAGAGTGCTGAGTTTAAGTCCTGACTCCTGAATTTGTGGTTGATTCCAGCTTCCTGTTAATGTGCACTCTGGGAGGCAGCAGATGCTGGCTAAAGTACTTGGGAGATCTGGACTGGGTTCTGGGCTCTCAACTTTGACCCGGCGCTGCTTGGCTGTTGTGGGCATTTGGGGAGTGAATGAGCAGATCTGAGATATCTGTTGTTTCTCTCCCTCTGAGATAAAAATAAAGTAAGCATCTACAAAACAAAAATGTAAAGGATAATAAAAACAGATACTGGGGGAAGTTTTGGCTCTCCCCTAGTATGTTGTGTGTTTGCAGCTGAAGTGAGAACTTCATTTTGGAGACCATTGCTTGGCTGTACTGCATACCATAGAATAGTTCCTGCTGTGCCAACAGTGTGTCTCAGGATGGGGTTACTGGGTCACTGAGAAGTTTTACCTCCTGCCTGCTCGTCAGTCAACTCTTTCCTATTTTCCCCTGAACTTATGTGTGTGAATTCAATTGAGGACAGTGTGCTGTTTTTCAAAACTGTTGGAGATGTAATTATTCCCCTACAGTAGAGATGGGATCTTTATTTTGTCAAAAGCCTCTTGGAAATTTAGTGTTATTGACAGGTCATACATAATTATCATAATTATCAACTTAAAAATTAGTTGTATAATTTGTTGAATTTTGAGTCCAAACGTTTGGTCTGGCCTTGCAGTCCCTGTATGGCCTGCAGGCTTGATGTTCCCCTCCTCTGCCCAACAGAGTGATTTGATCAAATAGGAGTCCTTTGCAAGCTTCCGGACACATGGTTGCAGATGGGGGCCTGTCATAGACAAGAATGATTTGTGAATATATATATAGAAAGCAGTTCAGTGAAAGTAGTGAATGTTTTAAGTCCTAGAATGACTGGTTGGAGGGAGTTACTGGTTATAGTAGTCAGAGAACGTTTTTTGCCAAAGTAGGATATCTAGAGCTATTGATAGTAGAGAGACGAAGACTCAGTGTGGGCAGAATTTACCTGACAAGGTGACTCTCTGTTCTGGCAGTGAACACTAAAAAGGACTCAGAGTCAGCTCCAGTGAAAGGAGGCACCATGACTGACCTAGGTAAGATGGGAGCCCCTCCTCCCCAAGCTGGCTCTGCTGCTGCCTCTCCCCTGGCCAGACCGGCTTTGCAGCAGGCCTCCTCCTTGTCCCTCAGGAGGCTCCAGCCTTCTATCTCAGTGTCTTTCTCTTTCAGATGAGCAGGAGGATGAGAGCATGGAGACCACGGGCAAGGTGGAGCCAATTTGGAGAGGCCCTTCCTCTATGAGATTCTGATTTCTGATTGCAAAGTTCCTTCTGTCCAGACTTTGCCCACCCTAGACAAATCTTGTCTGTTGCTCAAAACTCCAGTCCTTTTAGAGTCCTGGGGCCCCTGCCTGCTCATTCCTGTCACCCATCATTGGCGTCTCCTTTCCAGGGGTCTGGGGGGAGCAGAGGGTTGCTGAGGGGCCATGGAAATGCTGAGTGTCCAGCAGCCTCCGTACTCATAGGATGAGGATGAGAACAGCACGGGGAACAAGGGGGAGCAGACCAAGAATCCAGACCTGCATGAGGACAACGTCACCGAGCAGACCCACCACATCATCATTCCCAGCTATGCTGCCTGGTTTGACTACAACAGGTATTGTTTGGCTTCTCCCTGAGTAATTTCCCTGCTCCAGGGGCCAGGGAATTTTGTTCTGCTCCTGTCTCTACTAGATAGAAGTAGTGGAGCCCTGGTGGGATGTTCTCCCTGACCCCTAGTTTTTTCTTGAAGTTTCAATCTGTACTCCTACCTTCTAGGCTTTTCTTCTTTCTGGAGTTCCCAGGCCTCCTCTAGCCCTTCACCTGAGTCCACTCTGACTTCTTTTACAGCGTGCATGCCATTGAGCGAAGAGCTCTCCCTGAGTTTTTTAACGGCAAGAACAAGTCCAAGACACCAGAGATGTAAGGAAATCTCAGCTTACGGGTTCCCCTTCTCCCTTCTGTCCCCTTTTGCCTTCCTGACCAGCAGCATTTGCAATCATGCTAGGTCCTTGCATGCTAGGTTTATAAAAATGTGGGAGCCCAGCATTTGGGCATCTGCTCTTTATGATGTTCCTAGATGTGCTATCAAGCCTACTTTATGCAGAGCAAGTCCCTGCACTAGTGCCTTGAATTCCTTTAACAAGGGACAGAATCTTGGTATAATTACCAATACTGTCTAAAATGCAGGTCTCTAAAGATCGCAAGTAGCAGCTTTAGAATATCAATGATTGCTACCAGACTGGTCCTGAGAGTGGATTCTGGAGAAAAATAAGAGAAGGAACTCGGAGAAGACCTAAGTTTGAATTGAGCGATGAATAGAACTAGTTAATGTAAAGTACAGACTTGGGACTCCGAAGACTTCATCTCCTCCAATGTTATGCCTTAAGCCAAACTTGGTGACTCAAAGGTCTTGTATGGTTAGGGTTACTCCAGGGTTACTGCCTGATAAAGTAGTGAGACCAACAACTGAAGAGATTTTCATCTGACTTGTCCCTCATTGTCCCCTTTCTGGGGTCCTCTCTTCTCACCACATTTCTTGCCCCGTAGCTTGGTTCTCTGCTCCTTTTTCTTCTGGTGAACCGGTGTGTATGAAAAGGAAGGGAAAGTAAGCTGTGCTAGGTGACACAAATTCCAGATGATACACCAGCAGGGTTGGATGAGGCACTGAATTTTGGGTATAAATTGGTAAATGATGACAGTGGCATACATCTGTTGAGGACTGTCTTCCGGGCACTTTCCTGAGTGTTCTGCATTCACTAATTGAATCCTCACACTCACTTTAGAAATGGGTGCTGTAATCACGTTACAAGTTACACAGGGGTTGTTTGTTGCATGAGGTGACATCATCCATAAATAGTGAAACTACCATGGATCTACATCCTTTAGTTCAGCTCAAGTTTTTATTTATTTATTTTATTTTATTTTTATTTAAGAGATATTTATTTTTATTGGAAAGGCAGATATACAAAGAGGAGGAGAGGCAGACAAAGATCTTCCAATGGTTCACTCCCCAAGTGACCGCAACGGCTGGGGCTGAGCCAGTCTGAAGCCAGGAGCTTTTCCGGGTCTCCCATGTGGGTGCAGGGTCCCAAGGCGTTGGACTGTCCTTGACTGCTTTCCCAGGCCACAAGCAGGGAGCTGGATAGGATCCCGGCGCGTGCAAGGCGAGGACTTTAGCCACTAGTCTGCCATGCCAGGCCCCAGCTCAACTTTTTAAACTTTATAAAACATAACAGCTCTCATTTTTATTTTTAAAGATTTATATTTTTTTGGAAAGGCAGCTATACAGAGAGGAGGAGAGATGGAGAGGAAGATCTTCTGTCCATTAGATTCACTACCCAAGTGGCTTCAATGGGCTGGAGCTAGGTCAATCCAGAGCCAGGAGCCTGGAGCTTCCCACAAGGGTACAGGGTCCCAAAGTGTTAGGCCATCCTCGACTGCTTTCCCAGCTCACAAGCAGGGAGCTGGATGGGAAGCAGGGCTGCCAGGATTAGAACCAGTACCCATATGTGATCCTGGCGCGTGCAAAGCGAGGACTTTAGCCACTAATCTACCATGCTGGGCCCCAGCTCCCAGTTTTCAAGCTGCTACACCATTGCAGCAAACTTGTTGAGTCCATCAGTGGAACTAGAGTTTGAAGTTACAGCTTCCCAACTTGAAAACATACAGTCTTTTTTGTTTGTTTGTTTTAAAATGTATTATTTTTATTGGAAAGTCAGATATAGAGAGGAGGAGAGACAGGAAGATTTTCTGTCCGTTGATTCACTCCCCAAGTGACCACAATGGCTGGAGATGCACCAATCTGAAGCCAGGAGCCCAGAGTCTGGAGCCTCTTCCGAATTTCCCTGTGGCTACAGGGTTTCCCATGTGGGTACAGGCTTTGGGCTGTCCTTTGCTGCTTTCCCAGGCCACAATCAGGGAGCTGGATGGGAAGTCGGCCTGTCGGAATTAGAACTGATGCCCGTATGGGATCCCGGCGTGTTCAAGGTGAGGACTTTAGTCACTAGGCTACTGCCCCAGGCCCTCCTTTTTTTTTTTTAATTTATTTGTTTTTGGGCCCGACGTGATAGCATAGTGATTAAAGTCCTCACCTTGTACGCGTCGGCATCCCATATGGGCGCCAGTTCTAATCTCAGCAGCCCTGATTCCCATCCAGCTCCCTGCATGTGACCTGGGAAAGCAGTCAAGGACAGCCCAAAGCCTTGAGACCCTGCACCCGTGTGGGGTCCTGGAGTTGGTTCCTGGCTCCTGGCTTCGGATGGTTGCAGCACAGGCCCTTTCGGTCACTTGGGGAGTGATCTTCAGATGAAAGATCTTCCTCTCTGTCTCTCCTCCTCTCTGTATATCTGCCTTTCCAATTAAAATTTTAAAAAAGATTTATTTTTATTGGAAAGGCAGATTTACAGAGATAAGGAGAAATTTTCTATCTGCTGGTTTATTCCCCATATGGCCACAATGGCCGGATCTAGGTTGATCTGAAACAAGGAGCCTCTTTCAGCTCTCCCACATGGGTACAGGATCCCAAATATTTGGGCCATTCTTTGCTGTTTTCCCTGGTCATAACCAGGGAGTTGGATTGGAAGTGCATTTGGGACATGAGCTGGTGTCCTTATGGGATGCTGGCGCTTGCAGATGGAGGATTAGCCAATTGAAACACCTTGCCTACTCCCTCCAAACATTCTTTTCACCATGTTATACGTATGTAAATGAACTAATAAGGCTTCTCTTTAACATCTGAGTTTGAAGACAAGGGCACCTTTTCTTTTTATTTCTTGGCTAGAAGTTGGATGAACATCCCTGAGGGTAGCCAAGAAGACAATTCATGTGCTTAAGACCATGGCAAGGAAAATGTAAAACCTGTGAGAATCCCACACACCCAGCACATAGCGGGCATCCAGCGTATAGCGAGTCAGATAGGCTACTCTGTCCCTAGGAACTGACATAGGAGTCATTACTTATTCTATTGCTTTGCATTTATTCTTCCTCTTATTCATCTCTCTCTTCTAAGCTACTTGGCCTATCGAAACTTCATGATTGACACTTACCGACTTAACCCCCAAGAGTACCTCACCTCCACTGCCTGCCGCCGGAACCTGGCTGGGGATGTCTGTGCCATCATGAGGTGGGTATTGCTGCCTAAAAGGGATTATAGAAGTAGAGATGCAAACAAGGACCATCAGGGAATGGGCTGGGATAAATACCTCTAGACAAGGGTAAAGTACAGGTTTGGGGAGTGGAGGTGTGAGATGAAGCAGAAAGGACTGGGTCTGTGATGGAATGACAGGGGTTCAGTTTTACCTGCTCTCTGGAAAGGCAGAAGTGGGTGACAGGGTGTGAAGGGAGGTTAGGCTGAGATGCATACTTGGTGTCTCTGGAACTTGAGTGTTGATTAAACAATGGGAGTTCCAGACAGTAGAATAAGTGGAAGAGACCAGGGGAGGAGGAGAGGCAGGGCCCCAGGCACCTTTCTGACTGTTCCACATTGACTAACTCTGCTTCCCTCCCCACAGGGTCCATGCCTTCCTTGAACAGTGGGGTCTTATTAACTACCAAGTGGATGCTGAGAGCCGCCCAACCCCAATGGGGCCTCCACCCACCTCTCACTTCCATGTCCTGGCCGACACACCATCTGGCCTGGTGCCTCTGCAGCCCAAGACCCCACAGGTAGGGCGAGGGGCCGTGGGGACAGAGTGGGGTTGGGAAAGATTGGGCTTCTTTGGACTTTCTTTTTCTGGTTTTTTAGGGTAATGATTCAGGAGTATTGTGAGGCTTCTTCCTTTCCCATGGGATACGAAGGGCTACAGGACTCAGTCCCATGTTTAGCATCTTCTCAGCCTCTGTCCCCAAGGCTGTGGGGACTTCTGAGATAGCAGAGATGCTCTTGTCCTCAGGGAGCAGATAGGCCAATGTAGAGGATGGAGCGGATGGAGGAGAAGGGCTTATAATCAGCTTGCATGACAGTTTTAAACTTTTTCATGTTTCCCACATTTTTTCATTTTTGTCTCATAATTATTATCACCTCCATTTTTTTCCACTTCCATTTCATCTGTAAAGATAATAAATGTTATGTGGCTTGCCCAGGGTCACAGAGTACCAAATCTAGGATTAGAATCTAATTGTCCAGCTCCTAAGAGAACTTTAAAGATACATGTGAATACAAATGGACACCATGCCGACTGCATGTCTAATTAATCAGGGAACTGGAACAGTGGCATGATTGCCCCAGAGCTTGTGGGCCACCTGGCACTTGGCCTTGAGGCCTCCAGGGCTGTGGCCTGGTCATTTCCTGCCCAGCTTCCATGACGCCGAGCTCTGTCCCCCAGGGCCGCCAGGTTGATGCTGATACCAAGGCTGGGCGGAAGGGCAAAGAGCTGGATGACCTGGTGCCAGAGACGGCTAAGGGCAAGCCAGAGCTGGTAGGTGGGGTGCAGACCTCGCTGAGCTTCTTATTTGCCCCTTTATTGGGGGTCCCCTGTCCGGGAAAAAGAGACATGAGAGCAGAGGAGCTACAGCAGTAAGGGAGGAAGTCCCGCCGACGGGCACCCCTGGCTCGGGAAGGAAGCTCCTTCTGTCTGTTTTCTCTCTCTGTCTGCCCCTGGCTCCTGGTGGTCACCTGTGCTCACCTCTCTCTTTCCCTTCTATAAATAGCAGACCTCTGCTTCCCAACAAATGCTGAACTTTCCTGATAAAGGCAAGGAGAAGCCAACAGACATGCAGAACTTCGGGCTGCGCACAGACATGTACACAAAGAAGAGTGTCCCCTCCAAGGTACGTGGCCTAGGCTGACTGGGGCTGGAGGACCTGCTCTCCTCTGAGGTCCCAGGTCCTCTCCCCTGACATGCCTGTGTGCCCTGCAGAGTAAAGCCGCAGCCAGTGCCACTCGAGAGTGGACAGAGCAAGAGACCCTGCTGCTCCTAGAGGTAACTGGGGCAAGGAAAAGAGTTGTTCTGTGAGAAAGGAAGTGGCGGGGGCGGGGGGGTGGCCGGCTGCCCTTTTGAGTGGGGAGAGCTCATGGAGTCTGGTGTTTGCAGAGCAGGATCTTGACCCCAATTTCTCCACTTCCTGATGGGTGTCACACCTGCCCCAAGAAACAGCTCCAGCCCAGGAATCTGAGACATGTCAGTAACTGCATATGCTTTCTCAGTGTTCCTTGGATCCAGCAGCAGTGTACACAAATGCCAGTACACAGAGCGCTTTGAACCCAGCTGCCCTTGATAGGCTAGGGGGAGTTGACCTCTGAGGAAAGTGGCTAAGTAAGCAGAGTTGTGTCTCCACCACTACCACTAGGCACTGGAAATGTACAAAGATGACTGGAACAAAGTGTCTGAGCATGTGGGAAGCCGTACCCAGGACGAGTGCATCTTGCATTTTCTTCGTCTTCCCATTGAAGATCCATACCTGGAGGACTCGGAGGCCTCGCTGGGCCCCCTGGCCTATCAGCCCATCCCCTTCAGCCAGTCAGGCAACCCAGTTATGAGCACTGTTGCCTTCCTGGCCTCTGTCGTTGATCCCCGTGTTGCTTCTGCTGCTGCAAAATCTGCCCTAGGTAACTTGGGGGCTCTAGTGTTCTTGATGTGCATGGGAGACCCGTTTCTTAGGCCAGCACTTTGCAAGTCTGCCTTCCCCTCTGGCCACCACCCAGTAGCGTGTCCAGGTGCCATGCTGGTCTTTTTTGAGTAGGGACTTGTAAAAAGGTGTTTGTGGTGGGGGGAAGGCCAGAGCTACCCATTCATACAGCTCCCAGCTACATTCCCTGGGTCTTACAGAGGAGTTCTCCAAAATGAAAGAAGAGGTGCCCACAGCCTTGGTGGAAGCCCATGTTCGGAAAGTGGAGGAAGCAGCCAAAGTGACAGGCAAGGCGGACCCAGCCTTCGGTCTAGAAAGCAGCGGCATTGCAGGAACCACCTCTGATGAGCCAGAGCGAATTGGTGAGGCCTGGCTCGTTTCCAGCTCTCCTTTTTCACCAAGAGCCTCAGCTCCCAGCCTTCCAAAGCCACCCGTGCCCCACATTGGTGTTAAGGCATGACATAATGGCGAGAATTGGTGGGATTTGTCTTCTCCAGAGTTTCACCTTAGGGGCCGTGGCTTCTTACTGGTCCTGTCCCTAATATTTTGGCTGGCAGAGGGGCTGTTGGGAAAGTGTTAAAGAAACAGATTCAACTACACGTTTCCTCTTTCCTTTCCTTTCCCCATGGGCCCAGAGGAGAGTGGAACTGATGACACCCGTGCAGAGGGCCAGGCCACAGATGAGAAGAAGGAGCCCAAGGTGTGGAGGGACTGAACTCAGGCTGGGAGGGGCAGGTGTGGCCCTGTGATGGTCGGCAAATAAGGTCTGCTCCCAGTGTGGCCCTTAGGGTGAGAGCCACCCCAGCCTGATGCTCCCCTTTCCTCTCATTGGGACTTTAGGAACCCCGAGAGGGAGGAGGGACTGGAGAGGAGGAGGCCAAGGAGAAAACGAGCGAGGCTCCCAAGAAGGATGAAGAGAAAGGGAAAGAGGGCGACAGCGAGAAGGAATCCGAGAAGAGTGATGGCGACCCAATGGGTGAGCATCCCAGATCGGTGCCAGTGAGTCCAGGAAAGACAGGGGGAAACCATCAGACTAACTCAGCCCTGTCCTGGCCCAGTTGATCCTGAGAAGGAGAAGGAGCCAAAGGAAGGGCAGGAGGAAGTGCTGAAGGAAGTGGTGGAGTCAGAAGGGGAGAGGAAGACAAAGGTGGAGCGAGACATCGGTGAAGGCAACCTTTCCACTGCCGCTGCCGCGGCCCTGGCTGCTGCCGCCGTGAAGGCCAAGGTGGGCACACCCAAAAGACCCCAAGGAAGACAATGTGCATGTCCCTGATCTCCTTGTCTTAGGAGTTCTTCCTTGCTCACCCCTTGCTGGCCTGTGTTCTTGTTATTTTTATCCTGAGAAGTATCAGTCATCTCTAATCTTGACTCTCTAGGTCTGTTTCCCGCTCTGTAACCACTTCACTGTTTGTCTTATCCTTGGTCCTCTCGCTCTTTAAAAAACATCAAGCCAGCACTACTACTGCAACAAGTTTGCTTCTAAACCCACCAGTGTCTACCCTGCTTTTCTCCCCGGGCATGACTGTTGCTGGACCCTGCTGCTGATGAGCTGTCTCACTTCTCCTTTCCTAGCACTTAGCCGCCGTTGAGGAAAGGAAGATCAAATCTCTGGTGGCTCTGCTGGTGGAAACACAGATGAAGAAGTTGGAGATCAAACTCCGGCACTTCGAGGAACTAGAGACGATCATGGACCGGGAGCGAGAAGCAGTGAGTAGCCTTCGCTAGGGTCTCAGCGGGAACCTGGAATCCTCCTGGAGACAAAGTTAGACCTCAGTCCAGGACTGGGGGCTGTGAGCAAGAAAGAGCAGTGCACAAAGCCTGAGACCCAGCAGGCCAGGGCAAGGAAGGAAGACCAGCCCTGGGCAATTGGGGATTACACACCATCTGTGTAGCCTGGAGCCCAAAGTCCAGACTGTGGTCTTCTTGCCTTGTGTTTTTTGCTGCATCCCTGGGTCCCTGAACAATGCTTGACTCATAGCAGACTCTCAGTAAATGTTTGTTGATTGCTTGTGGGTTAAAGGTGTGATGAGAGGCTAATGGCTTTAGCTCCAGCAGGTAATGTTGGAAAGGGAGTGGGACAGACATGGTATTGAACCCTTTTGTCTTTGAAACCCTGCCTTCAGAGAACTTAGTCCGATTGGAGACATCAGAAGCAGTTAATGGTACCTGAAGTGTCTGATAAATTCAAATACCATCACTACCATGTCACTCCTGTTTTTAAGCAGACTGGTGCCCTGGCGCTACTTGTGAGGTGGGGAGGGTCCCAGGGGCAGTGAGCCAAATGAAGAGATTGAGTCATGAGAAATCACCATAAAGCCAATGCTCAGAGGCTGCTTGTGTGATCTGGGATGCTTCTCCTGCACAAGTGAGCTGCTAGCCAGTGCTGAAGGAGAAGAGAACTGGAATTGATAAGAACTGTAAGCAATTTCCTGCTTGAGGGAATGGCATATTCAAAGTTTTGGAGCTGCAGTGAGCCAAGTCTGCCACCAGATTAACTCCATTGCGGAGAAGCCGTAAGGGCAGCCGGGAGGGTTAGGTGAAGAGGATGGAGGAAGCCCAAACACACGATATAGATTACAGGAATAACCAGAATGAGAAGCAGGGTCTTGATGACAAAGTCAGGGGGCGAGGTATGTGCCTGGGGATCTTCTGAAAATCAAGTAATAGTATTCCACTGGCACCTGCAGCTGGAGTATCAGCGGCAGCAGCTCTTGGCCGACAGACAAGCCTTCCACATGGAGCAGCTCAAGTACGCGGAGATGAGGGCCCGGCAGCAGCACTTCCAGCAGATGCACCAGCAGCAGCAGCAGCCTCCGCCAACCCTGCCCCCAGGGTCCCAGCCGATCCCCCCAACAGGGGCTGCTGGGCCAGCCGTGGTCCATGGCTTGGCAGTGGCTCCAGCCTCCATGGCCCCAGCTCCTGTGGGCAGTGGGATTCCTCCAGGAAGCTTGGGCCCTTCGGAACAGCTTGGGCAAGCAGGGTCCACAGTGGGGCCACAGCAGCAGCAACCAGCTGGAGCCCCCCAGCCTGGGGCAGTCCCACCAGGGATCCCCCCCCCTGGACCCCATGGTAAGTTATGAGTTCCAGAACTCCTGTCCCGGTTCTCCTTAGAGGGGAATATGGTGGGCTTCTGTCCCTGCAGGGGGTGCACCTGTTCTGCCCCTAAGTCAGGAGGGATCCCTTCCCAAACCCACAGTGCCAGGAAGCGGAAGGGTGGGGTTTACCCTTGAGGGAAGAATGGCTATACTGTGCCTGTACATTGTCACCAGTGTAACCTGGTGAGGGGGATTTGACACCTCTAATCTTCTTCACCACTCTACTTTGTTTCCAGGCCCCTCACCGTTCCCCAGCCAACAAACTCCTCCCTCAGTGATGCCAGGGGCAGTGCCAGGCAGCGGGCACCCAGGCGTGGCGGGTAATGCTCCTTTAGGTTTGCCTTTTGGCATGCCGCCTCCTCCTCCTCCCGCTCCATCCATCATCCCATTTGGTAGCCTAGCCGACTCCATCAGTATTAACCTTCCCCCTCCTCCTAACCTGCATGGGCATCACCACCATCTCCCGTTCGCCCCGGGCACTCTCCCCCCACCTAACCTGCCTGTGTCCATGGCGAACCCTCTACATCCTAACCTGCCGGCGACCACCACCATGCCATCTTCCTTGCCTCTCGGGCCGGGGCTCGGATCCGCCGCAGCCCAGAGCCCTGCCATTGTGGCAGCTGTTCAGGGCAACCTCCTGCCCAGTGCCAGCCCACTGCCAGGTGAGAAGGGGTCAGAAGGGGAAAAGGGTGAGGGAGAGGGATCCACATGGAAGGAGGGCGGGCAGGTGGGGAAGGGGTCAGGTCCTGTAATCTCCACAGTCTAAGCTTTTTTTGCACTGTGGGAAACAAGGATGCGGGAGGAAGGGCCTGTGGCTGTCCTCCACCTTGCCCCAGCCTGGCAGCTGTCACCTCGGGGATGAAATGGGGGCCTTTGACTGGTGGGTCACAGAGGAATCCTATGGCACAGAGCACCTCAGTTGTAAACTTGGAAAACAGCTCCCTGTTTGCATGATGACCAGCACCCCTCTGCTCATTCCTGTTATGGTCAAGAGTTCCCATGGGCATAGCAGGGTGGCTGGGATGTCTCATTTTCCCAGTGTGAGGTGGAAGGAGGTGTGGGGAAGTTACACATCCTGGGGACCTCATCATCTACCACAACTGCATGCCATGGCTGGTCCTGTGCTTGTGTGTGGTGACCTGAGTATGGACCCCTTTCTCTGCTCACTTGAGCTGATTTCCCTTCCTTTTCTCCACAGACCCAGGCACCCCTCTGCCTCCAGACCCCACAGCCCCGAGCCCAGGCACAGTCACCCCTGTGCCACCTCCACAGTGAGCAGCCAGCCAGACTCACCCCTCACCCCCCCAAGGAGCTCATGGTTCCAGGAACAGCCCTCCCCTAACCACTGGGACCCTTCCCCAGCCCGGAGAGTTCGTCACTACGTAAGGAAAGCTCCTGCCCTACAAGCCCTTGCCTGCCCGGCAGTGGTGTGCGCTTTTGTACCAGATTCTTCTAGGACTTGGTGACAAGCTATTTCTCATGTCTGAGAGCATAGTTTGGGGATGCCACCCTCAAAGCAAGGGCTGGGAAAGGCGTTCCTCCAAGGTTCTCATTAACCACTTCTAAGGGTGCACTCCCCTCAAAACTACTGCATTTTTTTTAGTGGATAAAAAAGATGAAGCCCTTTAAAAGGAAGTAGATTTTAAAAAGCCACATTTGAGCTCCCTTCAACCCATTACAAAATAACCAGCGCTTACATTTTTCTAGAGGGTGACAGTTTTAAGAAAGGGGAACTAGGGTTTTGGGGAGGTTGCTGTTAGGACAGAGTGCAGCACCATCTCCCCGAGCCTGCTGCACCTGTGCGCTAGTCCCCGCTGCCGCCGCCTCATCTGTGCTTTTCAGGCCCCCCCAGCCCAGCCAATGATGCCCTGCTCTCGGGATCTCAGTTTGTGTTTTTAAAAGTCACCTGCTTAGTCGATGTCACCGTATGTGTATTTGGTGGGGAAATGTATTTTTGGGGATTCCTGTGGTAGGTAATAGAGGAAGGGCGGGCACTAGATGCTGTGTTTCTTCCTGTACTGAGTCGTGTCAGTTGACTCCTAGAAGGCATGGAGAAAGGGAGCCATGAGAGATAGGAGGTTTGTAACCCCAAAGTTTCAAAAAGCACTTAAACACCTCTCGTCCTTATGACTGGGTGGGTGCCCCTCAACCTCCTCATCTACCAAGACGGACTGAGCCTTGACTGGTAGCTGGAGTTCCCAGGTGAGGAGCCAGGTGTGGGAGCAGTAGAGCAATGGACAGCCTGAGGTTGGAGTGACCCTCTGCTGGCAGCTGGCTCCACCCCCCTTCCTCACTCTGGCATGTAGGCAAACTGATCCAGACTCTACACTGGTTCTGGTCCCTCCCACCAGGCTCTTCGTTCCTTATGTCCCCATGTTTCTCTTCCTCTCTCTGCGTCTTGGCACCTTTCTTTTGTTCAAAGTTTTCTGTAAATTTTCTTTCTTTTCTTTTTTTTATAAATTAATTTGCTTTCAGTTCCATCTTGTGGATTCCTGTGTGTTCTCTTTCTGTCACTGTCAGACAGGGTGATGGGCTGGGGGCAGCAATCTCGGATCCCTTCACCTGGGCTGGCGGGATGACGAGCCATGGGGCCTCCATTGCTGTGCCTCCTGCCTCCAAAGGCTTCAGGCAGCACAGCTGTCAGGGCTGGGGACTCCTGCATGAGCCTATGAATAGCCAGCATTTCTGCACTTGGAAGGACATCCCCACAATGGGGCGATTTTATATTTTTATCCTGTCAAACGCTGACTTCATTCCTTCCCTTATTAGGGAGAGAGGGGAGACAGTCCCTCACGTACTTGTTAGTACTGGCCCCTTGCTGTGTCACGTGCCAGACTGGCTGAGGCAGTGCTAATATGGCTTAGCTGTAGCTCTAATAAACATTCCCTAGGCTCCCCCACAGAAGGCCTCAGTGCTTGGGCCAGCAGGGGCTGGAACGAAGGAACTAGTGTGGGATGACCACAGCCCGGGCTGGTAGGGATCTACAGCGTTCATCCGCCCCAGCGAGTAGCCTTGCAGCACGGATGACTGCAGCTGGCATCTGCAGAGACACACTGGCCACCGTAGGCCACCCCCAGCCCATCCCCATGCTTGGACTGTCTCAGGGATAGGTCAGCTTCTCACCTTTACCCTTCAATCTGTTGCGAAGGAAAACAGGAACCAAGTTGGGGCCACAGAGAGCAAGTTTATTTAGTGCCTGCTGGCAGCAGGCATTACCCAGGAGGCGAGCTCAAGAGGTGCTATGAGCAGGGAGCCTGATAAGAGTCTCACACGGGGAAAGGCATGGGCTCTGGTGGCCCAGGGATGTCTTCAGCCATTCAGCACCATACGGACAAGCTCTGTGGACAGAAATAGCGGGGTGAGCCAGGGAGAGCGGCAGGGGAGGGGTGCGCCTAGGGCCAGGAGACTGGGAGACTGCCAAGGTAGCACTAGAATGATCTTGTCCATAGCGACCAACCTTGGGGGTGGTTTGCAGAGCCACCTCTAGTCCAACCAGGTCTCTGTCCCTAGCTCCCCTCCCCTCTGGCTGTTAGTCCCCCAGCCCACCCTGAGCAGCAAGAACACAGCAGATGCAGAGAAGTTGTCGGCTACCCCCACAGCTACTGTCAGCCACTGGCAGGAGGAAGGAACCGAGTTCTGGGTTAGGTACCTCCAAGCTGCCCAGCATGGGGAAGGGGAAGAGGACAATTAAGCTGTAGCAACAGCAGGATAGGCAGCTTGCCCCTCAGGTACCAATTACCCTTGCTCTAGGGTCAGAGGGTCACCCTAAAGCAAGACTGGCATTTGGCTGGTGAGAGTTCCCAGACGCCGGCACCCAGGGCCCTAAGCAAAACCTGCGAACCCACTCCAGGAGAGAAGGAAGGAGGTACCATCCCCCAGCTGCCTTCCTCCTCAAGGAGTCCCCCCTCCCTGGTCAGCTCCATGCAGAAGCATGCTGGAAGTCAGATGGTAGTAGGGGCAGGGGCCAAAGAGCACAGGCTGGGAACAGAGAGACACTGGGGTGAATCAACTAGAGGAGAGGCTGGGAGGAGCCGTACCCGCCCCACGGCCCGTCACCCCGACAGGATATGCCTCACAAACGCTGCAGGAAGGAAGAGACATTAATGGTGAAGACAAGACACAGACATGGGGTGACCCGGTCAGGCAGTGGGGGGAACACACATTCCATATATTTTATTTCCACTCTCCTCCCTCCCAACTCTCCACATCCTTTCCTGTCATACTCCCCTTGTCCCCCTACCCCCCAACTCCTGGGCTGGGCTGGGCCCTGCCCTTTGCCTTCGGGCTCCTTCTGGAGCCCAAGTCGAGGGATAAGCAAAGCCCCTGGTGTTATCCCTAGTCTGATGCCTCTCCCTGCCTTCCCCCTTTCGAGAGCCCCAGGTTCACTCTCTCACCTTCATAGTTGATACAACCATTGCTGTCCTCGTGCCCAGCCACCAGCATCTCTACTTCTTCCTCAGTCATCTTCTCACCTGCAAAGAGAAGGCATATCGTGAATTTGGAGAATAAGTGAGGTCTCAGTGTGGCAGCTCAATTCAAGGACAAGGGTACATAACCTTACCCAGCGTGACAAGGACATGGCGGATTTCGGCACCCATGACAGTGCCATTCCCTTCCTTGTCGAACACCCGGAGGCCCTCAACATAGTCCTCATAGGTTCCCTGGTCCTTGTTCTTGGCCACGGTCTGCAGCATGGGCAGGAAGTGCTCAAAGTCCAGCACCTTCACGTTCATCTCTGTCACAAAGGAAGCGTTAAAGTCACACATGAGCTCAGGAGGGACCTGTGGGGATCACGCTTGGGGCTTGCACTGTGGTGTAGTGGCTAAAGCTGACTCCTGCAGTGCTGGCATCCCATATGGGCACCAGTTCAAGTCCCACTTCCCACCCAGCTGCCTACTAATGGCCTGGGAAACGCGCTTAAGAAGGACACAAGTGTTTGGGGCCCTGTCACCACATGAGATCTTGAAGAAGCACTTGGTTTCAGCCTGGCCCAGCCCTGGCTATTGTGACCATATGGGAAGTAAACCACTGGATGGAAGGTCTGAAAAGTTGTTCTTGAAATGCTCACCATCACTCTTGGGGTTCCCCAGGACCTTGAGCACCTCGGCGTTGGTGGGGTTCTGGCCCAGGGCCCGCATCACATCCCCACACTGGCTGTACAGGATCTTGCCATCCCCTGTCCGGTCAAACAACTGGAAGGCCTCCTTGAACTCTGGAGATTCAGACCAAAGTCAACACCGGGGCTGCAGAGGTTAACCTGCCCTACCTCAACATGATCACGCTGCAGAAACCAGATAGCCACACAGCAAGTCCACTAGGATAGGACGGATCCATGTCTACCTCCCAACTCAACTGTCACACATAAAAATTCAACCATCTATCCCCCCTCGACGGCCTGCAGACATCCAAGTACACACACACCCTGGGCCAGGGCAGCAGGCCAAACATCACTCGGGGCAGGAATCTGCCACCGCCCAGTCTGGGTCTTGTCCTTATAAGGAAGTGGGAACAGCAGCCTAGGACTAGGGTCATTCCAACCTGCCACTTCCATCCTACAGAGCCCCTTCAGGGAAGGTAAAGCTACAGTCCTCCCCCTCCCGTGTCCCCCCATCGCCGGGAAGGAATTGGGTCACAGCCCTTTCCAGTGTCCACAGTTCAAGCTGGGGTGGGGACAGGGAGGGACAGTTATCACAGGAGAAGAAGCAGACGTGATTTAGGGACAAAGAGGCAGGCAGCTTGGTACAACGCCCCCCAAACGGCACACACAGCAACAGGCAATAGGTGACCAAGTGGTTTCACGTACCCACACCTGAAACTCACCCAGTGCCTGGGGCTCAGATCTAGAGTAGAAGGGGAGGGAGGAAGAAAGTGAGAAGAAAACAGAGAACCCAGAAGAAGGGAGGAGGGAATCCAGGGGTCCTCTTCCGGGGGAAGAAGGGTATGGCGAGATCACAGATTGGGGGTAGCTGGAGGGGCGTCCCTTTCACTGGAGGTGAGCTCAGACGGTCAGGGAAACGACCTACCTGCAGTCTGGTCCTCGGTGAAGTCGCACTGCTCGAAGAAGAGGTAGCGGTCAGCACCTGAACTCCCGTCCCCACCTCCACCCTCCCCCTCAAAAGCTTCCATCCCAAGTCCGTAAACTCTTGCTACAGGATGGGGCTCCGCTTTCCACAGCACAGGACCCCAGATTTCCCAACCCCCTTCCGACCTCCTAGGCTCTCAGGTCCCGTTCGCTCTCCACCCTGCCTTCTCCTGGTCCTCTACCCCTGGCTGCCCGCCTCGCCCCAAACCCCACTCTTCCCTGGCCCCGGGCCCCACCATCTTGACCGCTCGGCTCTGCGGGTTCCCTTCCTGCAGTAATGGCTCCTGCTCCAGGCCCAACCCTTGTCTTAGAACGCCCCGATGACGTCACCCCGGCCGAGCAGCCAATGGGCGCCCTGGCCTGGGCTCTGGCAGCTGGATTACTTCATTAGTAATGAGGCGGGCGGGGCCCCGCGGCGCGCGCTCCCGGCAGCCCCACCGCGGCTCCCAGCACACTTCAGGGCGCAGGGGGTCCGCTTCTGTCAACCCCCGGGATACTCGAGGATGTGGCGTGTGGGAAGAGGGGGAAGGCCCCGCTGCCCTCCACCCCTGGAAGTAAACGAGAGTCTGAGGCCGAGGGAGGAACCGAGACTTTATTTGGAAACAATAGGCGGCCTCCTAGTGGCAGGAACAGGCTTCCTCTTGCCGCGGTGCGTGGGTAGGGAGGGCATCATTGTCTGGCCTCCACTGGATTTGTGCCTGTGGTGAGGGCAATGAAAGTTGCAAAGCCTCGCTACCGGCCGGGAAGAAAGGTGGCTGAGGCGTGGGGCAGGGGTCGCACGGCCCTACCTGTTGAGCTCAGACACTAAGGATGTGCTTCAGGAAGGCTGTGGAGAGAGGATGCAGGAGGGGCTTCAGACTCGGGCCCGTGGTCACTGCAGGACTCTAGGTAACAGGCTGTGCCCATTCGCCCCCCGAGGTGCGCTTGGGCCTGGCCCCTCACCCTCATAGTTGATGCAGCCATTGCTGTCCTCATGGCCTGCCAGAACTGTCTCCACCTCCTCCTCAGTCATCTTCTCTCCTGAATCCCAGATACAGCGTTGGGGCCCTTGCCCCGGTTCCCTCACCACCCCTAGCCACTCTCTTGTTGTTGTTTTATTTTTCCCAAGCCATGATCTTTTGGATGACACCTCCCCCTGGATAGGCTGTACCTGGAGCCACTCCCCACGAGGAAACCCTTCCAGCCTGTGATGAGGTGAGGCCTCCTGCTTTCCATCACACCTGCTTAACTAAGTGCTTTGCTACCCGGAAAGCTTTGCCACACCAGGAAACGGAATCCCAGAAGGACTAATCAGGAAGGCCTACTGCCCCCACCCTGGCTCCTTTTCTCTGCTCTTCCCATTCTGTCCCCAGGGCCCTGCCCTTCTCAGTGTCCTGCCCCTGACCCGCAGGGTGGTATTTTTTTCCCTGGCTCTATCCTCTCCCGCTTCCTCCCCACCAAATTCTGGCCCTTGCCTCACCCAGGGTGGTGAGGACGTGTCTCAGCTCAGCCCCCATGACCTTGCCGTTGCCCTCCTTGTCAAACACCCGGAGCCCCTCCAGGTAGTCCTCATAAGTTCCTTGGTCCCGATTCTTGGCCACTGCCTGCAGCATGGGCAGGAAAGTCTCGAAGTCCACACGCCTGGACTTCAGCTCTAGGGAAGTTGGAGAGAGGTGAGGCGACAGGTCAGCGTGGTGGTGTCCCTGGGGCCCAGCTTCCCCAGCCCTACCACAGCTTGCCCACCCTGTGCAGTGTGCAGTGTGAAGTGTTGCCAGGACATTGGGCAATTTTTTAAATCCCGAGCCCCACTCCCCAGCATTCATTGGTTGGTTTCCCTACTGATATTTCACTCTCCCAACTGAAAACCTGTGTTGTTTCAGGGATCCCCTCACCATCACTCTTGGGGTTCCCCAGGACCTTGAGCACCTCAGCGTTGGTAGGGTTCTGGCCCAGGGCCCGCATCACATCCCCACACTGGCTGTACAGGATCTTGCCATCACCTACACGGTCAAACAGCTCAAAGGCCTCCTTGAACTCTGAGAGATAGAAATGGGGTCACTACAGACCAGGGGGTAAGGTGTGGGGGGTTCCCATCATTCCCATACAGGGGCAGGCTAGGAAATTCAGTGCTGGAATTGGGAAGCAGGAGAAGTGGGAGGTTTCAAGGTCAGGGTCTGAGTGAGGGGATTAGAAAGGGGATCTGACCAGGAGCTCGGGTTGGACAGTTAGAGAACCAACATCCCCTCACCCTCCAGCTGGTCCTTGTTAAACTCGATCTGTGGAGAAAAAGCAGGTGAGGAGAGATGACAAGGCTTAGTCCATCTCTCTGGACCCTCCCCACCATCACCAACTGGCAACCACTTCTAGCGGGGGGGAGGCAGGGAGCTCAAAGGGCCCAGGCTGGCAGCCCAGCTACCTCTGTCCCATTCCCAGCTTTGGGCCTTGGGAGAATCCCAAGTGCAGGAATTACAAGGGGGAGGGTTTCCTGGGAACAGGGTTAATCCCATGCCACCTGTTCCTCTCCCTCCACTGCCCTGAGCCCTGCATCTCTCACATAACTGGGGGCTGAACAAAGGCTAAATTTACCCCTGGCCCCCAGCTGTGATTGTCTAACAAGCCTGTCCTCTTTGGCCTCCCCTCCTGGGGTGCAGAGCAGCCGCCTTCTTAGCTCAGCAGGCCAGGGGCTAGGGACTAGGGGCCAGGAGCAGCTTTCTCCCTTCACCTTGAACCTGCTGTGTTCAGAACCCAGGTGTGTCATCCCTGCTTCAGCAACAGTATGTGTATATTACACACACACACGCACGCACACACGCACACACATGCTTAGGTTTCAGGAGACAACAGCAGACAGCAGCAGAAGGATGAGCCGTAGTACTTCCCAACAGGGCACACAGGGAAAACTCCCCCAATTTCATCCCAGCACTCATTACATCCCTCTAGACACCCCTACGTCTCCATCCCCAAGGGGTGTATCATCCCACCATGGAACCACCAAATTCTATCTTCATTTTCCAGGGACTCACCACCACTTTGGAGAGATCCACTGGGGGCTCCCGGACTTTCTCAGGGGCTGAGGGCGCAGCAGCAGGCTCAGCCTTGGCCTTGGCTGGCAGAGCTGCTGCTGCTGTTGCTGCTGGCTTGGGAGCCGGTTTGGGGGCAGCAGGCGCTGCAGGTTTCTTCACAGGAACATCTTTCTTGGGAGGCATGATGTCGGACAGCCAGAGGACAGTGTGCAGATGGAGGCACCCATCTCTGTTTAAATAGCCAGGGAATCTGGGATGTCAAGGGGCGGGGGCGGGGGCATAGAGCCAGTTGGCGGGGGCAGGGATGAGGTGGAGGAGAGATCTGCCCGCCCCCGCTCCCCTGGCCTCCGATGGTGGTTCAGGACACCAGCCCCAAGGTTTTCTTCCTTGGATGACCCTGACCCAGGCGCCTGTGGAAACAATGTTGGCTGTGGGAGTGGGGAGAGGAAGGACTGCCCAGTTAACATCTCAGGGGAGGATGGGACATTGAGACAGGAGTAAAGATTGGAGGGGCAGGGGAGCCTAGGATGAGCTGAGGTAAGTTAAGGTAGGCTCTGGGTGGAAGATGTAAATATCAGGCAATCTCCTTCTCCCCCATCCACCCGCCCCCATCCTCTCCTCTGGTCCTGTGCTAGCCACGGCGATAGTTGACTGCACATTCCCATAGTCCCTAATATGTGTGGCCTCTGGGTCCCCAGAATTGGGCATCATTTTTCAGAGAACAGTAACAAAACAGGGAGGTGGACAGGCCCACTGCTTTAGGGATAGGGGTCCAAGATTGGCTTTACATCCATCACCCATTCTTCTGTGGAAGAGACCTCTTTTTTTTTTTTTTTTTTTCTTGCCACAAACCGGTGAACATTCAAACCAGACAAAAGGCAAGGCACTGGCTGACTCACTGGGACTTCCCTGGTACCTGGTCGGGGAAGGGCCTCTGTTATGGGAGACAAAGGGTACAATTCTCTAAATCTAAAAGGATGTAAGAGCGCCTATGGATGCCCCCAAGTTGCTCACCCCCATAATCCAAGAATAATAAAAACCCTGGCTCAGGATTGTCAGGTTACAGATCTCACTGGAGGCGCTGGGGAAGGGTTGTGGGGACCTGGGGGTGTTTGAGAAGGGGAGGGGTTGCTGGATACTTTTGTTCTTGGGGGACATAGAGCAAGATTTTAGTAGGCTTCTTAAAAGAAGACAATAATTCTATTGAGGCCCAGGGTATCAGAGATGCAAAAGCGCAACTGAATCTCATTACAGCAAACTGCCCTATTTTGGGGGAGGAAAATAAGGAATCCTTTCTCCTGAGAACAAAACAGCCATCGCACACATACACCCATACCCCTAACCCTTAAAGGAAAAAGGCCTCCCCAGTCTCCCCGCAAAAAACTCACCCTGCAGGGTCCGGGTAAGCGACGGGGGCGGGGCTGCACACCCCCCAGCGCTGAAGGGTTAATTGGGGGGGGGAGGGTTGCGCGGAGCACGCTGGGAATTGTAGTCCCAGGCGCCGGCGCGCGCAGGCTCCTGGGTAAACGGCGCGCGCGCCGGCTGCGGGCGGTTGGTGACTCTGGCGCTGTGTGTCCCGGAACTGAATGAGGCGGCGCTGGGCAGTCCCCACCCCTCGCCCGACGCCACCCAGTCCCGGTGAGTGGCCGTTGGGATCTGGACGCTGCGTGTGCTGCTTGGAGGACCCGGAACGCGGGTCGGAGGGGTGGGAGGAAGGCCGCAGGTCCTGTGGGCCACGCCGAGTGCCATGGAGGCCGCCGACTCTTGGCAGTGTGCTCGGAATCAGGCCGAGGAGTTGCCGGGCGCCTTGGTGTGTGTTTTGAAATGAGCTGGTCACTGACGTCCATATTGCCATGGACGGTGAAACCAGGTCACCTGGGGAGGCCTCCCGAAGCCGGCAGCACTTGGAGCTGCAGAGAGGGCTCCGTGGATCCTAGGAGACGCACAGACACGCAGCCGTGGGTGCCGGGGCCGGCCAGCGTCCGCGTTGGGAGGGCTGGTGTGAGTGGACCCTTTCGGGCAGTGAGGGATGTAAGTGTCCCGGGGAAGCTCGAAAGAGATGGAAAGAGCTGCAGGGTGACCGGGTTGGTGGTTCCATGCAGCGATCCCGCAACCCTAAGTTCTCCTGCATCACAAAGGCATAAATAAATGTCTTTTTTTTTTTTTTTAATGCGGTGGCTCCTGCAGGCGGGAGTGCTGCAGTGTTATCAGTGTTCTTTCATCTTCCCAATATGTGAAGTATAGGATGTCTCCCTCATTAGAAAGTTTCTTTGTTTTTTACAAAAATATTTCTATCAGAAAGGCAGGTATACAGAGAGGAGGACAGGCAGAGAGGAAGATCTTCCTTCAGATGATTCACTCCCCAAGTGGCCGCAATGGCTGGAGCTGAGCCCATCTGAAGCCAGGAGCCAGGAGCCTCTCTTGAGTCTCCAACAAAGGTTTAGGGTCTCAAGGCTTTGGGCCGTCTTTGCTTGCCCAGGCCACAAGCAGGGAGCTGGATGGGAAGTGGGGCCAGCAGGATTAGAACCGGCACCCACATGGGATCCCAGCGCATGCAAGGTGAGAACTTCAGCCGTTAAGCTACCGTGCCAGGCCCTTTTTTTAAAAAATTTATTTTTATTGCAGAGGCAGATCTACAGAGAGGAGGCGAGACAGAGAGGAAGATCTTCCATCAGATGGTTGACTCTCCAACCAGCTGCAATGGGTGGAGCTGAGCCAGTTTGAAGCTAGGAGCCAGGAACTTCCTCCAGGTCTCTCACGTAGGTGTAGGGTCCCAAGGCTTTGGGCTGTCCTCTACTGCTTTCCCAGGCAACAGGCAGGGAGCTGGATGGGAAGCAGGGCCACTGGAATTAAACCAGTGTCCATATGGAATCCTGGTGTGTTCAAGGCGAGGACTTTAGCCACTAAGATATGGCGTGAGGCTTGGTTTTGTTTTTAATTTGAGAGAGACCAGGTTCCTATCTATGCGTTTACACCCCAGAATGTTCCCAACAGCCAGAGCTGGGTCAGAGCTGAAGCCAGGAACTTGGAACTTAATCCAGGCCTCATGTGGGAAACAAAAGCCCAAATAATAGAGCCGGCATGGCTGCCTCCCAGGGTCCAGGACTATCGGGAAGCTGTAGGTCAGACAGGGAATGTCTGTCCCCTGACTCTCAGATGCTCGTGGGCAGGCCAGGATCACAGTTGGGAGGTAGAAGCTTGGTCGCCTAAGTGGGTAAGATTGTCTCCCTGGGTCTAACCAGAAGCTAGAGTCATGGTCTGGCTCAATGGATAAATCCTCATGGGCAAGCACCATGATCCCAGATGGGGCCTGCTCATGTCCTGACTGCTCTACTTCCCATCCAGCTCCCTGCTTGTGGCCTGGGAAAGCAGTCAAGGACGGCCCAAAGCCTTGGGTCCCTGCACCCGTGTGGGGGTCTGGAGTTGGTTCCTGGCTCCTGGCTTCGGATCGGTGCTGCACAGGCCATTTTGGTCTCTTGGGGAGTGATCTTCAGACGGAAGATCTTCCTCTCTGTCTCTCTTCCTCTGTGTATATCTGACTTTGCAATAAAAATAAATCTTTAAAAAAAAAGCACAGATTCTAATGTGGTTCACAAGCATCCTAGAAATAAAACCAGAATACTTTTGTTTGAAGTTGACATTGGAGAGTTTTTTGCAGTGGCTACAGGTGTAAATTCTCCATGCAGCAGCATCAGGCAATGTCGTGGGCAGATAGTTGAAGGCATTTATAGATTGATTAAAATAGTTTGATGGGATTATGCTTTTGAGCTCCAGTTGCTTCAGAAATAGGCTGGCAGTGTGCTTCAGGAAAAGACACGGTGTTCCATAGCCTAACAACACTTGTAAAATTTAGAGCTAGTGCTATTGCGTTTATTTCTTTTTCTTTTTTTTTTCTTTTATTATTTTTTGTTCCAGTGCTATTGCATTTAATTTTACTCAAATAAGAATGAACAATCACATTTGGAGGCTAAATCATAATTTAGTATTGTATAAAGCCATCTTGATTTTGTAAATATTGGTTCCATGCTTTGTCTTTCAAATCTCTGGTCCACTGATCAACAAAATTTACTTCTACAAAGTGGAGAGTTGGCCAGGACAGAATGCATGTGGCCCTCTGATATGGGATGCAGCTTACCCTCTGTACATGTCTTTTATAACAAACTGAGCTAAGTATATCATGTGTGCATGACCTGTGACAAATGGCTGTCTCACTCTTCCCCCACCTTACATGTGATTCCTATGTTGAAATCCGTAGGAATAGCACATCTGGGGGGGCGGAGTAGGGGATATTTAAAACCCAGTTGGGTAGTCACTGGGATCACATAGCACTGTGGCTGTTTAGTTGCCCCAATAAGCTAGGTTCATCCTGGGTAGCTTAACAATCTCTTTCAGCCTTAGCTAGTGTGGTAAAATGGATGATAGCATAGCTATAGAGAACACAGTTTCCTAAATAAATCTTTTTTTAAAAGATTTATTTTATTTTTATTGGAAAGGCGGATATACAGAGAGGAGAGACAGAGAGGAAGATCTTCTCTTCGATGATTCACTCCCCAGGCGGCTGCAACGGCTGGAGCTGAGCCAATCCGAAGCCACTGTGCCATCACGCCAGGCCCAATAAATCTTTTTTAAAGATTAATTTTATTTCTATTGCAAAGTCAGATATACAGAGAGGGTAAGAGACAGAGAGGAAGATCTTCTGTCTGATGGTTCACTCCCGAAATGACTGAAATGGCCCGTGCTGTGCTGATCTGAAGCCAGGAGCCAGGAAACTTCCTCCAGGTCGCCTACATGGGTGCAGGGTCCCAAAGAGACCCAAGGCTTTGGGCCGTCCTGAACTTTCCCAGGCTACAAGCAGGGAGCTGGATGGGAAATGGAACTTCCAGGGTTAGAACCAGCGACCATATAGGATCCTGGTACGTTCAAAGTGAGGACTTTAGTCATTAGGCCACCACACCGGGACCCTGGCTTTTTTTTTTTTTTAATTAATTAATTTTTGTTGGAAAGTCAGTTATGGAGAGGAGACACAGAGAGATATTCCATCCTCTGAATCACTCCCCAAGCGGCCACAATGGACAGAGATGTGTCAATTTGAAGCCAGGAACCTGGAGTCTCTTCTGGGTCTCCCATGCAGGTGCAGAGTCCCAAAGCTTTGGGCCATCCTCGACTGCTTTCCCAGGCCACAGGCAGGGAGCTGGATTTGAAGCGGGGCCGCCGGGATTAGAACCGGCGCCCATATGGGATCCCGATGTGTGCACGGTGAGGACTTTAGCCTCTAGGCCACTGTGCCGGGCCTT